TTTATTTTTGTGAACCTTAAGGAGCTTTTTTTTTTAAATATATAACTTAAATATTATTTAAAACCTTTATAATTAATTAAAAATTTTAAAAAATTATAAATTACTTATTTTAATAAGCCTTAGGGTTAATATTAAAAAAAAAAAGTAAAGAAAAAAGAAAAATATTAGCTTTATTATAAGTATTAGCTTTATTATAAGCTAGGCTTAAGGTATTTTAATAGTAATTTTATTAATAAGCCTTAATATATTATTTAAACTTATTTATATAAAGAGTTTTATTTTAATATAAAATAAAAAATAATAGCGCCCTTTTATTATTATTATTATTACCTTAAGGCTAAGGATAAAGCTAAGCTTATATTAATAGCCTAGGAAAAAGTACTTAGGCTTTCTTATAGTTTTATAAAGCCTTATAGTCCCCTAAAGCCTTATAAAGCTTTTAATAATATTAACTTATAGCTATTATTACTACTGCCCTTATAATTAATATTAAAGTAATTATTTTAATTACTTAGTTAGCGCTAGTAGCCCTTAATAAATTAAATAAGTTAACTAGCCTATAATTATATATATATATTAATAAAAAACTATAAAAAATACTATATTTAAATAAATTAACTTATTTTATTTCCTTAAATAGCTTCTTTTACTATTTTTTATAATATTATTTCCTTAATAATATTTATTACTAATATACTATACTATAATTTAATATAAGTATATAAAATCCTATACTTAAGGAGTAAACCTAGCTTATAGTATAGACCACTATAGTTTAAATAGGAATATGCTATAGTGCAATTAAGAGCACTCTTTTCCTAAGCTTTTTAAAGGAGTTACCTCTTATAGAACCTTTGTCCAGAAACACCCCTGGGGCGCGTAGGTATCTTACTTCATAAGGTAATGCGGGGAAATGGGGCAGGTGGGGGGTTGGAGACGGCTACAATAGGCACTATTCTGCCCCTCTCACGTGCTGTCAGTATAGGTAGAACTTCCACAAAGATGGATTTACACCCTGCTGCTAGAAGATAGAGAATAGTCCATCATTCAATGTATAGAGGCATATTAGCGACTGTTCCAAGTTTAGCCTGCAAACTGCCACGGACGCTGCCCTCGCCATTCATCCGCCGCCTCTCAACTGAAACAATGGCCAAAACAAGCACAACCCATAGGCTCTCTCAGCTGAGAGCTCTGATGAAAGAGCACAACGTTCAGATTTATGGTAAGGGTCTGCGGTACATTTAGCCTCAGTATCCGCCAGCCTGGCCTGTAGAGACGTATCATCGCTCACATGTGTATCTTTTCCAGTCGTACCGTCCGAAGATAGCCATAGTTCCGAGTACATTGCCTCCTGTGACGCTCGGCGCGAGTTTATCAGCGGATTCACAGGCTCTGCTGGGTGCGCAGTCATCACAGAAACCGCCGCAGCTCTTGCGACCGATGGACGATACTTCAACCAGGCTACTCAACAGTTGGATGAAAACTGGACGTTGTTAAAGCAAGGGCTCCAAGATGTTCCCACCTGGCAAGAGTGGGCAGCCGAACAGTCTGCTGGAGGAAAGACTGTTGCCGTAGACTCAACCCTGGTGACGGGCTCTGCAGCAAAGAAGCTTGCAGAGAAAATCCGCAAAAGCGGCGGCTCTGACCTGGTCCCCCTTGACATCAACTTGGTGGATCAGGTCTGGGCCGATAGTAGACCAGCCAGACCCCAGCAGGGAATCAGGGTTCTGTCCGAAAAGTTTGCCGGCAAATCAGTTCAGAACAAGCTGGCGGACCTCCAAGCGGAGCTCGAGAAGAAGCGATCCCCCGGTGTATTCATCTCGATGCTTGACGAGGTGGCTTGGCTATTCAACTTGCGCGGTAACGACATCCCCTACAACCCGGTCTTCTTCTCGTATGCCGTGATCACGCCAAAAGGAGCAGCCCTGTATGTGGACGAATCCAAGTTAGACGAAGAATGCCGAGCGCACTTGGCCAAATATGCAGTTGACATCAAGCCATACGAGACTTTCTTTCGTGATGCGGAACAGCTCCATCAGCAATTTGTCGCCTCTACTGCGAAAGAAGGTGGTGGTCCCGCAGGTAGCTTTCTAATGTCTAACAAAGGATCCTGGGCCCTGAAGAGAGCACTAGGTGGAGATACAGCTGTCGAAGAGATTCGCAGTCCCGTTGGGGATGTAAAGGCTGTCAAGAACGAGACTGAAATGGAAGGAATGCGGGCCTGCCATATCAGAGACGGTGCCGCTCTCATCCAGTATTTTGCGTGGCTCGAAGACCAGCTTATAAACCAAAAAGCTGTGCTGGACGAAGTACAGGCTGCTGATAAGCTAGAAGAATTGCGATCACAAAAGGAGCACTTTGTCGGGTTATCATTCCCGACAATATCATCGACCGGCGCGAAGTGAGATTATACCGTTTTTACTTGTTTCTTTCTCTGCCACAATGTTGTGCTGACAATGGCCTATAGCGCAGCTGTGATTCACTATGGCCCTGAACGTGGAAATTGCGCCACGATTGACCCCAATGCCATCTATCTGTGTGACTCAGGGGCTCAGTATCTGGATGGCACAACCGATACCACACGGACGCTACACTTTGGGCAGCCCTCGGAAGCCGAACGAGAAGCTTACACGCTCGTCCTGAAGGGAAACATTGCCTTAGACGTAGCTATTTTCCCTAAGGGGACGACAGGATTTGCTCTTGATTCTCTTGCTAGACAACATCTCTGGGTGAGTTCAAATGCATCTTTTGGTCACGAGATTCCGATTTTTTTATTCTAACGTGCAACAGAAAGCGGGATTGGATTATCGACATGGCACTGGCCATGGCGTAGGCTCATTCCTGAACGTCCACGAAGGCCCAATTGGTATTGGTACTCGCATTCAGTATACCGAAGTGCCGTTGGCCCCTGGCAATGTCATTTCGAATGAGCCAGGATATTATGAAGACGGTAACTTTGGCATCCGAATCGAGAACATTGTTATGGTTAAAGAGGTTGAGACGAAACATGCCTTTGGAGATAAGCCATTCCTTGGTTTCGAGCACGTTACTATGGTTCCCTATTGTAGGAGCTTGATCAATGAGAGCATGCTCACGGAGGATGAGAAGGCTTGGCTGAATGCATCCAACGCAGAAATTTTGGAGAAGACCAAGGGTTACTTTGAGGGAGATGCCATCACGACTGCCTGGGTGGAGCGAGAAACACGGCGCATTGAGTAGGAGTAAATCACCGTAGAGACAAACAAAAGAGGAGAAAAAAAGAGGAAAAATGAAAGAGGTTTTATCTTAGAGGCTTACAAACGCCGATAGGACAAAGGTCAAAATGAACGAGGCAACAAACCACCCATTCCTTGTGCCATGGCTAAGAAGAGGTATCTTCTCTGCCAGATACTTGGGCAAATTAAGAAACCTCGGCAAAGGCAGCCCAAATGAGGAGGCGAGCTTGGTTTAGTCAAACACGTCAGGAGATGCAGCTTAGGAGGTTGAAAGATTGGTGAATGCACTTACATGATAGCACGCTGTAAACACTCCGCCAAGCAACACAAGAGTGCGAGAAAAGACGGAAACTACAAGGCCGGTGGCAAAGCCTATGAGAGGGGGGATAATCAATGTTATCCAGTGGTTCTCCGACGGGTAATGCAAATTACATGAATTAGCAATTGACTACTACTAACCAACAACGCTGCCAGAGGAGATCTGGCGGATGATCTCAGGAGAAGGCAGCGGTTCCACAGATTTCGCGGCATACTGAGTGGGAGCTGCTGCAGATTGCTTTCGCCGAGAGTCCAACCGAACAGAAGAGTGTGCCGCAAAAGCTCCGTAGCAGATGCCTGTGCCGATGCCGCCAAAGAGAAGTCTTCGGGAGTGGCGAAGGGCGGAGAATTGCTTCATTGCTCGACTCATCGTTAATGGTGAGGTTGAGAGGATGATGTTTGGTACTCAGACTTGGTGCTATCGGGTAAGACATATAATTTGAAGCACCTATGACGTAGTAGAATCTATCTAAAGGTCTGCGAACAAATAACATGAGTTATCAAGAAGCAAAAAAGAAAAGAGAAACATACAACAGCCGGTGTTCGCCAGTGGTCACCCACCTGACTACTAATCTGCCGGTTAATGGCTTGTCTATGGGGGAGCAGACGGGACCCCGAATTCTCCATTACCTATGGTCGTATGTACTTGGTCTGGTGTTGACTTAACTTATAAGGACAAGATTACCAAAGCAATATAAGAGCAAAAAACATACAACAGCCGGTGTTCGCTGATGGTCACCCACTCAACTACTAATCTGCCGGTTAGTGGCTTATCTATGGGGGAGCAGACGGGACCCCGAGTTCTCCACTACCTATGGTCGTATGTGCTTGTAATTCCGAAAGAATTACTTATAATTGGATAACAAAACTGTCTAGTGCACACCGGAGTGGCAAAACGTTACCTACCTTACCCATTGGATTTCACGCCACAAGCACCGTTCCTACTCATAGATGTATCATATACTGCATCTCACATTCACGTATGCGAGTCTTGAAGCAATTGCGCAGTATTTATCACCCTAAACTTGGGCTCGAGTTATTTTTACTCTTTGTGTTTCCAGCATCTCCACAACATACTCCTGATCGATAGTACCCAGCTGTTTTACTCAACAGCTGGCACTTATTTCCCAACGTACCGGAATGTCTAGGGCTTATTTCGGCCTTTAGCACGCTTCTAGCTCCAAGGCTCTCTTTGGCCATAGTACTTAAAAGATTCAAGAGGCATGCATGTGCCCGAGTCGCCAATGCCTGCGCACCCATAAAAACCAAGCTATTAAAAAGTGACCATAAGCATTTAGCTTTTTTTTTATATTTATTTTCTAATATGATGACAAGGCGAATGATTACTATTTCCTGGCATGTCCATTGATGGTTTCAATCTCAAAAGACCAAATTCAGTACGTATTGGGCCAATTTCAGCGAGTGGGGCAATCGTCATTCATGAGTCTCACTGGGTTTTAAATATTCGTCATTTGACGGTCTCTCTCAAAACCCATCGTCTTGGAAACCCCTCCCTCATAGCATAGCAGCCAGAAAAGCAGTTCAAAATGAAAGCATACATGTATGATAACGTGCCAGTAAGCCCCATCCACACAAAGACCGGCGATAGCGACGAGTGAGAGATCCTGACACGGCATGATTTTGCTCCAAAGGGCGACCAGCGTCTGCCTCATGACTCTGGCCGTGAGGTGACGGCCAGCGACTTGGCCACCATCGGCGTGCACTACCGTCGCCTGACCGAAACCAGCGAGGTGGACGTGCTGGCGGCCGAGCGCGGATACAAGAACCGCGACGAGATTGTGGTGTCGCCCGACAAGATGGGCGCCGTCTATGAGGACAAGGTCAAGATGTTCTTCCACGAACACTTACACGAGGACGAGGAGATTCGCTACATCCGGGGCGGCCAGGGCTACTTCGACGTGCGGAACCAGGGCGACGAGTGGGTGCGCATCCAGCTGGAGAAGGACGACCTCATCATCCTGCCCGCCGGAATCTTCCACCGCTTCACAACGGACGAATCCAACGTGAGTTATTCTGCCTTGATCTGTCATTGTCAATGTCAATTTTATGAGCACGCACGTCACAAGACAAGTCTCACTAACCTTTTCTCCCCCTCCTCCCTTCTTCTAGTACGTCCACGCCATGAGGCTCTTCAAGGATGAGCCAAAGTGGACTCCCCTGAACCGGGCTCCAGAGCTGGACAGCAACGACTTCCGCAAGGAGTATGTCAGCCAGTATCTCAGCTGAATAGCCGGCGACCGAGGGTAAAAAAAAAAAGGAAAACAAAAATCATGGCGATTGTCTTGGCCGGACATGCGGGAGGCAGTAAGTAATAATTGTAGTTAGCAGCTTAGAAACGGACAATTAATTACAAAGTCGATTGGAAAGAATTCGAAGACCCCGGAACCCATTGTATCCTAATCAATTGACGTCAAATCATCATCGTGTGATTCCAACTCTCCTCACCGCCATCAATAAAAACCCTCACCATCGCCGCCGCATCGCGATCGAAGCACCTGGTGGCGATGCGTCTGAGTAATGGCAGGCCTGTGGAGGAGGTGAACAGACACCCGGACCTCTCACTTTTATGCAACATTCATGCGACGGTTCGTTTAAAGCCCTCTTCATCAGCTCAGCTTTCGCAACTGCCGATGGCCAAGCCTCTCTAGCTCTATTTTTTTCTCCAACTGGCGACGCCTCATAAGTCACACAGTATCGCCTGACGTTTATGCCTTACTCTGTGAGACACGGCTGCACTGTCTCTTTTCGCAGGAGGCGTAGACTCAAACTGGCGCTCCCTTTCGCCTGCCCGCCTGCTGTCGCCAACCGAGTTCTCTAGACAATGGAGGCTCGCACAGAAGTCAGCGAATCCAGCGACGGGCCGGCGAGGCCCAAACTGCAGCTTCCAGCGAGCTGCGATCCGCCGCCGCCGACGGGATCAACGAAGAAGCTGGTTTGGATTGTGCGTTGTTCGCGTCTCCCCGTCCCTCCGTCTCACTGCGTTCCCTTAGATCGTCTCATCTCACTGCGAACCCTCAAGCCGTCTCACTGCTGACAGCCGCCCTCTCTAGATCTTCGGCGGCACTGGCCACATGGGCCGCTCGCTGGTCAAGAGCGCCTTGACGCACGGCGACCTGGTGTGCTCGGTAGGGCGAGTCTTTGAGACGTCGCAGGAGGACATGGACGGCATCCATGAAAACTGCCTGGGCCTGCTGTGCGACGTGCGCTCGCGGGAATCGGTCAATCGCGTCTTCCGGCACGTCATGGACAAGCTGGGGCGCGTCGACGTGGTCGCAAACTGCTCGGGCTACGGCGTCATCGGCTCGTGTGAGGACCAGGACGAGCACGACCTGCGCAACCAGTTCGAGACCAACTTCATGGGCACGCTGCACATCATCCACGCGACGTTGCCCTACTTCCGGCGCCAGCAGGCCGGCCGCTACCTCATCTTCAGCTCCACGTCCGGCGCCCTGGGCGTGCCCGGCCTGGGGCCCTACTGCGCCAGCAAGTACGCCGTCGAGGGCCTCATCGAGGCCATGCTGTATGAAACGGATGCCTTCCACGTCAAGGCCACGCTCATCGAGCCCGGGCTGGTGCGGCGCGACGAGCCAGACTCAGGCATCAGTCCCTTGCCCACCTGGGGCCACTTTTTCATCAAGCCGCCCAGCGAGCATTATTCCACCGCAACGTCGCCCGCGCTGCACGCAAAGCGCATGGTACAGTGGCTGGGCGATCGCCAGCCCACGAGCGCCGTCAAGTGCGCCGAGCTCGTCTGGCAGCTGGGACACTGCTCGTATCCGCCGCTGAGGCTGCTGCTGGGCAGCTACGCCATCGAGAGCATCCGCGACAGAATGCGCTCCGTCACCGAGGAGCTGGAGGATTGGAAGCATCTCAACTTTGCCATAGTGCCAGATTCCGACAAAGAGGGGGGCGAGGAGATGGGAGGCGAAGCGAGTGCAGATTTTGTTGCTGCATGAAGGAAAAATTGAGTACGTGCAGGCCACAACGTAACAGTTTCTTGTTTCTTGTTTATATCTTTGCTCTTAAGTGCACCTTCCTTTTTCTACACACATATTTGATATTCCATGTGATATAGTATATTGTTTTTGCCGCTAGCGAAGAACATGATTCAGGGAATGGGATGCAAAACGTGGTAACCAGGTTGGTGGAATACAGACACTGCATAGTGTGCACTTGTATAATCTATCATAACACTTTGGAGCCCTATTCGACAATACGAATCTCTTTTTGTTATCTATATATATATATATATGGCATTGATATTAACCAGACGGCCTTGATCCTTGTCTATGTAGAGCTGCAATGCCGAATAACTTCATATGGCCGAATACAAGCTCAGGATTAATCATATAAAACATGCTTTAAAAAAACACCATTATCAAAGAACTAGCCAACCTATCTAGTATATGCAGGGATATTTATTCTGACTGCATCTTATCTCTCGTATATAAAGTTCAGTATTGCTTATGTGTGAGTGTCAATCAAAGCACAGGTACAATGAATGGCACAACATAAAATCGATCGAGTTAGAGCTATTTAGCTAAGGAATATAGCTCTAAACTTACTAGCGTCAATTCATAAATTCTGCTCCCCAGGTTGAACGATTCAACTCACTCTCTCGCCTACAGCTCTTTTTTCTTTCATTGAAACCTTCTCGCTGCCAACGCATGTAGAGAAAGCAGAAATAATATTAAGATAAAGAGTTCAATCGCCATAAATGTCACCTCTCGCAGGGGCAAAACAAATTCTACGGCCTCGCGTCGTCTTTTCCGGCATCCAGCCCACTGGCGTGCCGCATCTGGGAAACTATGTCGGTGCGCTGAGGCAATGGGTAAATCTACAACGCGAGGAAAAGCCCTCTACCAAGCTGATATACTCCATTGTCGATTTGCATGCCATCACCGTGCCCCAGAAGCCAGAGGTGCTGAAACAGCGCAAGAGGGAAGTTTTGGCCGCCCTCCTTGCCATTGGTCTAGATCCCGAGAGATGCACCATCTTCTACCAGTCGTCTGTTCGTTGCCTGACTCCGGCCCAAAGCCTCCAATCATCATATAGCTCACCACTGGATGTAGGTGCCGGCTCACTCTGAGCTGATGTGGATACTTGCATGTACCGCGTCTGTAGGCTATCTCTCAAGAATGACACAATGGAAGGTAGATGGATTCGCAGCAATTGTCATGTATAAACGTTCCCCCGTTGACCAGCTCTCAGAGTAAGCTTAGCTTAGACTCGTCTTCCACTTTAGACGAAGGGCCCGTTGGCTCCCGACTGAAGCTGGGCCTATTCTCCTATCCAGTCCTTCAGGCCGCTGACATTCTTGTTCACCGGTAAGCCCAGCAGTGTCTTTGCATATACGCCCCTTTTGGCGCCCCCACCCCTGATAGCATACCGAATAGGAAACTGATATTTTCTTGTAAGAGCTACCCATGTGCCCGTCGGGCATGACCAACAACAGCATCTGGAGTTTGCGCGTGAATGTGTCACAAATTTCAATCATGCTTATGGAAATCATCTTGTCCCGCCTTCCACCATCATCTGTACGCTTGCTGCCTTTGCTTCCCTTCCCTTCTCTCACTTGCACACTGGCTCATTGAGTAACAGCACCCGCTCAGCGCATTATGTCTTTAACAGACCCGACAAGTAAAATGTCGAAATCTCACAAGGCGCAGCGCTCAAGGATTCTTATTACTGATACTCCTGAAGAGATTCGGTCCAAGATTGGCTCGGCACTGACTGATTCGACTCCCGGCGTCTCTTACGATCCCGCCACTCGCCCTGGCTTTTCTAACTTATTGGAAATATACTCTGTTTTTGATGCAGAGAAGCGTAGTCCGGAACAGCTAGCCCAAGTATACGCCGACTCATCGCCCAAGGTTTTCAAAGAAGCAGTCTCAGATGCGCTGATTGCCGGGTTACACGGTATTCGAGATCGATATCTTGATCTATCTGCAAATGAATCGTATCTTGCAATGATCGAGAAGGAGGGCGCGCGAAAAGCCCAGGTAAGTGCGCAGGAAACGATGGATATCGTTAAGTCTGCAGTTGGATTGTAACAGATATTTGGCGTCAATTAGCGCTTTGAGCCTTTTCATGTATTATTACCTCGCCCCTCGCGTTTGGAATCGCCGTACAGGCATGTGTATGATAGTTGCCAGTGTTGGCCAGCCAATTCGATATAGAATAACGCAACGTGGATATCATGTGGCTGTATATCTAATGTTATTATATATATCTTTCTCGTCATTGAATGACGCGATTAGGTGAGCGTCAAATCGACTTGTGAGCCTTGGGTAGGCTGGCCATATCAAGATGCGTAGGCAAAGTTAGCACCTCTGGCAGTCAACCAGAAGTCCCTGACAACCTGATTTGTTGCCCGAGCGCCTCGAAGACTAGCCCAAGTTAGCAAGAGGGGGGGACATGCATCAGCAACACTCGGTAGAACTATACCTAATGACTTTCTTCACGAACAGCGATTTCTGCTCTGGAGTTACCCGCTGGCTCGGGAATGTTGGATCATCTAAACCGGACTGCAGCCACTCTCTCGACATTGGGTAGTTGACGACAAGTTTCCTCAAAGGTTCACTCAGTCGGTCTAACTCGCTCCGTAGGGCATTACCGCCGAGATTCCTTGCAAGGGATTGAGTTAACAAGGGCCCAAGCGTATCCATGGCTCTCGTGAAAGTTTCCTGAAGCCCTGCATCAACTGCCCGAGTGCCGACAAATGCAGTCTATTTGAGTGTTAGATCGCCGTTGAATGTATGCCATAATGATAGAAAACGCAAAGACAAAAGATGTAATGCATACCCAGAACTCCGCCGCAGCCGCTTTAGGTAATGGCTCTTTTCCATCCATAACCTGCAGCGTGAACAGGAAAAAGAACTCGATTGCGTCTGATGGTTCCAGGCTGATGAAAGCGCCGGGGCTTCTGGTCAAAAGTCGACTGACAAGATCAATGCCATTTTGTACGAGCTCAGGCTCTGCTTCAGGCTCTAATTTCAGTTGTCAACTTGGTTGGCTCATCTACGGCATACAACAGTGGAATTCTCTTACCAGGAAGCTGTTTCAAGAGTCCAATTACCCAAGAGAGCACATCCGAGAGTATCTTTTGATACTGCCCGAGCATTTGAGGAGGTAGGGAGCTAATAAAAGAACACGCCATTTTAACAACAATGCCAATTCGAGGCGTGTCTTTTGAATGTCCAACGAGAAAGCGCACTGTATCCTCAGGGGTAAGGACGAACGGTCCCGGCTCACTTTCGGAGAAACCGCTGCGAAGCACGCTACATATCAGCTCTGTAACCTCTGAACTCCCGCTGTACATGTTTTGGACCTCAACAATGATCCGTATTACTTGCTCCTGAATTTGGACCAATTTGGGTGTTTTGGCTTTCTGGTTAGATTCGGCCTCAAGATCAATCGAAAAGTCCGGGGGAGATTGCAAGCCCTTGCCCATGCTCGCCAGACATCTCAGGGCCCTGAGTGCAACATGCAAGCCAACGTGTTCCTCAGGCAAGATGTCTGAGCAGGGAAATTGTATTTGCTGTGGTAGCAGTTCGTCATTGGTTACATTCACCAGCTTCATGGATTGCTGGACATCGCTTTGTATAATGTCCAGCAACCCAGAACAAGCAGTATACCTCTTCTCATCCTCAGGAATGGCCTGAGCGATAGACGCGAGTGCGCCTACGATTTTCTCACGAGAAATGCAATCAAGTGATGCTGTAGCAACTAAGTTGCGATACTCTGCCAGTAGGCCGTCCATTTGAGGATGCAGATGTGAACGACAAGACGAGCAAAGCCGGTATATAGACTTTGAGGCTGGTATGGCCATGGAATGTTCTGAAACTTCGTTGAACAGAAGGCTGAGGGCGGTAGGAAGAAGGTGGGTATTTCTTTCAAAGTATTCGGTGTACTGTTCAATCAGCGTAAGGCAAGTTTGTCTGACTCGGGTTGGTATGGTTTTCTGGGCACTTCTAAGCACTGAAAACAAAGGAGACGAGAAAACTGCGGCAAGAAAGTCGTCACAGCGCGGATCTTCTCGGCTGCAGTCCGCTAAGCCGCCCAGGCAGAATATAGCTGACTCCAATTCCAGCCAGGAGGAACTTGCCAATGTGGACAATATCAACGAAGAAAAGGTTTCCACAAGCCTGGGCCCGATCAAGGCATAGACAGCTTGTAAAAGATCCACTACGTCTTTCCTAGCATCATGGAAGCCGGCGCGATCGTGCGAGTCCCACGAATGAAATTCATCTGCTGGAGGATATATAACCTTCTTCCATGCGTGCGATGTCGCCTGAAAGATGTATGGGATAATGGTTGCAGTTACCGAGCTTGCAGAAGTCGACGCTGGATCCATATCTGAGACGGATTCGGTCAATGTCGACCAAAATTCGACGGCGGGGACAAAAATCCTGTTTTCAGCAACTGGATAGCCCTCCGCCGCAAGAAGACCACACAGTTGGGACAGTATATTCTTGTTTTGCTCATGATCATTCTTAATAAGGTCTTCTACTCGAGCTTCACCAAAGGCGAGAAGTACATATCCGAGCTGTGTCGACTCAAAGTCAACATCCCCCTGGATGAGTTGGTCATATCGGTGGTGGAACCATGTCGTATCAAAGATATTGGCGAGTACTGTATAGTGCTGCTCGGTGAGCAGAGAAGGCCAGTTGAAGAGCACGTCAACAAGCAGTTCGGCGGCCGCATTGTACAGATCCTCGACCATCAATGCGTTGATAGAGCCTCCAATAAGGGGCCGTAGAGAATCTGCAATGTAGCTGTTTCGTGCTGATGTCTTCTGAGCAAATGAAACCCACGACTAAAGGGAATCCAATTAGCCTCTCTTGATTTGCTGAACTCAAAAGGCACAGGGTCACCTACTTGAAGACATCTCAGCGCATCTTGCTTGACCTCTGGAGAAACATCATCTCGGCTCATGCACATTGCTATGAGTGTTACCGAGTCGGAGGTGTTTGCAATAACCGAGTCGTACAGGCCAACGCTTTGTCCGTGTTAGCGATGCTATAAGATACTAATAAAACGAGTAGATAATCATCTCATACTTGCTTGCTGCGTTTAGATCGATGCGAGTTACGTCCTCAAGAATATTGCTCATCACCAGGATAGCCGCGTGCAAGTGCACTCCAGTAAGGCTTTCTGATATAGCGTTGAAATCGACCGACTCGTCGATAGTGCCAGGCTGCCAAGCTCGGTTTGACGCCAGGCTGACAAGTAGATGAAAGATGTAGCGGGTGCATAGTCTGTGGAAATATATGAAATAGGTGGCCAGCGCAGATGCCAGCTTCCGTACAACAAGCAACCCAGTCTTGTGCTGCAAAGCCCCGATATACCATCCCAACAGCGAGACTAGGAGCTCTACAGCATCACTGTCGCTAAGAGACGAACTGATCGATGTCAACCGGAGAGCTCAGTGGATAGCGTACTGGACGGCGAACGTACTTTTCGGTATTCAACTTAACGATGATTGTGAGCGCACCGAAAAACTTGACTTTCTCGTCTGGACGCCCAAGCAGGTGATGGGCGAGCGACCATGCTTGTGGTGAACTTTGCAGCCGCGACAAGGTCGATTGTGTTTTGGAAATCGTGCTGGGAGAAGCTGGTTCGTACAGAGAAAGAATCAGCTTTGTCACCATTAGCAGCGATGTCTTATAAACATCAGATTCCCAGAAGAAGAGGAATAGGTAGACGAACCGATTCGACCTGCTCAATCTCGGAGGGGAGAAGCTCTTCCTGCATCGTGACGGGTTCTGCGGGCAATTTCTGTGGAAATTCGTTCCACACGGATCACCAGGCCGCGGCTGGTTGCTTTAGCAGCACAGAGCTATCATGTCAACAAGTGATTTCGCGCAGTATGCATGGAGAGGATTTCGCAAATGGACTGCAGCTTGACTGCCGCATAGCAGAGCTCGCAGCCGTCGTTCTTCCAAGCTGTATCAAATGCTATGCGTGAGATGTACTACTCCGGATTTGGCTTAGCTTGTGAGATTGTCATACTTGCAGCTCATACCGCAGCAGGCACTAATGTCATTGCGGTTGCTAGTAACGTTCTCCTTGATATACTTGTAGTATAAGATACTATTATTATTCGATATCAGGCATGTCAGCTATGTCTGATTTAGGAGCCAATTGCGAGAATGATATTTATATTAGTAACCTGTCATATTTGCGGCTTTTTACGTGAGACCTGAATGCCGCACACCATTGAAGAGCGAGGGCGTGAAATACAGACCCAAGGGGTGAATCTAGCATTGGTATATGTATTATGAGACTTAGATCAGAAAACGACAGTAAACCTTACGATAGAACGGCCTGTATTACTAAGAACAAGGCATATATCATGCATTCGTAATTCTTGCCTCTCGTTGGCTTCTAGTAGTCATTCATTCTATGTACTCATTTGGCTTCAAGCCTTTCGCATAAGCGTTTGTTTCGTTGTGTTAGTATTTACCAGGCTAATATTCATTTTTCAGTCTACCAGGCTGCTTTCTGCGGCTCAAGACGGGTAGGGCTCGCGTTTCTTGTTGGTCATCGCACATTGACGGCAGCGACGTCTCTCCCTGCTGCGCCCATAATATCATTGATATCCGTGGGGGTGTCGTCTGTTGGGCGACCCTCAAACAACCGCCTCCACCAGCTTGGGGGATCAAACGGCCTGGAGCCGTTGTGCAGCGGCGGGTATACATCATTGAAGAAGTACCAAACATGACCAATGACAACTCCCATAATCTCGTCTCTCGGTACGGTTCCGTGCATAAACAGGCTAAAGGCCATCAACACCCACGGCAGATACGGAGCGGTAAAAACAAGCAGCCCCAGGAAGCTTAGCCTGGTGTCGGGGTTGCGCCGGGACCAAATATAGACGAGGGTAGACGAGAGCGGGTGCCCGAGAAATGGCATGGAAACAAGCGGCGATAGAGCAATCAGACTCGCCATGGCATAGAGGAGAAGCCAGGAGAAATACGCAGCCGACCGTCCCGACGACTCTTCCAGCAGCCGCGCATATCGCTGGAGGAAGTATATGTGAAAGAGCAGGTCAAGCGAAAACGGGCCGAAGTAGAGAAACGTCGTCAACAGGCGCCAGTACTGTGTTGCATCAGTCAGTCAGCATATGCGAAGGTGAAGGCGTAGCGGATAGGGACAGGCCAACCTGAGACTTAATGAAGACGGCTCGGAAACTGTAGAAGAGTTGGAATGGCGTCACCATATGGCACTGGACGAGGGCGCTGGTCAAGACAGTGGCGGCCGTCCACCATCGCGTGCATGTCGGCATCTCCCAGAACCATGTTTCCAGCGGAAGGCGATCGCCGCCCATTACTTGATCCATTTAGAGCGATGGGAAATCGTAACAATCATGTGCTAATCAAAGGATGAAAGGATGACCGCAGTCGACATGAAAGATATGTCGGCGATGCGACTGTCGGGACGCAAATCAATGCAATAGATGGTGAGGTGGCCTTTCGCAGGCGAGAAGATATAAGCCTGAAGAAGGAAAGTGAAGTAAATCGGAGCTGGGCTGCCGGCGTCGCGACTTGATCTGTTACACCGTTGCCACTCTGGCATTTACGCAATTAGTAATGTAGAGAGAACTTGGCGACCAGCCTCTGAGTACCTGTCTTATCAACGAGGCTTATGATGCGAACATTTATTCTCTATTAGACTGATATTTTGAAAACGACAAGACAACATTTGTCTAAAGATATTTTACCAATCAATTTGCTGAAGCTGCCACTTCATTGATCCTTTTTCTTGTAAAGACACTTATACATCCGAGTAGGAGATCATCGCAGCATGGGTTAGCCACCAAAGTCCATTTATAGATGGTGCTAGTAGGAGTTATTTGCCCAAAATTGCCTAGAACTGACGCTAATTAACGCCTGCGTCAGTGTCTCTTTGCGGAGAGTAGCGCTCGGCAAGCACGTTGCGGCACTACCGCTACAGCGCTTCACAGACGCCGTTACTTGTACCCAACATTCTGAGCCTCTCTTTGCTGCTCGGCTTTGAGCGCCGCCGGGGACGCATCCATCAATGACTTGCCACACAGCCTACCATGAAACTCCTCTCGTGTGCTTGGCACGGTGGCTTAATTTTTGCGCTCCTGTCAAACGGCCTTGCGCGGGCCAACGACCAAGGCCGCCCAGCTGAGAAAGCTTCGCCAACTACAAGCACACCTGGCCAATGCGAAGTCCGAACCATCAACTACATCACACATACGCTGCCGTCGCTTTGCTTCAAGAGCTCATGGACAGACTCTTTGCCGACTCCAACCAGGCTGCCTGCCGCAGGCGACTCCGACAACACCACTCAGCATGTCACGCGACCGCCTGTGGAGGAGCAGGCTCCTCCATCCGCTACGGAGCAAACGGACACGTTCGCCAATAACTCTGCGGGCGATACCTTTGCGACGCCTTTCATGTCATTTGAGGACTGGAAGAAGATGATGCTGGAGCAAACCGGACAGGACCCCCAAAACTTGCACCTGCGAAATTCGAGCGGGCGCCAGAAAGCCGATAGACCATCTCCCGATTTGGATGATGTAGGATTGGGCGAGGAAGGGGAGATATCCCTAGTTTTTGATGATTATGGAGAAGGAGAAGGCCCCAAACCTGGGCCTCCTACGGAATTAGCAAATGCGAACAACGGCGACGATGTCGACGACACTTCAACGTCCAAAGATGGCAAAGCGCCTATTCACCGAAGCAAAGACGCTGGAAAAACCTGCAAGGAGCGCTTCTCATATTCCTCATTCGATGCGGGCGCCACCATCTTGAAGGCAGGGCCCCAAGCAAAGAACGCAAAAGCCATTCTAGTGGAAAACAAGGACTCTTACATGCTACTCGAATGCGCTGCGCAAAACAAGTATGTCATTGTCGAGCTTAGCGACGATATCCTCATCGACACCATTGTCATTGCCAATTTCGAGTTCTTCTCCAGCATGGTTCGTCATTTCCGAGTCAGTGTAAGCGATCGGTATCCTGTGAAAATGGATAAATGGAGGACGCTTGGGATCTTTGAAGCCGCAAACTCGCGAGATATCCAGGCATTCCTTGTGGAAAACCCAGAAAACCCCCAGATCTGGGGCAAATATGTTCGGCTGGAATTTCTGACACACTACGGGAATGAGTACTATTGTCCTGTTTCTTTGCTTCGTATTCATGGATCAACGATGCTCGATTCTTGGAGAGATAGCGAGACACGACCAGAAGATGATATTCACGAAGAGGATGAAGAAGATCTCCCTGTTCCCACTGTTTCTACGCAACCAACAGCAGCTGGACCTAGTCCAGCACCAGCCGGACCTAGTCCGCAAGCCGGAGACAAGAATGAAAGTCTTCCAGAGCTTGCAAGTACTTGTCTACCTCGTGTTGATGAAGCCCCCTTTCAATCTATGACGGCAACATGCGCTGTACCCTCTACTATTGCCATAGGCGATGCAAAGCCAGGAGATCAAAGCTCTGGGCAAACTGGCGAAAAGGCAAAACGACCAACTAAAGATGGCGTCGTGGAGTCGGATTCTGCCTCGCAAGACTCTCCCAAATCAGACGTCACTCAGGCCCGGGACGCATCTTCCGCACCAACAGTAAAGCAGACAGATTCTTCCAAACCTACCACGGATGATAAAGCGCAGCCTCCACCAGAACCTTCGGATGCCGCCGGCTCGAGCTCCGGGACCACAAAAAGCCGGACACCAAGTGCCTCCAGCGCCTCGCCAACCGTCCAAGGCAGCTTTTACAACTCCATCACCAAGCGCTTGCAGCAAGTAGAGACGAACCTCACGCTGTCGCTCAAATACGTCGAAGACCAGTCGCGAATCATGCAGGACGCATTACGGCGGACCGAACAGCAGCAGGTGACTAAACTTAACCGCTTCCTGGGCGATCTCAACCACACCGTCCTTGCAGAGATGCGCAACGTGCGCGAGCAGTACGAGCAGATATGGCAATCCACTGTCCTCGCTCTCGAAAGCCAGCGGGAGCAGTCTGAGCGCGACATTGTAGCCCTGAGCACCAGACTCAACCTGCTAGCCGACGAAGTTGTCTTCCAGAAGCGGATGGCCATTGTGCAGGCAATCCTCCTGCTTTCCTGCTTGTTTCTGGTCATCTTCTCGAGGGGAGTCCCTATTCCCTACCTTGCGGCCCTGCAAGAACAAGCCGGCGTCATTGCATATCCCTCATCGTCGCCGTATCCCGGCCAGGGACCTCGTACTAATATCTATAAATCCGATGCTGGAATCCCACCAGATGCACAGACACTACCAGATAATGTCCCAGTGGTCAGTGTTTCTTCGTTCGAAGCTGCTCCCAACGTGCCGAGTAATCGAATTCCTCATTCTTTGTCTGAAACGTCAGAGCCCCATGAGCCAATCTGTGAAGACGGTGAAGAAGAGTATCCGCGGCGGCATCCCTTGCCAAGTCCACCGGCCGAAGACAAGTACCAGTATTTACACTACTTAGACCAAGAGCCAAGGTTCCATTCGCTACACCATTCATCTCCGGCCCTTCTGAATACGCCCCGGAAACCACTTCCTTCTCTCCCTGAACATTTGGCATCAAACCAGGACTCTTCATGAGGCGATATTCTCGTAAAAATAAACTGCTCTTTGGCATTGTTTTGCTTCTTATTTGAGCATTTTATTGATGTAATGCGTGTGGGATATTAGATCACAGCCCCATGGCAATGGTACAGACAAAGCATGGCGAATTTTCATTGAACGCAAGTATATATATTAAATTACAGACCTACTTTGTTTCTGTGCCGCTACTTATCCTCATTTTTTCTTATGAAATCCATGGCTTATCAAACGGTATATAGCAAAGTGAGTAGGTCCGTCCGAAGTAAGTGCAAGCGATCATCGCAGATAGAATCAGTAAACCTCAACAACGTCCAAAAGGTAATAGTGGCCCTCTTCCGGCCAAGCATAGCTCTGCTTTGAACTTCACTCACTAAATCGTACTGCCGTAGAGATGCTGTATGGCGGTCTCATAGTCGTACTCTTCGAGGGCTGCAAGACGAGTTCCTCGATCATATTGGGAGCGCCGGCGCCGCTGTTCGTCGCGGAAGTGCTGTCCTGCATTCGGCGTGAAGAGGCCTAACAACTATGAGCTTGAGAATGACTAGCAAGTCAAAGCCCCAAGTGTACTACTTACCGACATGCTCAGCGTTCTCGCAACTTCGCTTCATCTTGGATTGATTGTCAGGCTCCGGGAATGGCTCTTCTTTTCCAGCGAGATCGGGCATTGGACCGTTCGATGTATAGTAAAGCTTTGATCCGTTAGTTGTTCCATGAAAATCCAACATACCAAAGGGAATCTGATGCAGAATGCTTACTTTAGGACGATAGTGCGAAGCCTCTAGCATTACTGAACTGTTTCGAAATTTCTGTACCAAACAATCTTTACCCTGAATGGCTGTATAAATAGTCAGAATTGAGGAACACAAACATCCACCTAGACAGACTTACTGGCGTAAGAGATCTCTGCTACCTTGTCACTTTTGAAGCAGTTCCTATATAGGAAGTGAGCCAATCAGAATGAATACTCCGGGAAAAAATTGCATAGAAGAAAGAGCATACCAGCGCTGATTTCCGCGGGCATTGACAAACTTGAGTTGCTATGTCAACCTGAGCTCCTTCGTAAGTGAATGAGAAATCATTGTGTACTAACATCGATAATATCCAGAGGCTGCAAATTGACATTAGTTAAACTGAAATGCGTTACAAGAGGGGGGATAAACTCACATCTACAAAGTTAATGAATGCATATCCGACACTATTCATAGCCGTCAATAATTTGAATAGAACAAGACATGGGCAATAGACCGCGAATAAATACTCACTTGCAATCGTTGGCAAAGTCGATGCGAAGGTACATGAAATCGTACTTTCCCCAACTAGACTCGTCAATGATTCTTTTCAGCATGGCTTGGTCCACTTTGTTGGGGATATTGCGAAGCATTATCTGCAAAACAGTCAGTGAGGAACCGCAGTTACATGGCTAATAATCTTACTGTGGTGCGAACATCAATCCCATCGCGAATGCGAGTGATGTCAACATGGTTATGATGAGTCGCTGTGCTGTGATAAGTAGACCTGCTGACTCTCATGGCATTCTGACGGCGGGCATCTGCTCTGTCAGCTCCTGAAAAGTTCCTGGATGGACTATAGCTGTTCTGAGCCGTCAGAGCTGGAGACGGCGGTGTTTGATACAAAGTTCCAAAGACAGGATACTGTGGAGTAAATGGTGTCAAAGGGTTGCCCGAGTTTGCTTGTACCGAGGGTAGCAATGAATCCAGCATATATGGCACGGCCGGTGTGAATGGCGCTTGGAACATGAGAGGATACATGGCTACGGGCGCATTGTAGTGGGCATCCACCTGCCCAACATGTGAAGAGTTTGAGTTTGAATTGGGAGTAGCAGGGCTCAGCCGTTGCTGACTTGGGTCATCTGTTCTTTTGCCAATGGTCATCTCTTCCATTGCGTCGGTGATCCCCGAGGCAGACAAAGCGTCAACGTTGTAAGCTGATGCATATAGCTGAATTCCCTGGGTTATCATAGATATCAGTATGAATGCTAATTGAAGTAGAAGGGATTGACATACCTCAATGGAGATGCCAGCGCTGTAAGCTTGTATGACGGGAAAGGCTGCGGTGGTGTCACAGAACTCGGCAACGGCTCTGAAAGAGCCGTTCGGAAAAGAACTTAGCCTGAAAAAGGCAAACAGGCGGCCGTGAGACTGCAAGAATCGATGAGCCACTCTCATGACATGCGTCGGGTCCATGACAACCCCAGGCGGGACAACAACAAAGACTTGAACTTGACCAGTACGAGAGAGGCCTACCGCATGGCCGGAAAGCTTATCCAATTCAGCTCGGGAATCAGAATCCAAACCGCCTGCAACCTGTCCCACCTCCAGATGAGTGCCTTGAGACTGGGCAACGCGTGTGGGGTTAGCAAAGGTAGTTTTCCATCCCTTGTCCACTTGATGAAGCTTTGCCTGCACTGCACAGGCGTCTCTGATATCGGTGAAGTAGACAAACACTCCGCCACTGTGAGCCTTGATATTCCTTGTTCCGTAAGTGTTGCTGCCATCTTTTTCAGTGTCCTGTACACATAACAAGTGGCATAGGTCAGTACTGGTTCTCTGAAACTCCGTAGGTATACTTACCACCAAAACAGCCTCCACCTCGCGCGTGGAAACTTGGGTGGGCGATGATATAACAATAATTCTCGACAATCCAATGTCGGTACTGAGAGCGCCAGAAATAGGACCCTCCCCGTCTGGCAAGCGGACGTAAGTGTTCCCAACAAAAGGGCTGAATGTTGAGGCTGTTGGCGACAATCTCGTGCCAACGCCATGCATGGAGGTGATGAAGGGATCCTTGTCCATGTGAGAAACTACACTGCGAAAGCTGCCGGCCGGAAGTCGAGCGGGAGACGCGGTGGTAGCTGAGCGGGCGAAACTCTTGAGAAGGCTGGATGATTTTGGACCATCGTCTGGGCTCATTGCGGTCAACCGAGTGTCGGGAGTTCCTTTGAAAGACTCGGCACCTCCGCTCGATGATCGAGGAGACGACGGATTGTCATTTTGGTGCGCCATTGTAGAGTGAACTGTGGCTCTAGTGAGAGTTGAGATCGATATATGGCACCTGAAAGTGAAGTAAGTTTCTGTGCTCTTGGTCACAGATCAAAATGAGCAGGCCTAGCAGCAGTAAGGATTCTACTGCTTGTGTGCGTGTAGAAGAAGGGAACAAGATGCAGTGTGCTCGCTGCATACAAGACGTTACATGCTCACGAGAGAAGGGGGGAGAAGAGGCAGTCTGCGAGAGGTGCTTGGGGGGGCTTGAGCCAAAGGACAGGCCCAGGTAGCAGCTGCCAGTTTCTGCCTGGAGAAAAAGTGATACGCTGTTGCTCCTGCCGTGCTTGCATCGTGGAAAAACTTGCTCTTCCCCTATTTTTCTCTCCTTGGCATTGGGCAAAGAGGCGGGTCAACAAGGCAGATACCATCTTGCCATCTGCTAGCACTGCCGGGTTTTCTTCTCCTGCTCTTGCTCTATAGGAGGTAGCAAGCACCAGGAGTTACTTGTTCGTCATCCTGTTTACGCGCTCAGCTGATTATGAGCTGCGGCAAGAGCGATGCAGCAGCATATCAGAGCAAGGCGCCAGTTGCAATTATCGTAACTGCAGCGAGCTATTATTGCCTGATGCAGTTGTAATGATTCAAGAGATACCAGATTGAAGCTATTAGTGATGACTGAGAAGAGACTGCCCTGTTGTACCTGCTAGTGAAACATCAATACGTAACTAGCTGTACGAGTTTTGTAGCTGTTTGTCCTGATGTGAATTGAGGAAGATAAATAGTACTGAGCAATAGAGAGCCATTTCTGTTGAGCGAGCGAGTGACTTAGACGGCCCTGTATCTGAGGAAAGATAACAGCTATGAGAAGGACCCAGAAGAGAGCGAGGAAATTGCAACATCCGATCCGCTGTGTCATAAATCTCTGGCAATTAATGTAATGTAATACTATCCTTCCTAGACACCTACAAGATTTTCGCCAATACTACAAGACTCCTTGCTGGCTTTCCCGTAACCCAGGCTATAAACATATTCCCAGTTCGTTTCCCATAATGCGCCGGTGATATCTCAATATAATAAATAGCTCGCTTTATCGACAGTAGTAACAGGCTGTTAGTGAAATTGAATAAAAAAGGTATTTTAGATGGGCGCTGATAAATTTTTTTTCCCAGGCAGAAATCAAGAAGCAGAATTGCAATTCATGTGAGAGTCCTCAACTCCTGTATTTCAGGGCTGCGCTCCTCTTCTTCGTCGACCACGGTTTGGACCATCTGGTCGCTGTGCTAACACATCTCTCAGCTGAGGGTCGTCTTTATTCTTATCAACATGATGTACGCGAACGTGTCTGTAAAATAACAAAATGTCAAAACGCTATCCTGGAGACTCATGTATACGACATAAAGAGCCATGCATGATACAAATAGAAATCATGTATAGCGACGACGGCGAGACATACCTCTGCAAATTGTCTGGCCTTGGATACTTGTGTTCTCTATCTGCACAAAAGGGACAGACATATCCAGGCGAGTCATGCACCAAGCCGTGCCGTATCATCTCATTTTTGCGCTTGAAGCCTTTCCCACCTTCGGCGCGGGGACAGCCCTTGACGGGGCAGTAGTGTGGGCGGGCTGAAGAATGCACATTAGCGTGGGAATTGAGAAGATATTGAGTTTGGAACGGCGCAGCAGTACACCCGTCAAACGTGCACTTGTAGCCTCCAACCTGGGGATTAGTAATTCCATCGATGCTCATACGATCCGCTACAGACGCGATGGCGGCCGGGGGCGAGGCAAGGGCGTAATTGGGCTGGAGATTCTTATTGGAGGCGTTGCTTAGATGGTACTCGGCGGGAGAGCGATGAGAAGATCCGCTGGAGGCCTGGCCATACGGGCTGGAGGCGAGGGAGCTGGGAGACGGGAAGCTGCGCTGATATCCTTCACTGGGGGAGGACATTGGAGGTGACACACGACCACCGGCAGGCATTGGCTGGACAGGCATTGACTGGAGGCGCGAGACACCTACGTTGTTGGAGGACCGGGGAAACGCTCGCGCGTCGCCGGGCGGGCGCATTGACAGGTCCCTGTCGCCGGATGGTGGAGGCATATCTGTCGCGAATTGACTCTCAATATTCAATTCACGAATTGACGGTAGGCTCATGTTCTGGCCGCTGTTACTATCGGTCTTGGACGAGGCAATCTGCAACGGGGCCAGCTCGCCGGACTCGGGCGATAATAAAGACTGCGCGCCATTCTCCATTGCGCTGGGGCGTCCGCTTAGCCTGTGTGGTGATGGAGCACTGAAGTGTTTGGGGCCGTCGTCATGAATGGAGAGTTGGCCAGTTGAGGCCGTCAGGTCCCTATGCCGGTCGTGGTAAGGCGAAGGCGAGTCGAGCGCCAACGCTCCGGCAGCGAAAGCTTGGAGACGATGTGTGCCATCGCTTCTGGCGGTCTGCGGTCGCTGGACATAGTCGACGTCGTTCAAGTGCTTGTCGTCTTGAGGGACACTCTTCTGGGAGTCGTCGTCGTCTTCGGTGGTCTCAAGGTCATCTCCGCCGGGCAGCGCCTGGTGGCTCGCGGTATGTGCTATCTCGGGATTACCACCGTTGGCAAGGTAGGAGATGAGGACAGTATCACCAGACACGGGTTGGAGCTTTAGGCGATTAGACTTGGCATTTCCGTCGATGGGAGGAAGACTGACTGAAGCGATTGGAATGTCCGGGGGAGGGCTCTCGGTGGGTTCGAGCCTGGGATGCACGGCTTTCATCTGAGGAGAGCCTGGGTCCCCGTACGAATCTATCGGATCATAGTCGTGGTACTGTCCTAGCGGCGTCGGTGGCGATCGCGGTGACTGCATCAAGCGTTCCTGGCATTGATCTTGGGGCTGGCTTTGTCGGGCTATCAGTTGCGGAACCGTCGTCATGGTTCAGTTGTCCAGGAGGCCACCGGTCAACTCTCCATGGCACCCTGGGGCATGCGGGGGCTGTAACGCTGTGGTGCAGACAGGAGGTAACTTTATCTGCCTTGGAAGCTGACGAGGATGGATGGACCACGCGAATCCAGCAGCTCTTTCAGTTCTTTTTCCTGCTTCCTTCTCGTACCCCTTTTTCCCTTTTCTCTCTCTCTCTCTATTTTCTCTTTTTATCCCGCTGTTCAAAGAGCCGCTGGCACTGCGAGTCGAGGGCTGAGCAGATGGAAGGGGGACCGTAAAGGCCCTCTATGATTCTCTACGGATTCGTTGATCTCCTAGAGTCCTTGCCAGCCTTTCCCTCCTGCGTTGGGAACTTCTCAGGATCAGCCCCCGCGCAGCTTATGCGCGCGTTTGTGAGTGTGTGTTGCCTTTTTTCTGCGCGAACGGCACGTGAACGTAATTGAACCTCGTCGGGTATCTTATATAGCAGACACCAGGCCCCGTCTGTAGGAGCCGTCTTCAGAGCTACCTAAGGTAAGGACAGAGAGTATGGAGGTATGGCTGGCCAGGAAAATACGAGAAACTGAGGCCAGAGGACGCCGAAATGGCGGAGGAGGGACAATGCGACGCAAAAAAGCAGGACCAGGCAGTCTAGGCTCGAAGGGACTAAAATGACATGCGATAACTCGACGCTCGAATTTGGATCGACCGCAGAACAGCAAGCAATCCAGACGCTGCTGCTACTCGTACTGTAGATGGGTCGAATGGCGGGGGAATGGACAATTAGGCGGCGGCAAAGTGGTCTAGCGCATAGTCAGAGCAGATGCTGTGCTGTCGCATCAATTCCGTAGACGACGCCCGGCGGTTCTGCGCGAGGTTGTGCGCGCTAGCAGCCCGAGAGTGTGTCAGTCCTGTCAGATATTGGATTGAGGTTGACTGCTGTAAATAGCACGGGGCGAGAGTGCGTGAGAACGAGGGAGAGAGGAGAGAAGGCTCGCATCTCGATGGAGCGTCCTGGAGGCCGTGAAACAGCGCCAGCCATTGGTGGTACTACGACTAAACTGCACATACATGCCATTGCGCCTCGTCCTATTGCCTTAGCAGACGATAGGTCGAAATGCGGATCCGCCAGCAGAGTCGAGAAGGTCTCAAGCTGGATGTCAGCAGCTTCTCATGCAAGAATGCGCAGGCTGTGATGGGGATTGGGTGCTGGCAGTGCTGGCAGTGCTGGGTGCCTGACCTAATTGGCTCTAGGCAGAAGGATAGGAGTCTTAGAGGCAGCAGATAGCGGATAGCAGGTACTAATGCTACGAGTACATATGCAATATGCAGGGAGGCAAGTCATGAAGGTAGCAGTGCTAGTATTAGTGTTTGGTGAGTGGCTGAGGACGAGGGAAGGGAAAAGCATGTGGGAACTGCAAATGCCATGGAAGCAGAGCGGAAAAGCAGCGTTGGGGAGTACATGTAGGGTTTGATGTTGATATCATTACACGGGCAAATGGCCCTCTTACTGGATCCAGCCAGTGCTAGCACATCTGCTCCAGGTAGGTGGGAGGGCAAGTGTAGTCCACCAGAGGTAACGGGTAGGGCCAGCAATAGTATTTAATACTGCAACACCACCCGTCTTGGCATCAACCCATCCAGGCGAACCGTTCATTTCAGGCGGGAGGGTTGCGGAGGGTTCCGTCTATCTCTCAGCCATGGCATTTCCACGGCATCCTTATTTATCTGGCATCTGCCGCCGTGACCTCGGTTAACGGCCGCTGACCCACGCCGCCAAAGCCCGCCAAAGCGTCCGGTGTGGCACCGATCTCGAATCGCTCCAGCCGAGGTCAATTCTAGCAGCAATTCAACGCGCTTCCCCGGATCGGAGTGACATAACCAACAAAAAGTAGCAGACCAGCTCTCTAACCTAGACTTTCAATTCCACAAAAGAAGACGTGAACCATTTCTGCCGCTTTCGATTCCCCTGCGTGTCTCAAGTAGGCTTTCTTTGTATCTGAATACCTTGACCCAGTCCATTTGCCGTGCCTTGTATGCGTAGGTAGCAAGCACATGCTCCAGATCTAATCGCAGCTTTCTTTCTTTCTTTTCTTTTTTCTTGTCGCAAATCGCAATGGCTCAGTCCAAGCCCGCCATTTCGCCTTGGGGCGGTGCTGTCGCCGGTGCAACCGGAGCCGTCATAGCAAATGCCTTGGTGTATCCTCTGGATATGTAAGTTTTGTTTTCTATTTTTGTTGTCTCGCTGTGGTTGTGGTTGTTCGGTGCCGTCTCCAACACTGTCGCTAACTTACATGTTTGCGATAGCGTCAAAACTCGGCTACAGGTGCAAGTGAAGCCTTCCCGTTCCGGCGAAACAAGCGACAGCTCTTCCGATGAAGTACACTACACGTCGACCTGGGACGCCATCTCGCGGATCATGGCGGAAGAGGGCCTCCAGGGCCTATACGCCGGTATGAACGGCTCGCTGGTCGGCGTCGCCTCCACAAACTTCGCATACTTCTACTGGTATACAGTTGCCAGGGCGCTATACACAAAATCCGCGGGTCCTTCTGCGGGCGCGCCTTCTACAGCAATAGAGCTCTCTCTGGGCGCGGCGGCCGGTGCCCTAGCGCAGCTCTTCACGATCCCCGTTGCCGTTGTCACAACTCGCCAGCAGACCGCCGCAAAAGCCGATAGAAAAGGGCTCTTCGCAACAGCCCAAGAGGTTATCGAGGGCCCGGATGGTGTCAGTGGGCTTTGGAGGGGTCTCAAGGCCAGCCTTGTCCTGGTCGTCAACCCGGCCATCACATATGGAGCCTACGAGCGGCTAAAGGACGTCTTTTTCCACGGCAAGACCAAGCTACAGCCGTGGGAGGCATTCGGTAAGTCTCCAATACCGAGGTTATTGCTTTGCTCCATATTGCGTGTCCTAACAATATTAGCTCTGGGAGCCATGTCCAAAGCTCTGGCAACGATCGTCACCCAGCCCCTCATTGTCGCCAAGGTGGGCTTACAGTCAAAGCCACCTCCTGCGAGGAAAGGAAAACCCTTTGGCAGCTTCATAGAGGTGATGCGCTTCATTATCGAGCATGAAGGCGTTCTGGGACTTTTTAAGGGCATGGGTCCCCAAATCTTAAAAGGCCTCCTTGTCCAGGGCATTTTGATGATGACAAAGGAAAAGTACGTTTATTCTGTTGGAGGGCACCTACCATATATTCCTTCTAAGGCACAATGCTAACGTTTTCTTAATAGGGTTGAATTGCTTTATGTTCTATTTATGCGATACCTCACCAAGACACTCAGCCTCTCAAGAGCTCGAGGAGCCATCGCGGCTTCATCAGCTGCAGGTTTGGCAAAGAACGCCACACTGGTAGCACCCTTAGTAAAAAGCTGATCCCGTATTTTTTGCTCCTAGTTGATTAATGTTTTGTATGATAGACGCTATCTCTATAGCTATATAGTACTACACAGACCTGCACACGCTTGGTAGCCTTGTAATCTTAGGCATATGAATCTGACGCTTTTAAGCAGCAGTTTTATTTGATGATTACAAATTTATATCTTAACCTGAAATCTTTCTGGCCAAATCATCTAAAACGGTTTCTTTTAATTCGCCAGTTCTCTAACCGAACCTGGTACCAAGGAGATCTCATATATACTCAAAAGGCCTCCCAATTGCCGATCTGGATGGGAGAATCGCTAAATATATCGCCGCAAAGCTCTTGCGCTGCCCGATGCTCCCACAAGCTCTCAATAACCAGATACATGCGGCCATGACTCGTACTAGACGACTCAATATCGAATTCAGGTGTTCGAATAACTGCTCCAGAGTCTTCCACGCCGCCCTTTGATTCTACCAGAATACGCCTTGACCCTTCTGGGACCTTGACAATCGATATTCGGACCAGCAAAGCTGGCAGGGAATGGGTGTCATAATGCAAAGATTCCGACAAAGGTATCGAGCTTTGGAAAGAGGCAATAGCTCGAGTTACCCACGTCGCATCAAGGGATGCCCTCCAACAATGCCCCTCTCCTCTCAAAGTGAATGGTGGTAAAGGCGTCCGTAGTTTTCCTGCAGTATCAGCCGGTATGGGCTCTATGGTCACCGGTGTCGTAGAGCCAAACCGTAATGTGAAATCAGCAGTCTGCTGTGCTTCAAAAGTCGAGCAAACCAGAGTGTAATCGCCCGCTTCAAGCATCTCAAGCTCAGCAGAGGCGCAGCCGCGACGATATTCCCCCGATGAAACGACCAAGTCTTTCCTCCTAACTGTATTTGCACGCTTCCCTCGCGCCCAAATCAGGTCAATATGTACGTGAACGTCTTTATTGCTCGTGGCCAGCAGAGCGGATATGGGGGTGGCGCGAGAGACCGACAGTTTATACTGGGGGTTTAGAAAATAAGTAGTGCAGCCCGAATTTCCTCCCGCGTTTCGCCTATTCCAGGTACCCTGTTGTTCTGTAAAGTATCTCATCTTCTCTCTGGCTTCTTGAACATCAACTGGTCCGTTGGCAAAGACAGATAGCGTAAAGGTATAGCTGGCCAAAGCCAAGTCCTGTTGATCGATAACAACGGTGTATGCTTTACCAGGCCTGCTTTCAATCCGCGCAAGTGTTTGTGGGGAGTCAACCAATGGCCCGGAGTAGGTCGGCCCATCGCTAAGCTGAACTTTGTATCCTTGTTTGTCGAAGACTAGAATGCTCATAAATCCAAGTTGGCTAGCCACTGCTGCTAGAGAGCCAGATTTATTGCGAGCAATCTCAAGTTCGGCATTTGCAAAATGGCGGCTCAGTAAGATCCATACCACTGCCCCGGCCTGCGAAGTGATTGAGAATTGCGGATTCCGCACCAAAGATGCCGCAAGATCTTTAGTGGGAATGTCCCAAGTAAAATGGCGGTCTTGACGGTGGGTAAACAAGGCCGGATTCCAATTGAGATACATGGACTCGAAATGCTGAGCGATATCTTCAATAGAGAGCCAAAAGGTACCAGCCGACGGCGAGCCGGCATCGCCACTATCCTTTTCAGAGGAGGAGGGTGTATCGAACCTAGGCCTCCAAGGGTTTTTAACTAGAAATTTACGACTCAACGAGTCAATATCTTGCACAGCATAATCGTGCTCCCCTATGAGACCCATGATGTCTCCTTCTTCGGCAGAGATGTGGCCAGTACCAAGAGTAATGATGACATTCTCCATTTCATAAGCTGTTTTGATTCTGTCCCACGTCTCGTCTATATCAAATGCTTCCCTAACGATGTGTCAGCAGGCGATCTACTTCAACTTGATGCAGGTGCAAATTCGTACCTCTGGAGAAATAACTGTTCTGGTATCCAACCAGTGAGAACCCAGAGATCAGTCCCCGAATTGCTACCTGGAAAATCATAGCCACCTCTTACTTTGAGATAAGCCTTTTCGAGCAGCGCCGGCCATAGCAGACAAGGCTGGTGTCGATTGATAACAAAGAGCGCCCGGTCTGTACCCGAAGCGGGCAGTCGATCATCTATGGTGACTCTACGAGCACAGCCGTTGAAGTTTAGCCGGAATATGTATTTCCCAGCGGGAGATAGCCTGGGCTGCCCCCTTTCGTGGTCAAATGGATGCATGATCGTAGAGAGGACCTAGACGCAAGATGTTAAATGAGGTAGCAACATACAGTACACCTACTTACTGCATGCTTCCCGGTCCAAATCTTTGCAGCGGCAGAAAGGCTGGCGACGACTGAGCAATCGGTAGTAATGTCCTGCACCAAGTCGAGCCGCGCGCTCTGTGTCATAAGACTATCATCTTGATCGGCAGGGAAAGGACCAAATAGCTCATGCGGCCTGTGCCATGCTAAAAAATTGGCCTCTTGGTCTTCAGAAAGCGGAAAGACGGTATCATCACTGGATTCTGTCAGAACAAGATCTATGAAAGCCGGTTGTTGTCCACATCTCCGCAATATAATGAAGGCGTATAGACTGAGGGGTAACCTCACATGAATGGTTTCAAGTCAGGCCCGAGTTGGAACTCAGCTCCCAGAGGGTCTTCACTCCAAGGCGGGTAAAAGTTACCGTGAAGTCGTGAAGCGCCCTGCAGGAGACCCAGGCCATTCTTCACAGGCGGCGGCGAAGAGGCTGGTACCTGAGCTTTGAGCTGTTCGGCGAGTTTGATGAGCTGCTGACATCTGCGGCGAAACCGAGCTGCTTCCTCTTTGCTGATCCCCTTCTCAGCAGCTGCTCGCATATACAGCTCGGCCGCCTGTATAGCATAGTCTAGAGCTTTCTGGCCGGTTGATGTTGCGAGCAGAGACTCTACGTCCTGGACAGAAAAGCCATTGTTAGTGAACACGGCATCTTATACTATGATGTGCTGGGATGTTGAAAACGAGGGCCTACTTTTGCTCTCTTCTCCATGCCTCAGGTAGGTGGCATTATAGCTTCACGGAGCTCATTCTATATAGCGATAGCAGACATGGGAGATGACATTCAAAGTGGGTTTAAGAACAACATGCACCTAACGGGACCCTTACATCATAAGTTCCTAGGCAGCACCTTGCAAAGGTGGAAGAAGAAGCCCTTAATTTAGGTCGGTGGTCACTTCGCTACTCCAAAGACAGCTGCTATTGGACAGCTTCGGTCATTAGTAATACAGATGCTAGTACTACCAGTAGTGGAATAAGCGGCGATACAGCAATGTTATTCAAGGCAAAGAGAAACAAAACGGTACTTTTTCCATATTAAAAGCTTTTTTAAAAATCTAATTCTCATATTATTTATTATTTATAATATTGATGGGTATATAATCCTGTTATCTCATGAGTCTAAAATAGCTCGTCTATTTCGTCTCTAAATTCTCTATGCAGCTGAGATAAAACATAAGAGGGCTTCATAGCCTTTGGCCTTCGTATCGGAGTCTTAATATCTTTACATTTAAATGCGGTCTCGCACCCCTCCTCATCGTTGCTTGTTTTCCAATGTATACTCTGAAAGTTTGATATTTTCCTCTTTTCCAAGAGAGCCGGGTCTGTTTGCCGCCTTCTGCGATCGGAAATAATTCGACGAGAAACTCTTCTGTGAGGCCCCTCGAAATGCATCTCTTCTTCGCTGTCCTCCAAGTATCGATCATTTTCAACATCGCTGAGACTTGTGGCCTTGGCAGCCGTGGCACTTCTACTGGCTGCTGTTCTTCGCTGAGGGCTAGTAGGCAATACCCATTCACTAATCCCTTCTTCCCACCGCCAGCCGGAGAAAATCGTGCTGAATTTTGGATCGGCAGGAGCGGTCATAGACAGATTCTCCGCAAAGTTCAGATCACGAAGATCTTCAGTCTTTTGAGCTAGCATAAAGGCAAGATCTTTTCGCAGTCCATGTCCAAACCAGTCGGGCAGTTTCTCATGATTCAGCTTTGAACAAAGATCAGCCAATATTTGTTGGCCAGAGGCTGAGCCACTGCGCCTGCGACACTGGATAATGGTACATAGAAGGATGATTGTCTGCTGATACTGTTTACCGTTATTAGCTTCGGTATCGATTTTGTGAGCCATGTTTTCAAAGTTCTCAGCAACCCGTCTTCTAAATCCGATATTTGCCAGCTCTGAGTTGGCCACCGCAATATAGCGGGCGAGGACGAGCAGAAATGAGGCATTGTCCTGGGGGCTATTTCGACTCTTGTACCGTGCAATGAGTGAGATGCTACGATCAAGTACATAAACGAGCCGCCTCCACGCCGATAGTCTCTGTTCCTGTTCTCCAGGTATAATTTGTGATTCCAAAGTTAGCGCCGCGACCGCTAAACCAGCCGCAATGCGGATTAGAGCCTGCTCTATGGCATCGCACTCTGCAGTTTTAGGCCTGTAGCCTCGAGCAAGGGTCCATATAGCTGAACACGTAAATTCGATAATATGCTGTTTGGCATTTCCTGAAGTCAGCCCTTCGAGGCTAGATATCCAGAAACCAGAGAAAGCTCGCGATGAAAGCGCAGATGGCGAGAGACGTCCTCTATTAACCAGAGCAGACACACACTCAAAAATAGGGCCGGGTATTTTCCTCCCTTTCAGCGAATTTAATAATGCCCAAAGCGATGAGAGGTCTTTGCTCTCGCCAAAATGAGATGGCCTGGCCCGCAGCAAGGAAACTTGCCGTTTGTATATGGACGCAACCAGCTTGCTAGCCTCCTCGTTGCCTTTCAAATAAACACATAGGCGTACCATGAGATTGTAAAATTCCGGTCTGAAGAGCCCATCAACAATGGCATTTGATATGAGATGTATAGCCTGAGAACGAACCACCAGCCTTAGTGGTCGCCATCCAGAACGGTCTGCTCCTAGGGTTTCAATCTGGTCAAATATGTCTGAAGCTGCGTCAGATATTTTCCATATTGATTCACCTCCGCTATCTTTTAGCTGTTGTCGATCATACGCATCTATATTCGCGATACAGTCCGGAATCCTGCGCAAGCACATAGCAAGTAGCGATTTACCGCGGGGATGCTTTCCCTGAGGTGTGGTTGAATGCAGCAGTCGGTGTAGCCAGTGAAATATTGCTTCATAGATGCGATATGGTTCGCTGGGCACATGCCGTCGAACCGCATTTAGCTCTTCAATCATGTCGGGCGGAAGCGAATTTAATAACTCGTGCTCGATATCGATATTCTTCTTCGGCGTGTCAACTTGGTCTCGAATCTTGCGCCATACAGGTGTGAGGAAATCGACTGATTCTGACGTTGGGGACGCGTTTCCAAGCCTCATAGCTCCTAGAGTACGGAATGTTCGTGGCGGCGTTGTAACAGATTTTTCAGATACAGACTGCGTCGCTCTCTTGTTTCTTTGGCCGTACGTAGAGCGAAGGCGCTTCGATGTCGGATCTTGGCCATTGTCCGAAGTTCGTTTAAATCCGGCCAACGGCGCTGAGGGTTTCTCGGATACCAGCTTTCGAAGATTAGCTAGGCGCGACTGAAGCTGGCGCAGCAGTCGCTGGCACCGTGCGGCGGTCCATTGCTGAGGGCCGTCCGAATCTGAAGCTCTGGAGCCTACATAGAGTCGCGATCTTGTGCTAGAGCGTTGCGATGGTAGAGCTCTCGCTGCCACCGCCGATGAATCCATAAAAAAAAAGTACCAAAATTAAAAGCAACCAAAAGCTAATAATAGCTGCAAAATAAAGAATAGGAAAATGCAAAGCAGTTGCTTAGCCCAGCATCTTTAACGTGTCGTGTATCGACATTGCTTTTGCAAAACAGTGATGAAGCACTGGCACGGATGCTGCTTGTAGTAGTGAGGCACAAGCCTCTGTTTACTTTGTTCTGTTTTCGCACTAGATCGGAGCGCAGACCCTACTAGGGGTTTTCCTGTTTCGTAGAAAGTCTAGCACCCGCGGGGTACTAACGGCTCGCCTGGAAATGCTGAGCCGAGCCAGGTACTTCCCATGTACCCCGCCGCTCCGAATTGCCGGACCGTAGACCAAATTTTTTTTCTTTTTCTGCCGGAGCCGGTTCCTTTGGTGCGTGACTGACTCTTTTCAACCCAATTCTTCAAGACGTCCCAGTCATTTCCGACCAATATTTAAATGACTGGTCTCTTCCTTTGTTCTAGAATATCTCGTCGTTAATCGTCCCGCTTTCTTCACCCCCCTCGCGTATGACAATGGCGGCCGAAGCACAAGTAGCTGCGAATCCCCCTCCAGGTAAAGAGGCCCCAAGTATACAGGGCTTTGTCGACAATCCGGCTGACCACACTGGTACATCCCTGTAGCTGATGCTGTCGATGACAACGCCATGTCTACTCCCGAGAAAGCAGTGGTTGAAGGGGAGGCGGAGGCAGAGGCAGAGGCAGAGGCAGAGGTTGATCCCGCGGCCGAAGGTATTTGCTCTGTGCCGCCAATTGCAGCTTCAAGGCCTAACATTGTGCTTGATATAGCTATTATAAACCTCACAATCGTGCTTCCCGATCCCGAGGCTGAGCGAATGCAAATTATGGTGGGCCTTAGAACAAGCCTTGACCCAGTCATTGACGCTGTATTAATACAACTATAGGTATCAACCCAAGAGCAGGTCCATGAGATCCGACAGTCCATCATCGACTCTCCTGCGGCATTCCAGTACACATGCTTCCACCTCGAGTTCCAGGGCCAAAAGGTCAATGACTTCATTCCCTTGGCCGAGATCCCAGACCTTGGCACCGAGCCGGAATTTCGCCTAGTACCGGACCCATACACCGAGAAGGAGGCTCGCATCCATCTAGTGAGGATTCGAGAGCTCATTGGCGCCGCTGGCAACCGCTCCGATGCTTCCCAGGGTATCCTCCCCGGCCTGTCTCTGTACGAGTCTGTGACCAAGAAGCTGTCGACCGAGGCCGAGGGCGGCGAGGAGCAGTCTCTTACAAAAGACTATGACTTCCAGGCCATTCCTTCAATCACCAGCCTCATCCCCGAGCCCATTGACCCGGCGCCCAAGACTGTCAAGATGGTAGCTCTCTCATCGTGGAACCCCCCACCTTGCCATCTGCAGCAGCGGGGCCATTTGCTCTACATCGTTGTCACCACCAACGAGGGCGAACAGTTCCAAGTCACTGCGCACGTGTCTGGCTTCTTCGTCAACAAATCCTCCAACGCCAAATTCGATCCATTCCCGCGGCCCGCGCCCAAGGGCCAGTCCGCTCACTCTCTGTTGAAGTTGATTGAACTGCTGTCGCCCTCCTTTTCCGACGTTTTCAAGAACCTCCAGGAGTACAACAGCCAGCGAGATCCCCTGGCCACCTTCCAAATCACCAACGCTATCCCCAACTCGCCTTGGGCTGTGCCATCTCCCAGCTCGGCTCTTTGCACACACTCTCCCGATGTCACGAGACCTCAGGAAACATATCTGCTCGCTGGTGTCGACAATACCGACACATTGCGCGATTGGAACGAAGAATTCCAGTCCGCAAAGGAGCTTCCCAAGGAGACCGTCCAGGACCGAGTGTTTCGCGAGCGCCTGACGTCCAAGCTTTTCGCAGACTACAACGACGCTGCCGTCAAGGGCGCAGTACTGATTGCACACGGAGACATTGCGCCGCTGAATCCTACAGAGACCAAGGATGCGCAGATTTTTGTTTACAACAACATCTTTTACTCTTTTGGAGCTGATGGCGTCGGTACCTTTACATCGGAAGGCGGCGATGAGGCTGCACGTGTCGCTACAGGAAAGGATGTAGCTGGTGTGCAGATGGTGAACCAGCTGGACATTGACGGCCTGTTCACCCCGGCTACCGTGGTTGTTGACTATCTCGGAAAGCGAATTGTCGGCCAGAGCATTGTTCCTGGCATCTTCAAGCAGCGTGAACCTGGCGAGCACCAAATCGACTACGGTGCGGTGGACGGAAAAGACGTTGTTGCCATCAATGACCAGTTTACCACTCCTTTCGCCCAACTCTCCAAGGCCCTCAAGGTTAAGCAGCACCCTGTTTGGGACAAGGACGGCAAGCGATTCGATCTTGAGGCGAGCGTGGAAACCAAGGGATTGGTGGGTACCGATGGTCGTAAATATGTTCTCGACCTCTACCGAATCACACCTTTCGACATTGCTTGGCGAGAGGAGACTTCCACCGCGGAAGGTCAGACGGAACCCTCAGAGTACCCTCACCGTATGACGGTCCTGCGACCTGAGTTGGTGGACTCGTTTGGCCGCTACCGTATGAAGCAGTGGCTCGATACCGAATTGGCTCGCCGTGTCAAACCCAAGGCAGAAGACGCTTCAGCTGAAGCCACGGGTGAGGCCAAGGAGGAGGAGACAAAGGAGGAGACAAAGGAGGAGACAAAGGAGGAGAACACTGAAGAGAACAAGGACGATGAGGCCAAGGAAGAGAAGGACGAAGTTGCAAAGACAGATTCCAATGAGGCCGAACAGAACCAGCCCAACCTGGCGGATTTCAAGTTTGGACTCAACCCCGACGCTTTCAGCGGCCAGGTTCCTCGCACTGAGGAGGAGAAGGCCGAGCTCGAGGCCGACGAGCAAGAAGTTAGGGCGGCGGGAGAATACCTTCGCGACCGAGTCATTCCCGAATTCTTGCGCGAGCTTACTGATTCTGACATCAGCTTCCCCATGGATGGCCAGTCGCTTGGCCGTATCCTGCACAAGCGAGGCATCAACATTAGATACCTCGGAAAGATCACTTCGCTTGCTGTCAACGACCGACTCCGTTGCCTGCGCGAAATCTGTATCCAGGATATGGTTTCCCGTGCCTTCAAGCACGTTTCTGCCATCTACCTGCGCTCACTTCCCGTTGTTTTGGCGCCCTCTTGCATGTCTCACCTCCTGAACTGCTTGCTCGGCCACCAGCTTAACGCCGAGCCTGTCGCAGACATTGACCAGACTCTCCGCGAACTATACCCTGAGGCAGATTTCTCGTTCGAGACGGTGACACCTGAGTCACTTCGGGAACAAATTGAACAGCAAGTCTCTAACCGCTTCCGCTACGAACTGGGTGCCAACTGGTTCAACGAAGTCCGCCCCGTACAGCTGCTTCGTGATGTCTGCATCAGAGCAGGCGTCCAGGTTCTAGCAAAGGACTACGTGTTCGACAGCGCCGCTGCCGGAGCCGCTGTTAGCCCTGCCCAGCCAGAGCAGGCCAACGGCGAGACCAAGGCCGAGCCCAAGACCGAGACCAAAAACAGCAAGAAGAAGAAGAAGACCAGAGAGGGCTCTCCTACAGCCACAGCAGCCCCCGAAATCGTCTCTACTTTCACGCCTGACGATATTCAGAAGGTTGTGCCAGTTGTGAAGCACTCTTGCCCTCGCAGCTCGCTCGCCGAGGAGGCCCTTGAGGCCGGACGCATCTCCATCCTTCAGAACCAGAAGAAGCTTGGACAGGAGCTGCTGCTGGAGTCCTTGTCGCTCCACGAGCAGATTTACGGTATTCTACACCCCGAAGTTGCGCGAGTCTACAACAGCCTTTCCATGCTATACTACCAGCTCGACGATAAGGAGGTCGCAGTTGAGTTGGCTAGGAAAGCCATCATTGTTTCGGAGCGCACTGGCGGCGTGGACTCTGCCGAGACGCTTCTCAACTACCTGAACCTCAGTCTCTTCCTGCACCAGGTCGGAGACAGTAAATCGGCGCTGGCCTATTCCATCCATGCGCTGAAGCTGTGGAAGATCATCTACGGACCGGGCCACCCAGACTCAATCACGACGATCAACAACGCGGCCGTGATGCTGCAGGGCGTCAAGGCTTACCACGAGTCTCGGCTGTGGTTTGAAGAGTCACTGCGTGTATGCGACTCCGTCTTCACTAGACAGTCCATCAACTCCGCCACCCTGCTGTTCCAGCTGGCTCAAGCCCTCGCGCTTGACCATGACTCAAAGGCAGCTGTCAACCGGATGCGTGAATCCTACAACATCTTCCTCGCCGAACTGGGTCCAGAAGATAAGAACACCAAGGAGGCCGAAAGCTGGCTGGAACAACTGACCCAAAACGCCGTGTCGATTGCTAAGCACGCCAAGGACGTACAGGCCAGACGTATTCGTTCCGGTCTCCGATTCCCAGCGCAGACAGCTCAGGCCGTGGGCGCAGCACCGGCGCGAGGAGCCCCCCAGATGGACTCTCGCAGCATTGACGAACTCATGAAGTTCATCGAGGGCGCAGACTCATCCAAGACCAGCAAGAAGCGACCTGGACGCGGAAACCCCAAGCGACGAGGAGCGGCCAAATAAAATAAAACAAAAAGGAAAACAAAAAGCCTATGAGCATACCACTTTGTAGTAGCAGGCATGAATTTACCGCTAATTCTCGAATATTGACTGTGTATGAACGAGAGATGCCATAAGTTTCATGAATGTGTATGGGAAAGGGGGGGGGGGGGGGTTCGTTTTGTTAAAGACACAAGGATGGCGGCTTAGTGGAAAAAAATATTCCTTGCATGTGCTGTTCATGGAATGTATTATATAGTGTACAGGAGCATAACAAAAGGAGGAAAAGCAAAAAGGATTATATGTATATCTAACGTACTATATATAGGAAGGCGGGCGGGCTTCTGACATGACATTTAGAAGCAGACCCTGGAAAATGATAACCTCACTCATCACCGACATACGAACACGCTCATTCTCTCCAAATAGTAACTGTATAATATATAAATCAAATCGTCTGGTTTACAAAATGTCTGCTCTTAAACAATACTGTCTCTTTTCTTTTTATTTATTTTCTGTTTTCTTGCTCTTCTTCTCTTTAAACACAAAACCAGACGTAACAGGCATTTCTGCTCAGCAGACTGAGCAGACACATAAAACTCAATCCATACAATTCATACAATAGGTAGCCACCTTTCGTTAACCAGGTATCACACTCCTTCCTTGCCAACCCATAAAACACCGGAAAGAAAAACAAAAGAAAAAATCAGGTCGTAGAGGCAAAAGTGTCCCGTCCTCATGATAGGTATTGCCCCCAGCTCGTGCGCCTTCCTTCCCCAGCTGTCCATTTTTACCCTTTAACCATTCCATATAAAAGTACAGACGAAGATATAAGAACAAAAGTTTTTAGAAGAAAACACACACACACACACACACACACACACACACACACACAAAAACACAAAAACACCAAAGCATACCAGAAAACAAAGACTGTTTCCTATTTTTCCCTTATCCCCTCAGTGAAAAGCAAAAAACACCAGTTTCACGACCCGCCTTTTAGGGCAGCGCCAATTGAAACGCCTCTCCCTACTGGGGCGTGATATGCGCCTATACTTTGAAATCCCCTGTGCAGAAAAAATAGTCAGATAACATCAGAGAAAATAAGTGAAGAAAATGGAAGAGAAGAGAAAAAAGATGGTAAGCCAAAGCCGATCTTAACATACCTCATCAGGTCAAAACCTTGCTCATCTTCAGGCTCATCGCCAGCATCTGCAGCCTCATTTTGGCCCAATTTCTGTGGCCGAGATGGACTGCTGGGCGGTGACTTGCCGCCAACCGTGGGGGGGCTGCTGCTCCGTGTGGGAGCCTCTCGAGATGCTCGTGAAGGACTGACTTCGTACGGCGCCATTGGCTTCAGCGGCGTGCTGCCAATGTCGGCGTATTTCCAGAACGGCGCCGGCGAGCTTGTCGGCATGTGCTGGCTCGGCCGCTGCGCAGTGCTCGGAGGCGCAAGCTTGGGGTGTACTCGGGGCGGCGCAGGGGTGACGAATGACGGGTTGTCGTCCTGCAGATACGACGAGGTCAACGTCGGCGACTGCGGGTGGAACCCGGGCAGCGGCGAGTCGGTTGTCGTTGACTTTCGTGCCCGGGGCAGCGGGCTGCCGTCGGCCGTCAGAGCGGAGCTGAGGCCGGTGTGGCGATCGTATGCGCGATCCGGCGTTGACTGTAAGGCGCGGCGCGATGATTGGGGAGGCGGCGATTTCAGCGGCGATCCTCGCCGCTTCTGCGCGGACGGAAGATCCCTGGCTAGCATGTCCTTAGGGCCGTGTGTAATATAATTCAGCTGGCTCGGCGATGACGGCACCGACGACCCTCTATGCCCGCCGCGGCCAATCTTGTATGCATTTCTAACCATTTCGTCGCGCGCCTCGGGCACAATATGCCATTTCATGCCCTTGCCGGGCTCGTCGGTGGTTCGGGCGACCTTGTCGAAGGATTTGTTCAGCGACAGATTGTGCCGGATAGAATTCTACATTTGCACAGATCAGATCAGCATTGAGGAACTACTAACCAACAACACAACATGTCGATGCGACTGCATGGCTACTCACCTGCCAACCAGCCGCGTGTTGGTGGCGATAATAGGAATAACTACTCATGATGAAATTATAGATGCCGTTGAGATTGAGCTTGCCGTCCGGCGCATTGAGGATGGCCTGCGTGATCATCTGCGCATAGCTATACTGGGGTTTCATGTGCTGATTATCGTCAAGACTAAGGTCTACGCCGCTGGCTCCCAGTATTCCTCCCGGAGTGCTCGCTGCGACCGGGGATTTTGTAATCGCTGCAACGTTGCGGTCGTGAGACGAGGTTGGCGTGCCCGGTCGCTTCTGTTCTATCTTGGCGGGAGTGTCCAAGCCATAGCGGCGAACCTGCGCGTTGGCAGCCTTTGGAGTCCCGAGAGCCCGTCCGCACCGCTGGAGGAAGATCGGGTGGATGTGGAGTGCACTCAGCTCTGACGGAAGCACAAACATCATCTCGACGTTGCCGATCTCAATCACTTCACCACTGGTCAGCGCATGTGATGTCTGGGCCTTGACGGGCTGGCCATCGACCTTTGCCCCGTTGCGACCCTTGACGTAGAGCATCCACTTCTCGTCCTTGGAGTTGAACGAGATGGATGCGTGCTCGCGCGACACCATCTTGCTGGGGCCGAGGTCGATGTGCACCGCTTCATGGGCAGCATCAGCACCGCCTGCCCCGCCATGCGCCGCCTCCGGTGCGCGTCCGATGTGGACGCTGAGCTTGGTGATGTAGTATGTCCAGTCCTGTGCGGCCACCTTGGCATACGCCTTGACGCCGTCGCCGTTGGCCTCGTGGATGGCGTTGGAGTGGTCTTTGCTGGCCTGGACCGGCTGTGTCTTGAGCTGCTGCGTCACCTGCGCCACCAGCTGGTCGTCTTCGGCTCTGGACGGCGGCTCGGGCTCGGGAGCTTGCGATGCGGATGCGCCGTGGGTGGTGCTGCTGCTGGCGTTGTTGGTGTTGCTGATGTCGGATTGGTCTGGCGACCGGGCCCTCTTGCGACGCTTTGCGGGACGGCTGGGGGACGAGCTTTCGACGTCGGCTGCGGCGATTTCCTTGTCCTTGCTGCGCACATCGCGCCGGCCGCGCTGGCTTCTCTTGGCCGACGCCGGCATAATAAATGACTTGTATTCTCTGTAGTATGTATATGTAAAAAGATGATGATTGTCGAGGTTCGGTCGCCCGTTGCGTTATAGTGGGTGGAGAGGTTTTTATAAAAACGATGACGATGGCGATGGCGGCGAGCGAAAAGTTGCGAAACTTTGAAGCTGCGGAGATTCTCTCTAAGCGGATAGGAATTATATTTTTTTTCTCTCTTTTACCCAGTCTGCGGAAAAGCTAAAAGACTGTTGAAAGAAGGCAAAAGTCGACGGTCCCGAGGTGGCGCATGCGAGGCCACAAAGCCTGGCGATCAAGTTTGTGCGCCCCAGGCTGGCATTTAAAAATGCTTTTTTTCTGGCTTTGGCAAACAGACAATGAATCAATCCAGAAGTGCCCGTCCAGGTATTTTTCAGGCGGCCTTGACGACAGAATCGCGTTCGCGTCTGACGACCCACCACTTAAGAACGGGTGGAACTTTAAAGTGGTGAAGGTACCTGGGTACTTGCAAAGGCTGGTATCTCTGTTAAAATTTTCCCGCCATACAAGCCTGCGCGCTATCGGTAGTACTTGTGAAGACGTTGCGGCAAAAGTCTCTGCGGTCGCCCAGCTACCAGCTGCAGTGCCAGTTCCCCATACGGAGCCTCGGAGAGCCAAAGCCAAACAAGCCAAGTCGGGCTGGAATTTGATAACGGCGGCAAGTCTTGAATTTATCGACGCCGCCGCCTTGGGGCATGGAGGTAGGGACAGCTGCGCAGGAGGCGCTGAGATGGATATGTCTTTGATCCCTTTATCCCTTGATATCCCTTTGAAGATTGTAGGCATCCCTTGGAGCAGTATATGTAGCGGTACATGTAGCGGTACATGTAGCATCTATTGCAGGCCACAAGGGCAGCCTTTGATGGAGGGGCAACGCAGCTTGTAACTATGAGGCGTCACAGGTACCACTATTGCTGGGAACCTTGGTGCTCCGTGTAAGAGGTCTACGTAACTGGGCACTGGGCACGAGACACTGTAGAATTACCGGACCCTTGCCACTGTTTGTTCCTACAGATTCGCGCTCAGCCCTGCCTAATGCTAATGCCTCGTCCCGTTGACGAAACAGCAGCGCATGGCAACAGCGCACATGCCCAGGGCACTGACCAGGTTGGTGAGACCTGGACCTTGACCTTGCCTTAGTTGCTTAGCTGTGCAAAGGCCTGACATGCATATCATCCTTGCTGCTCTAGCGCCGAGCAGGCCTCCGATGCGCGGAAAATCGATTTTGCGGCTGCGCCCACGGTTGCTGCGAAACTCTGATCCTTGGTGCAGCGCCAGGCTAGCATCGATTCGCTGAACGCTACAGAGTGAGCTAAGTTGGTTCATTCTTTAAATTTTGGGCGTGTTATCAAACGGGCGACGTCGGCAGTTTGTTCACCTGCCGCATATCTGTATTCTGCATACAACATCGCTGTGGAAGAAAACCCTCCTCATTTGCTTTTCGCCCTCGAATAGACTTTGCAAGAGTCCGTCGTCTCTTGCTGAATCCGAAACCCCGACCGTCGACGATGCGATAGGGCTGCCCAGCCTCAACCGCGACACACCATGGCTAGCGAGCAGGTCTACGGCGTCACGCCGCCAATCTCCGTCAACCTCCCGACCGAGGCCGAAAAGCGCGCAAGCGATGCGCTCAAAGACGAGCTTCGGCGCCAAAAGACATTCGAAAGCCCGTCAGAAACCGACAAAAGGCACGTTCAAGCTCGGATCGTCGCAACAGCTCTGCTTGTCCTTTCCCCCCTTTGGCTGACTGGTTGAGCCATACAGATGGCAGGTTCTCGACTCACTGCAGTTGATTTGCAACGAATTTGTGAGAAAAGTAGCGGCGGAGAAAGAGCCTAAGAACGAAATCCTCATCAAAAACGCCAGGGGCAAGGTGTTCACGTACGGCAGTTTCCGCCTGGGGGTCTTCGGCCCTGGCTCGGATATTGACACGCTCATCGTCGCGCCCAAATATGTTACTCGCGAGGATTATTTCAAGTACTTCCCGGACCTGTTGGTCTCGATGGCGCCTGCAGGCGCCATAACAGACCTGACTGTTGTCACGGATGCCTTTGTGCCTATTATTAAATTTGAGTATTCCGATATCAGCATAGATCTAATCTTTTCCAGAATCATCCAAAAGCAAATCTCCCCGGATTTTGCCGACCTCAAAGATTCCAGCTTATTGCGCGGTTTAGATGAAGCTGAATTGCGATCTTTGAACGGCACAAGAGTTACAGATGAGATTCTTGCTCTTGTTCCTGAGGAGGCCACATTCAAGCTTGCTCTTCGAGCCATCAAACTATGGGCGCAGCGTCGAGCCGTCTACGCGAACATTATGGGTTTTCCGGGCGGCGTCGCCTGGGCAATGTTGGTGGCTCGTGTTTGTCAGCTGTATCCCAAGGCCGAGACATCAGTCATTGTCAACAAGTTCTTTTTGGTGATTGGTCAATGGCGATGGCCGCAGCCTGTACTGCTTAAGCCCATAGGCAGCGGCCCTCTCCCAGTTCGCGTCTGGAACCCGAAGGTGTGCATTGGAAAGGCTGCTCCTAGCCCGTCCATGGGACGTACTGACGCGATTGACTGCTAGGTTTACAAAGGCGATTCATTCCACCTCATGCCTGTCATTACCCCAGCGTATCCTTCCATGTGTGCGACATTCAACATTACCCGATCCTCGATGACCATCATTCAGCGCGAGCTGCGACGCGGGCTAGAAATTTCCGAGGAAATCATGGTTGGCAAGAGACCGTGGAGCGACTTGTTTGTCAAGCATACGTTTTTCACGCAAGGCTACAGATACTACATCTCAGTCGTCTCTGCGAGCAAGAACAAAGAAGCGCACAAGGTGTGGTCGGGCTATGTAGAGTCCAAGGTCCGAATGCTCGTGCAAAAGCTGGAACAGCATTCGTCCATTGCGCTCGCGCATCCGTTCAACAAAGGATACGACCGGCGACACCTTTGTAAGAATGATCACGAGATCGAGCAAGTGCAGGAAGGAAGCCTTGAATTTGTTATCAAAGATGAGGGCAAAGACCAAAAGAGCGAAGAAAAGAACCCTAAGCTCGAGGAGAACCAAGATTCTTCTGCGTCCACCTCCCCAGTCGAGGTCTACACCACCACTCATTACATTGGTATTGAGCTAGAAGAGGGTATGGCCCTTTTATCCCCCATGCCTCTACACTTTGTTCTTGTTTCTTGTCATACCTGGAGATTGCATGTCTCGTGATGCTGATTGTGCAGGCGCCAAATCCCTGGATCTATCATATCAAGTCGATGAGTTCAAGGTCCTATGTACCAGTTGGAAGAAGTACGAAGATGAACTGCGGCCATTAGTATCTCTGGGTGTACAGCACGTTCGAAAGTAAGCCATGTTACCTCCGCTTTTTTTTGGTCGAAGAATATTGGTTGATAGTTGGCAAAGTTTCAATCTCCCAGACGACGTCTTTGAAGCCGGAGAAACGAAGCCTCAAAAGAAGAGCGCTAAAGGCCTGGCGAACAAGAAGCGAGGCCCGACAGAGGTAATACGATCGCATCGACTTTCCCCTGCGCTTTGTGGGATGCGATACCCTCCATTCGGTCTCCTAAGTAGGGAGAGAGCGTACTAATTGGTTGATAGGATAACACCCCGCCGGCGAAGAGACAGCAAGCTTCAGTTGTAGCTGCTGGTTAACGAGAAGCGCATACAGTGCTCGCGGTTCAAACCTCCATTTCCGTTTGGACAAATGCTTTCCTGAAAACTCAAGCTGACGTTAAGGAAGTGGATGAATCTTTTCTATGAATCTTTTCTTTTCTCTCCGTCGTAACTCCTGCTAGTATTATCTGGAAAACTCAGCGTACACGACCGACCTGATAGCTTTCCAACCCCCATTGTTTTTGCTTTCCTTCTACTTCGTTCTACTTCTTTGACTTTTTACTCTTTTCCCTTTTTGCATCGTCCTTGTCTTATTTCGTACTCGTCCTTCTTTAAGGCGGGCATACGAAGTACATAATAAAACGGCGCCTAATCTGATATAACAGGGCGATGATAGCGGGCAGCTGCGGCATCACCACCTTATACCGCATATTCTACGATTCCGTAGCAGATAACCTTCGGCCGTATTTACACTGACTCAAGGGTCTTCTGGGGGTGAAACTACCCTTATTCTTTTTTTTTTTTGTTCAGATTTGCATTTAAGCCCGTAGCAGGGAGACTAAATTTAGATAGGTAGATTTGGTTGCCATGAATGCAATTACTCTAAGACATTGGAAACTGGCCGTGAATTTGTAAACTGTGCGAGACATCAAGTGATTCTAAGCCTGCTCTTTTTAGTCAGCAAGGGAGTGTCCCTTATTGAGCTTTTAGAGTACTCAGTCCCCCCTTTTTCAAAGGTAACGCCAATGACTGCGACATTGCAAGCCAGGCCGTTTATCCTCACGGATTCTCACCATAAATTGTCATCATAGATCGTCATCATCCAAATCGCTACCGCTAGACCAGTCATCCTCATACGCGGCTCCCAGCTCAGCCAAGCCATTCGCTAGATTCTCCCTGTCTTCCAGCGGGATGCTCAAGGCGACCCGTGATCGTAGATCCTTCATCTTGTACACAATCGAGCCATCTGACGCAAGAGACGTGTGAACGGCAATGTTGTTTGCGTCTTCAACATTGTAGTTGTATATTGACGGGAAGCTGTCAAGGAGGGGGTAGAGGAGGGATGTTTCGTAGCTGTATGATTCATTCACGGTTAACCATTTTTCTCAAGTTTCACTCATGGTGCGGTAGCAAAACTCACTTTCGTACGACGGTGTTCCCAATAATGGGCCGCTCGTTTGCCGCAGACTCGTCATTCTCATTGCTTGAGTCATCAGGTCTTCGCACGCCTGATAGTCTTCCAAAGGCTCGACTGCTGCTGCTCCCTGTCTTAGGACCATCTTTCAAACTTCCAATCTGTGACAGATCCATATCCGGAAGCTCATCCGACTCCAAGGCCGCAGGTCCCACAGACATGCGCATATTCGCGAGCGTCTGCCGCCCAGATACATTCAGACACTCCGCCATATCAGCCAAACTCACCGGCTGGGTTCTCCCATCCAGCCGTCGCCTCGATGGCAGTGAAGCGCTTTCCGCAGCCGTAGATAGAAGCGCAGAGACATTCCACGCCGAACTGTAATCCACCCCAACGCCATTCGGAAGACGTCCCTCAGGCACAGCAAGCGGCACCACCATACTCGCCTGCGCACAAACCTCATTCAAACTCAACGCCGTATTCGCCAGCCTCAGGCGTCTCTTCTCCCTCGCAACCGTCGACACGGGGCTCTGCAGCCCCCAGACCCAAATACACGTCTTCGGATGCTCATCCCGCAACGCTTCCAAATACGAGCCCGCAAAGCCTCCCCAGGCATCGTCCAGCGTGGTATACACCTGCACGCCCTGCATCTGGTCGCACTCCTCCACAAACGGCCTCCAATCGCGGTCGACAATCTCATCCTCCTTCTCCAGCGAGGCAAACAGCTCCGTGCCCATGGAGTGCCGCTCAAAGGGCATGATGCTCGAGTGCAGCTCAAAGTCGTAGAGCTGCACGAGCGACTTGGGATGGTAGTAGACGCGCGAGAAGTCGGACCAGTAGCGCACGTCTGAGGCGGCGAGCTTGGAGGCTGGCTGGATGCCGGCGTCGAGGGCCCTTTGGTAGTCGATGGCTGAGACGGCGGTTTCCTTGTGGACTGCTGGTTTTCCGTGCCTACAGTAGTCGTTTCAGTATATGATACATATAATGAGGGTTTTTATATAAAGGAAAACTCACCACAGAGACGCCACGGCTGCATCCTCGCTCGGCGCATCGTACATGGGATTCATCTTGCGCAGCGACCCAAAGCCGCCCTTCAAATCATACACCACCGTCCGCGGCAGAAATGTATCCGAGCCATCCTCGCCTAGTCCCGCTCTCCAGTGGACGTTGTGGTCGACATACGACTTCTCATCTTCTGTGTAGGTGAAATACGACTCTTGTGTGTTCCAGAAGTGGGTGGCGACGTAGTTGCTGAGACTACCCAGCTGCAGCGTCACAATCTCACGCATGGCAGCTGTCTGTATGAAAGGATCGATGTTTGAACAGTGAAATGAAATGAAGAATGGTGAGTCAAGCAGGCATTTCGGCTGGTAAATCTTTTTGGAAATTTATATATATTTGACTGAATTTTTGGAGCTCTCGCAATAGCTACAGGGTACGTTGATGGGTGCTTACTAATAACCGTCATCTTTTGATGCCACAACTCGATCCCGTATTGTCTCCTTTAAGATATTGTTTCTGATATCTGTTAATTTATAGGCTGATAGTCATAGATATTGTCTTCTAGCTGTAGACGTGCCATTATTTAAGCAAGGCCGTGATTGCTACTATCAATCATATTGGAATATGCTATCACCAAGGTGCATGAAAACTAGAAGAGTGCACAAATAGAGCTTGTCTGTTAAAAAGAGTAGATTATTATATATATAGGAGCCGTCCGCCTCATAACACGCTTATACAATCACCGAGGCCTGGTTTTTACAACCTTCATAGTACACAAGTCTCCAAAAGAAACCGCGACACTCGAATGGGTCTGGACGTAAAATGGGTTAAACCAAAAACAAGACAAATGACAAAGAAAGGGAAGAAAAATGAGAAGAATTTTTGGTTGCTCTCGCCGACCGTATCATCATACAAGTCATTCATTTCAACATTTCGACGCCAAACCATCCGGGCGAGCAAGCCATGATGTGACAAACCCGACAACACCAATGCTGCTGACAAGCTCAAGCGTTAGCCTGCTGTTACACTTGATCTGGCCGGCTAGCCCCAGAAGCCCGAGTGGATCCTGGTGATGGGGCACTACTTCATCGCGCTTTGACTTTTTGCTTCTCTGGCGCCTCAGTTTCTGGTTGACCCTTGCCAGCGGCATGTTGTTCATCGTCATGCCAGGCCCGAGCATCGGCACCGGCAGCTCTCCAAGGCGCTCTGCTTCAAGGCTCTGCCGCAAGCTCTCTGCCCAGCTCGCCATCTCCAGCGGCCGGTCGTACTGTTCCGGCGAGTATGAACGTCCCCATAGAGAAGGGGAGTACGAGTATAGGCTCATGGGCTGCCGACAGATGAGGGCTGTCTGCGCCGAGGAGGTGATTGCCGTCTGCCTCCGCCATCGGACGCATTTGAGGGAGGCGGCATGCCGTAGTCTTGCGCTTCCATCGTGCGACATGAGCTGCTCCACAAGCCTACTGAGATCGGTAGACACGAGTGGGCGCACATATTCCGAGTTCATGAGTACACTGGCGTCCATTACGTCGTCGTCAGAATCAGATATACTTGAGACGGCATAAATGTCAGAGGTTTCGGAAGACACTCCAGGAGCACGGAACGAGAAGTACTCCACGTCCTTTTCACGCAGATCGTCATCGATATATTGCTTGCAGGCCATGGCCTGGTCATTGTTGATTTCATCGGCACGGGCTAGCAGTGGGATGACGTTGGTTGTGTTCTGCAGCAGCCTGATTGTTTCTACGTCTGAGGGCTCAGGTCCTGTAGCGTGGTCAGATTCAGGTGGTCTCGAGCAATCATGACGAATAGAAAAGGAGCAATACCTGTGTGAGGCAACATGTACAAAACTGCATCTACAATAGGCTCAGTCCCGCTGCTCAAGAGGTTCCAGAGGTCACCATCACTGATAGGCCGGTTTAATAGGGGGAGAAGTTGCGATTCAACGTAACGGACTGCTGGGTGGGTGGCTTGAGACGTCTGCGGCGGACAGTCTACAAAGCAGAGGTTACGGTCAAGCATCTCGTCCATGGCCGAGCTTCTTCGTCTCGATGTAGTAGACTGATCCAGCTCTGCTTTCCACCACGGGTAAGGGCGGGTGCTCGCATACACTTCTGATACCTCCCCTTTATTGTGATTCGATACAGGGTCAACATGAACAATATGCTCGCTAGACTGTGCAATGGCTGTGATTAGAGTTGACTTTCCAATACCTTTGCGATATTCCAGTTAGCAGACATATTCCGGCGTGGACCGCCGAGGCGGGGAAACATACCATCTGGACCCGTCACCAGTACCTTGAGCTTCCCCAGCGATTTCCCCGTGGTTGAAAAGGGTCGCCTCCGCGGAACCGTCAAGCTGGGCATAATAAGCTGAGGCGTATGGCTTCCCGCGAGATCCCCCATCGTATGCGAATAGAGACCGATGTCGCCGTGGTGAGGACTGATGAGACTTAGAGACGAGCTGATTCGGCTGGCGGACATGGAGTGGACCGGCGAACTCAGTGGCGAAGAAGCCGAGCTGATGACAGACTCGGGGCCTGTAGTTCCCAGATTCACCGGCGTCATGGGCCGCGAGAGATCGTGCGGAGTCTCGCCGCCGGGCTGAGATGACAGGGACGGTGAAGGCCATGATATGGAGGTTGATGCCGACATGTTGGATCGGTGGCCACTCCTGCCGGCCCGCTGGTTGGCTTCATAGTCGCTCTTGTAGGGGAATCGCTGCGTGTGGAAGCTCATCTCGCCCAGGTCACTGATCGAATCCTCCGTGCCGACCATGTACGTCATGGCAGGAATCGTCGCATTTGGCGTCAAGCTGTCTGGTCGCCCACGATGGGCTGATGCGCTGCCGCTCGCCGGAACCGGTCGCATGGTGGACGCTGGATGCTGGCCGCTGGCGATGGACCTGTTCGCTGCGTGGATATCGGAGACAGCAGGAGGTGCGGCCTGGAGAGGGGGACTTTAGATCTCGACGCCCAGCACCGTGAATACTTATCACAGCAGCAAGCGACTTTGAGGACGGCTGACGTGTGATTTAGCCTTTGGGGAGCTCTTCGTCGGTGTTTTAACGCGACAGTGCAGCTTCGAGCAGAGGTATGGAGTACCGTCTCACCGAGTACTTAGCATGTACCCGGGTAAAATGCTGTGGTGGAGATTCGCGACGCCGGCGAGCGGGGAACGACATGCGGCTACCTTCCGCGTCGTACTCCGTACTTGTCATTTGTTGGGAGCACCGCTTGCCATCGCTCTCAAGCCGCCTGTCACTGCTGTCACTACTGCTGTCGCGTCACTGCTGCTAGATGCTACAGGGACCTCTAGTAAGGCAGCTGTAGTGCACTACAAGGTCCAGTCTTCTACTCTCTCATGTAAATGATGCCAGCTGCAAGAAACCTCTTGCCCCAAGTCTCATACGGTAAACCCGAGTCCGCCAGTAACACGACGTGCACAAGTACTGATGACACCATAAAAGCTCCGTATCTCTGCATGATGCATCTGAGGTCTGCCAGCTCGCACCCCGTATAAGGAATACCTCCTTTAGGCTCGCTGGAATGAATGCAGGCACCGCACTCGACATAGACTCGCCGTTATCTAAGTGCATATCGCAGATCCACTGTAGCGGGGCAGCCTGGTCCCGTCTCTGTCTATTCCCTTTTAGTGCTGCCAGCTCGCCAGCCTCTTTGGGGGACCAACACAAAGGCTGCTCGCCCGTTGTATTGACTCATCTGCATACAAGCAGACAAGCTGTTCGGTAGCAGCAGGAAACACCCCCGTCAATATGGACGGCAAAAGACACCCAAGTTCGTTCCAGCAGCTGGAGAAGCTCGGAGAGGGCACATATGCGACTGTGAGTTGTTCTTGGTCCTCTTCCGCTTTCCTTCACCACCGAATCGCTTCCCGAGCGCCGTCCTACGATTGAAAGCAATGAACCTTGGCTAATCTCCATTCTTATGCGTTCATGCTGCTAGGTGTTCAAAGGCAGGAATCGCCAGACTGGCGAGCTTGTTGCGTTGAAGGAGATCCATCTCGACTCCGAAGAGGGAACGCCATCAACCGCTATCCGAGAAATCTCTCTCATGAAGGAGCTCAAACACGAGAATATCGTTGGACTTCACGATGTTATCCACACCGAGAACAAATTGATGCTCGTCTTCGAGTACATGGATGGCGATCTGAAGAGATACATGGATACCCACGGCGAACGCGGCGCGCTGAAGCCCACTACGATCAAATCTTTCATGTACCAGCTCCTCAAGGGAATCGACTTTTGCCATCAGAATCGGGTGCTGCACCGAGATCTCAAGCCGCAAAACTTGCTCATTAATAGCAAGGGGTGTTTGAAGCTGGGTGATTTTGGTCTTGCTCGTGCCTTTGGCATCCCCGTCAACACCTTCTCCAACGAAGTCGTCACCCTGTGGTACCGTGCGCCGGATGTGTTGCTCGGCAGTAGGACATATAACACGAGCATCGACATCTGGTCAGCTGGATGCATCATGGCTGAAATGTACACGGGAAGACCGTTATTCCCCGGTACGACAAACGAGGACCAGATTGTCAGGATATTCCGCATCATGGGCACTCCCACGGAGCGTACGTGGCCTGGAATCACGCAGCTGCCAGAGTACAAGCCCACGTTCCACATGTACGCTACTCAAGATTTGCGGAGCATTCTTCACGCCATTGATCCCACCGGCATCGATTTGATTCAACGCATGCTCCAGGTTCGGCCGGAGCTTCGCATCAGCGCTCACGATGCTCTGCAGCACCCGTGGTTCAACGACATTGTCCTTCAACAGCAGCAGCAACAGCAGCAAGCTGCTCTCCAGGCGCAGGCGCGGAGCTTCCAGCAGGCGGTGCCGTCCCAGGGCTTCGACAACAATTATTAGCAACAATAGATGGCTGCGCGCCCTGCGCGGCTGGATACCAGCAGGCATCACACACGGCCGAACTTGGCCATTCCGTTCTGATTTGGATCGTTTCGTTGCCTCTTTTCTGGCTGGCGTTGAATACAGCATGTTTATCTATACATTTGAAAAATGATGGCTTGTGCTGTACCCAGAAGACGGAATGATATAGCACACTCAGGCTACACTGGATGATAATACCAATAGCGGAAGCATCAGCAAAAATTAGAGCGAGGCGGGGCAAAATATTTCATCTTTATAATAAGAAGTAAGATATTTTGAACTTAAGCTCCCTGACAGAAGCGACGAGTTTTTTTTCTTTTGAGTTTTTACCACTTTATTTGTAGCGCTTGGATTCAGTGCCTATTGACAAGACTACCATCTACGGGGCTCTTGAATTTACGTTTGTTTGGCTCCTTGGACCACGTATCCGCGAGGGCAGCCGTTTCGTCCTCGTCGAGAGCGAAGCCCATGCTCAGCCTGAGCTTCTGAATTTCATCACGAACCGCCTTTGCAACATCGATCCTGAGCTGCACCGCCTCGGGATCATGTTTGAGGAGATCCGGATCGCCGCTTTTCTCAACCAATCGCTTCCAGGCTGTGCGATAGTGGCCAAACAGACTTTCCGAATCGGCTGGTTTTCCAATCATTACCCGTATTCGCTGGCCAATACGCGGCAAGAAACGTGGGAACCCTCTATCCTCGGGCATGATGTCCTGCGTGCCGTGAATGAACATGGGGACGAACTCGGGGGCCGGTTCGCTTTCGAGAATTAGACGGGACACGCCCCATTTGAAATAGCGCAGGGTGTTTTCGGGATTCTGGTGACAGCAGGCCTCGGGGAAGATGTGGACCCAGGCGTGGCGGTTGGCTGCGTATATGGAGGGGGAGACGAAGGAGTCTGAGCCGTTTGTAGAGAAGGTCATGTCGGATGGTTTGATGACGGACGAGGGGCTGGAGAGAAGCTTGATTGCTTGGGCTATCGTGGGCTGGTATAGGCCTCCTTGCGGCGAGTGCCACAGTCGATGCGTCGGCAGCACCTGGCCATAGCTGAAGAAGGTAGAAAAGAAGCGGTTTTTGAAGCAGATGTCGTGGGCACCAAGACCCCATCGCAGGTTCTCGACGTCGACGGCGTAGCGCAGCGGGAGAATCCCCCATATTAACGGGTCATCGAGTCTAAGCAGTCAGCGGATTGTTAAAGGGGCAATTGTAATTCACACTGAGACGCCATACACGGAGACGTGGTTGCAAACAGTCAAGAGGCCGCGATCGCGCTGGCCGTTTCTGCGCCGGTCTAGCACGCCCAGCAGGTTGTCCAGGCCGGTGACCTCGACCTTGTTGAAGCAGTAGAGAAAGGCCCGCGATGCAGCCCCAACGCTGCCCATTACCGCCACCGAAGCAAGCCGCGAGGGCCAGCCCGGCCGTGACGTGGGAGTTGGGGACGACGACATCTCCAGCTAGAAAGTGATGCTGCTGCTGCTGCTGCTTCGACCTTTAGCCCGGGATCCAAGTTTCCATGACGGGCCATTGTTGGCGTGTAGCACCTTATGGAGCTTTTTTTTTTTCCTGGTCGTCCCTAATTTTTTTCTTTGGTTGAGGCTTTGCCCCGCTACCGGCCTGGGCTGGAGTTATTTCGGCAGCGGCCGTGCGCTTCTGGCCTATCCAGTGCCCTGTTTGTCCACTAAAGGCGCCGTGTCCAGGGGTCTGCTGCCAGCGCTGGAATAGCGCCCAATGCCTCACGCACAGGCACTTCGTAGGGAGCGTGATTGGGGCATTGGCTGGGCGACAGCAGCAGAAGCTGGACGGTGCCTTGGCAGCAGAGGGCTGGCGCTAGTGAAGCCGCCAGACAATCTCCAATCTAGTCCCAGATGGGTAGTATCGCTACTTTCGCAGCATCTTGATTTCTCTAATACTTACAATTGCCTTTTTGCTCCAACGTCTGTAATATCCCCCTTTGACGGTGTTTCTCGATTTCATTTCTCTTGTTGTTCTAAATATATGCATCAAGAGTCTATCCAGTAGCTACAATGTCACATAGTAAGTCCATTCACTCTTACACTTTGGATGCCACAGCTACTAGAGCTTTTATGCCTTCAAATTCCACAGGATGCATCCGCAGCTGACCATGAACACGTCCGTCTCCAGGCAAAAGAAACACCACCCGCCCCGTCTTCACCTCGTACGAAAGAGATCAGGCCAAATCAAACTGGACCGCAACCTCCGCCCAACTCAATCGAGATTCCTTCCTGCCCTTTGGCTACTGCAGCCTCTGCCTCGAAAACGCCCGCGAACCGGTCTCATGTCCGCGAGGGGACATTTTCTGTCGCGAATGCGCCCTGGCGAACCTCCTGGCGCAGAAGAAGGAGCTCAAACGGGGGGAAAAGGCACGCCAAAATGCCGAGAAGGAAGCTGCCAGGATTCAGGCCATTGGTGATGAGGAAGAGCGGGAGCGAGCGATTCGCGACTTTGAGATGACGCAGGCTGGGTTGACGAATAATGCCGGCAAGAAAAGTTCCAATGCTACAACAATAGCTACAAGAACAGATACTGCTACGGCCACAGCTGCGATTGAAGATGGAAACGAAGGCGCCGTTATTCGCGCCGGGTCCAAGAGGAAATTTGCCCTTGATGCGGATGAGCTTGGCCGGATAGCAGAAGACGACAAGGCAAGGGCGAGAAGAGCCATTGAAGATGAAAAGGTACAGTAGACAAGTATAATGATTTTCATCTCAACGCTAACTTGATAAAAACAGGCCGCCAAGCCAACGCTTCCTTCATTCTGGACACCCTCACTCACACCAGACGTACGAAACAGCGACCTCCCGCCAGTCACAAAGAAAGCCAAAACAACGCCCACATGCCCGGCTTCCGCAGAACACAGTCCTCATTCTCTCTCTCTACAAAAACTATTGACAATACAGTTTAACGAAACAACAGACGACTCCACAAAAGAGACTCACAGAACCTGTCCCTCATGCCTCAAGACCCTCTCCAATGCCCTGAGCCCCGTCATGGCTGAGAAATGCGGCCACGTCCTGTGTTTAAGCTGTGTCAAGAAGTTTCTCCTTCCTCCAGGGAAACAGCAGGCCAAGGAGGAGGATGAGCCTCCCATTGCCTGCTTTGTCTGCAGCACACCCGTCGCCGTCACGACCAAACATGGTAAACACTCGAGCTCAAAGGATGCTCTGCCGACGGGGTTGGTCAAGTTGAAGTCGGAGGGGACAGGCTTCTCTGCTCGTGGATCGCGAACCGTTGAAAAGTCAAGCGTTGCTTTTCAATGCTAAACACCTTGACAAAGAAGCCCGAGATACAGCTAATTTTTGGCTTGAATTACATCATTCTGAGAAGCAATTGCTGAAAATGGCGAAAATTGCTTACTAGCTCTCTTTATAGCCACGCGAGCTTCTATAAACAATAGAGCTTGTAGTATCGTAGCTGGCGTCCATCGGATATTAAGAGCTCTCATCCAAGAAAATGTCTCGGTAAAGTCTATCCACAGAAAGGCCGAGAGGCGTCAGTGCACTTCGCCGTCCAGGAGCTGCAGCTATTTATAATGCCATGCGCTCGATAACGCACTCATTATGGCCTAGAACCACTGCATTCAAAGTCTTGGATGTCTTTATTTGCTGTTTATAAGACCTTTTGCTCGCGTTTCCATAGCTTCATTCACGGCGTATACACCAGGCATAGCATCACCTGATCAGCGAAGGAAATCGAAGAGACTGTTGCAAGGATAAGACTCATTGCTGGTTACTATCTATGTACTACCAACATTGATCATCGATATTGTTTCTCGCAGCTTTCGTGGCCATAAGCAAGGAACAATAATTAGTAGGTCAGGACCAGGATGCCCGATTTGGATGTAGTTGGCGGATCACTGCCTACATGAACAGTAGGATTATAATACTTTTTTCCTAAATACAATCATCAGATATGCTGGCCATCTTTATCAATTACAGCTACTGATTGCTGCCGGATAACATTCACTATATTTCATATGGTTTCAACAAGATGAAAACCTATTTATCATGTAGTGTATTCAGTCTAACACCATGCGATAATGCCGCAAATATCGAGTCCTTCTCTTCTGATACATCATGTGCATCGGGCCAATGGGAGAGTTAAAAGAAAGTAATCATCTAGCCAAAAGGTTGGTGTATACAGTAAAAGGTCTGCAAAACAAGAGACCGTGCCATATAAGAGGCTTGAGCTATGTTCCGATAATTGTGTCTGGATGAGAAATGCCAAAGAGAGAGAAAAAGAAACCGAAAAGAAACCCTCGGGATTGTCGTTACAGTCATAAAGAAAAGAACCTATCTCCTAGCCCGAAAACCAGTCCCTGAAATGGTATATTACCCAAAAGGAGAAAAAACAAATAGCGTAGAGAAAAGAAGTATCGAAAAAAGAAAAGACGCCTCACTCCTTAACAATGCTCATGTGCTGTTTAAAAATGGCAAATGGAAAAGAGAAGAATAAAGACATCATCTTTATTATCCACGGCTTGCCACCGAGGCCTGCCTCTGTGGTGGCGCAGGCATGCCAAAACTAGCTTGCCTCGCTGATCCCGGGATGGAGATGGTTTCCAAGTCTTCGCCAGGAGCGTCTTCATTCTCCACCAAGGCAGATTGGCTCCCCGGCATTCTCTGTGCGCCAAAGCCTGTAACCTTGAAAATGTTTGTGCGGCCTCCATTAGTGGCCATTTGAAGCTGCTCATGAAGTCTTGCCAGCTGGTACTGACGCCTGATGGGGTTGAAGACGGGCTGTGGGATCAGGGGCTGGGGGTTCCAGTGAGCCAAAGCATTCATGACGGCGCCGGTTTCCTCGTCAGAGTCCACCGGGCCGTTGTTGGCGTCATCTTCATCCTCAAGAGGTGCGTTTGCATCCAATGCGGCTTCTGTAATACCAGTGCTTGATTAGTCTCTGCGCGCAGCCGGGCAAGATTCATGGTTGAGAGGCATACTCTGCTGCTTAGCTTGATTCTTCTTCTGGTAGGCGGCCAGAAGCATGTCATAAGGTAGGGATCTACCTGCGACGGCACGCTTTGCTCCCATGGAGTGGCTTTTGCAAGTCAATGAACGGGCACAAGGCTGTCCGTTGGGCAGAATAACACCACATTGTCGCTCCACATCAACAGGTCCTGCAACAAGAAAAGAGAAAAGGGGTTAGCAAAAGTCAAATCGAGAATGCCAGTGTAGCTTAAAAGTTGTCCCAGTTAAACCTACCCTTTGGTTTTGGAAGTTTGGCTTTTGGCTCATCCTTCTTCTTCTTGGATTTGGGCGCCTTCTCCGCCTCAGTATCTGCTTTGCGCTTCTTGCTGACTTTGTCATCGCCTGGCTTTTTGCTGGCAGCTTTTTTTCCGGCCTTCTTGTCATCTTCTTCACTATCTTCATCTTTGTCGTCATCATCGTTCTTTTTGGCTTCTTCTTCCCGCGCTGCCTCTTTAGCTCGCTCTCGCGCCTCGCGGGCCTCCTTCTTCCGCTGTGCCTTTTCCTTCTTCACCTTGAGGCACGCCGCAACGTGTGCCTTGGCGGCTGTCTTGAGTATGCTCTTTTTGCAGTGCTTGCATTGCTGCAGCTCAGGAGGGTCTTCCAGGGGCCGTCCGGTGGCAAAGGTCTCGCGTGCCGAGTCTTCTAGCTGGTTGACAACTGGACCGGGGGACACTGCAGCCGAAGTTGGGGGATTGCTGCCTTTCTTCTTGTCTTCTTGCGCTACGTCAGCATACCGACCTGGGCTTGGCTTGGGAGAAGGAATGCGTCTCCTACCCTCGACTATGCTGCCGTCCATCCAATTCCCCGGCTTGTTGTGCTTTGGCGCCGACTTCTTGAGCTTGATGTTTCCATTTTTGGAGTCTTTCTTGGATGCCACTTTGATGGTTTGATCTGCGCCGACAGGTATCAGATACATGGGTTAAGAATAACTGCCAAAAAGCCTATCTCCAACAGCCAGGGCTGCCCACCTTTGCGCGATTCTGCCTCCGGCGCCATGATGTAAGCGGCACTTTGACGGGTCGCTGCGAGCTCGGGACTTTTGGCAGGGTGTGCAGCTTTCGCTCACACAGCGATATAGGGAGATGGATGGATCGTAACGACTGGGATTGATAGATTTGATGATGGCAAGGCGTTGGGAATTGACAGTGACGCCGCAGCTGATCGCGAGGCTGATGTCCAAGGCACCCAATTTCACGTGTTGGGCGAGGCGGGAGATGTAAGAATAATATTCCGGCGATCCAGGAGTGCATGCAGGTACGTACTAGCTAGCATCTGGCGCTAGGCGGCTGACAGGCACAAGGAGCTTCAATGCTGGAACTATTGCCCATTGTTTCCATAACAATAGTATGGCAAGAAATAAAAGTATAATGAATTATTTATTTATACTATATACACTTAAATCAAAATATTCCTTTAACGTTATATTTCCAACACGAATGATACAGTAAGCAGCTACTCTGCAAGAACTATCAAGCTTTAGTGCTGCCAGCTCTCTCAGCTTCATTATGGAGCCCCCCGTGGGGAGCGACCCATAGACTCCTCCACAGGGCTGCGTGCATCCAACGCAGCATTATGCCCCCCGGCAGTGCTATTTAAGACGGCAAATCAGTAGGGTATATAACAATCTAGAAACGTTGACAGCGAAGAAAATACAAATGGGCCGTCCGATTATCTAAAAATATGAAATCTTCAACACGCGATTGTCAAAAAGAAAGCTTTCAATGCATTGGGACGTGGTAGTGTTCACGCCATGCTTTGTATATTCGATCTCGCATGGCCATGTGACCGAGAGTACGCTGTGAATCAAAGTCAGCTATGCTCGAGTCTAGGTCCAAAAAAAGATGGAAGGATACGCACCGGATGAAACGTCTTGCCGTAATATGTGGGCACATACCACATGGAATTCTGTGCTGCAACCTCTCCATCCGCCATCCGCAACATGGGGTCCCTATCGGCAGCCATGGCCATCATGCACAATGCCATTTCTCCCCAATCCCCAGACTTCTGCGCAGGCCCAATGCAATTTTGAGCATCAATCAGCGGAGAACCAGCAGGCAACAGGGTATCTTTAGGCCCAGGCCCAGGCTCCCCCAGTTGCGGTGGAGCGTTGTCCAAACCACCAACTAGAAAAAACCAAGTTTCGTTTCTCGCATAATCCGGCTCTACAACATTCGGTTCACAAAAGCGATGCCCCTCAAAGGCATCGTCGTAATCGACAAAGAGGACCCTCGGCTCCGCAAAGGCCGCGTTGATAGCATCGACAGATTTCCGGATCTTGGCGTTGACGGCAACAACCATGTCGTTCATGCGCTGTCGAAGCTCGCGCTTTAGCTTCGGGCCTCGCCACCACAGGCCAAAGGAGTAGTCGTCGCACTCGTCCGTGTCGGCGTTGAAGAAGCGGGCGTATCCGGTCACGGTGATGGTGAACCACGGCCTCTTCTCCCATCGCACGCGGTCGAGGATTTCCATGATGGCGAGGCGGTGACGGTCTTCAAACTGGGTGCTGGCCATCTGCTCGTCGGCTCGCTGGAGGGCGGCCTCGCAGGTGCCAGAATAGAAGCTGTAGAAGCGGAAGATGCAGCTGTTCATGATGTCGAAGAAGCCCAAGTCGTTGCCGCCAACGGATAGAAGCGCGAAATCGGCAGTATCGGTGGTGTTGAATTCGTCAATCTGGCTGTGCTCGGCGCCGGCAAGCATGTCGTCGACAGTGGAACCCGTGCATGAGAGGAACTGAAAGGTTGGCGCATGGTCGCCGTGGTCGCGGTTCAAGTCGCCCTGCACCAGCATCGGGTAGGCGTTGTAGCCGTGGCGACAGTCATCTTCGGTGCCGTTGGAGAGGCCTGTGCCGATGCCCGCGGAGTAGGAGTCTCCGAGCGCAATGAAGCCTGCTGGATGTTTGCCTGGCCGGCGCGGAAATGGCGGCGCATACGGAGCTTGGAGGTCAGACGTGGATGGAGCTGCAGCGATGGGTATTCTAGGTCAGCAATACTGAAAAATAAACTTGTCGCCGCATATGCACGCTCTGCCAAGATCTCACCTAGGCGATGCTTCCCCAAAGGGAGCTGTCCATTTCCGTTGTCTGGCTGATGCTGATATGGCTGCCAGCGATCGCCGTGGACAACCAAGCAGAAGCTGTGGAGGGGCGCCAGCAGCAAGAGCAGCCAGGTTGCAAGATCCGGATGCCGCCGCATGCTTTCAAAACTAAGAGAAGAAGAGTTCAGGCCACAGCATCAGCGAGAACGGCATTTGGCGATGATGGTTAAAAGCTCTGAGCGAGCCATGCAAGGAAGACGATTTGTTGACTCTCGCCTCGCCTCAGCGTTGGGGAGCCGGGGTGCGCCACGCGTTGGGGCCAGCAGGCAGCAGACGAAGGATGAGATGGAGGAGCTTGAAAGAGCCCTCTATGGGCTGCGTGTGTCGATGCCTGGCTGCTCATACATATATGCTGATATATATATATATATGTATGTATATCCAAGCTCAGCCTGCCACACCTTGCAGGTCAGCGCCTGAAGGCATCCCGACTTACAGACAGAAACCAGCTCGTGTCTCTGCCATGTGCTGCAGCGGCGAGCTCCTACTTGCTGCAGCGAGCCGCGTCGCGCTCCCATAGGCCTGGCCGCTGCACTAAAGCGGTGGCTACAGCTGGGTGTTGTAGGGGCCTAGTAAGCTGATAACACCTTAAAAGCATACAGAGGGTCTGGCCATGTGCTCACGAGACGACGACATGAGCGCATTTTGGGTGTCAAAAGAGCTGATGCGGCTGGCTTTATGTGTGTTTTAGCTTGACAGCTTTTCTATCCTTGTCTCAACTGCATTGTAAAGCAGCATTTTGGGCGAGTAAGAAGCATCAAACAGTCGTCAGTCAGTTGTGTACTAAAAGTGGCAGACACAATAAGACTGCACGTCAAAGACAGAATCTGGGGCTGAATCAGTGTCTTATCAGACTATACGGTAGTAGTCAAGTCTCTAAACCCCTAACCTGTAAATTACATTTCCATCTGCTCGACCATCATCGCTAATCTGCACAAGCTCACGACGCAGAACCTACTGATCCCCTGTTTCGTCCACCGTGTCCCTGACATCCAGCACGACGCAAGTATGCACTGCTCAAATCTCAAGTCCCAGAATAGCAACATGCACATCCACAGAACCCATCGCGACTCCATCGGCGCTTGCGCAATCGCATCCACTCCCTTCTCATGCGCTGCTCCCAAACAAAGGATGGATCCGACGTCATTCACGTGCTCCCGCATCCGACACGCGTAAAACAAGGCCTTAATCCAAGACCCCACCCAGATGATCTCGATATCGACCAGCCTTTGCGTCATCGCCTTGTTCCGGCTCAACCTGAGCTATGCACCACCTTCTTCCACCACAGAACGCAGCAATTAATCAATCAAACAAACAAACAAGATCCCGTCCACAGAACCTGGCCAAACCCTCAGCTGGACTGTGCAACCCCAGCTTTGCTCTCCCCCCCTCCTTAGCACAAATCCGTAGATGTAGACATTAGTGGTGTCATCGCCGTCATCAGTGTCCAGACCCCAGGCCAACCAGCGAGAATCCCGGAAAGGCTGCCAATCCCCTTCCCGCTCCATCTTTTAAGCTTGTCTTGCACCTCCCGAATGCTACGTACCCAGAGGAGCTTGGATTTTCGGGGTCGACGTCAGAGGCTCATAATGAGGCGGTGCTTTTCTTAAAAAGGCCTCTCTGGTCCCCCCTTTCGACCGCCAGCTCGAATTGACTTCCTCTTATCCTATCTATTTGCTCTCTATCTCTATCTCTATCTCTATAATTGTGAAACAAAATAGTCAATTACTATTCCTCCTGCTACATTTTTGACCGTCTAGTTGTAGCAATGGCATCTGTCCTAGAAACCGTCAACAACCTCGCCTCGTCTGCCGCAAAGGCCGTCTGGGGCGAAAGCAACGACGCCGAAACCCACAAAGAGCCCATCTCAGGCGCCACCGGCGACGTCTCCAAGGGCGAGCCATACGACGCCGGCAACTTGGGTACGTCTTTATAAACCATACGTCTCCAGCAATACGTAGCTAACGCAGATCAGATCCCCAAGCCCAGAGCGAGGTTGAATCCACTCTCAAAGGCGAAGAAGCAGCGCCCTCAGACCTCACCGACGACCAGCACTACACCCTCTCATCCACTAAAAAGGACACGGGCGTTCTCTCCGCCGCCGCCACCTCCGCCGCCAACGAGGGCGTAAACGAGCCCCGAAGCACTCCCACAACCGGCACCGTCAACCCCGAGGAGGGCAAGCCTCTCGACGAACTCACCGGCAAAGGCCCCCGCCCAGTCGAGGAGTTGGCAAAGGAAAACGGCGGCAATGCTGCTGCTGTTGCCGCTATCCCTACCGAAATCGATGCTTCAAATGCAGTCCCTGCGGTTGCGCCAGAGGAAAAGAAGCCTGAGCTCGCAGGCAACGAGCAGAAGAGCAACAAACACGAGGCTACTAGGGATGAATACGTCAAGTCTTCCGGCCTCGCAGCCGACGGAGGCGATTTCGATGTTACCAAACCCGGTGCCGGCCTAGAAGCTGATCGTAAGTCTCCTCCACAATGGGCACAAGATGCACCATGTAACTGACCCTTTCTTCAGGCTTAATGGAACAAAAAGGCGTCAAAATCGACGACGCCGACCCCAAAGACAAAATCAGCACCAGCGGCAGCAGCAACGGCGGCCGCAAGAGCTCCGACTCAAGCCGCAAGGATAAGCCCAAGCTGAAAGAGCGAATCAAGAACAAGCTGCACATGCACTAATCAAATTAAAAACAAAATTTGTTCCGCTTCTCTTTTCATATACCTCAGTATTTGGTTTCTGGATCTGTTTTGTCAATGGTGTATTTATGGCGTACCTACCTATCTTATGTTTATTATGATCAATACAAACGCTTGAAATGATGGTATCAATGTGCCCAGCCACAAGACATGAACATGCTCAGAAAGGGGGGAAATTGTCTGAGGCCGAAGACAAGTAATAAGTTGCTCATAATCCCGTTGAAACGCTTCAAAGATACACAATGCAAAAATCTCGTAAATACGGACCCTAGACTAGATAAAATAATGCCAGCATCAAAAAGAAAAAGATGGAAAGAAAAACCAATATAATATACCATCATAAATACCCGCGTAAACAATATACGGTATGATAATCTAAGTGTTTTTGTCCCTTTTCTTTTTTTCTTTGCCCATTTGACATATCCTCCCCAAGAGAATTCTCTCTCTTCCTTCTTTCCATTCTTCCATCCAACTCTAAGATCAGAAACACCCTTTGCCCTGTTTAAAAAAATCCTCCAAAACAGCTTCTCCATATACCTAAACATAATGGTAGATAGCTAGTTCCCTTTTTTTTTGAGTGTATGTATGTGTGTATATATGATAGATATATGGATGATATGATGTATGATATGATATGACCAAAAAAATTTCTCAAGAAAAAGAAGATGTAAAATTCCTTAAACCAAAAGCCATGCCAAAAGCCAAACAAAACAAACAAACCCATCAAAGGCGCCAAACAACAGAGCGTTTGCCAATCATAACACACAAGTCATCATAGGTAGCAACTTCGACACCGAAAAAAAAAATATGGGGAAAAGGAATGGATCCAGGTATATATATGGATGCCATGTCGAAATCAAGAAAATGAAGGCGCCCTCGTGCTATCCGTGCTGCATTACCCTAGGCCGGCCGGTATACCATGTTTTTGTTGTTGCGGTTGATGCTATTGTTTTGCTTTTCCCCCCTTTTCCAATTATTCCTCCTCTTTTTAGCTTCATTAGTCCCTGCGGAAAAAAAAAGCTGTCATGGAATGCCAGATTGTTGTGATATGACATAACGTCCTTTGGGGCCAGCTCCTTTCCACCCATTCTAGATCCTTTGGTATCATTTTCTTTTTATTGATTGTTTGTTGCATCCAGAATATTTCCAGTTTTCGCTACTTCATTAAACAATGCATCAGGCATATTTATATAGTTTCGGCCCACATTATTGACTGATAAAAAGTGTCGTTACGAAATCGGGGGCTCATGTGCTCAGGGATGAGCATCTCACAAGAAGCCGGATTCAGCAAGCACCCTAGATTGCGCATTTCGTTAGCCTAAAAAGGGTCCTCAACCTCCCCAAAAGAGCACATGGAGATATAATTCTTCATCTTCGTATGTATACATACCTCACAATTTTTTCATCTTCACGCTCGCGCGGTTCGATCTGCAGACTCTTGTCGTACATTTCGTGTACATCTCCAGCAGCTTGCATATTGCTCACAATGTAGTCGTGTAACTCGGGCACTGGCTGCAGAGAGTACCCAACGTTCTGGTATTGCTGGATGTCACGGATAACTTCAGCCGTCTTTGCTCGCTTAGCAAAGTTGATGAGGTTCGTCTTCTTGATCACCGAGGGAATACCATCCTCAATAAAGGTAAGATCGGTCAAATAGACACCTGCGTCTTCGCATTAGACTTGCTTCTTAGCTAAAATCAAGCAGGTCTGAAAACTTACCGAAGAAGGGAATACAAGGCGGGTTGGCGACGTGAAGGGCCTCGCGATATTCGCCAAAGTTCTTGGTACTAGCCATAAGTCGACGCATCGTTTCGAGAACGGCGAGGGTTCGCTGGGGGACTTGATCCCATGTCCGCTTCAAACGAGCAATCGGGGCTGTGCCCAACGCAGAGATGATGGATGTAAGGGTGGAGAAGTTGTTCAGGCCCCGGCATTTCTATTAGATAGACGTTAGCATTTAAAAGCTCCAGTAGGAGGCTCAGAAGGTTCCGTCAACATACGTCGGCAACAGAAACAAAGTGTTTAATGACCACGACTCGCTTCTTGACATCTTGCTGGTTCAAAATCATTTCCGCAACCCAGTTGGTCATCTGGTTAGAGTGAAGAATGAGGGCCTTGACGTTGGGAGCCGCGTCGGGGTCGCCGTCGCCGATTTTCTTTTGCCACGTCTTGTTCAAGCACTCCGTCGCCTTGATCTTACCATACAGTCGGGATTCGATAATCGTCAACTGGCGGGCAAACTCTGTCACGTCAATGTCCAAGAACTTAAGTTTCTTCATGTTCTTCGGGACGATGGGCGTGGGCGTGCTCTGGTTCAGGGTCTGGACCATGCGTCGAGCACCAGCCTCTTTGCCGCCGAGCCTCTGCTCTAGGATGGCCATCAGCGGCGCGGAGCCTGGGGTCTCGGTCGACTTGACCGTGTCTCTTGCAAAGGTATACACGTCGCGGATCAGCTGCTTAGACTCATCGTTGAACTCCTCCATCCAGAAAGCATCAAACCAATTCTTGAGGATATTGACCACACGGAATCGGATGAGCTTCTGTTTGCGGTCCCGCCACATCTCATAGTCCTGCTGCGAGAGGCCCTCTGGAGGTTGAATGCTGAACCGCTGCACTAGCATCTCGAAGAGCTCACGTGCAGAAGTAAAGGATCGATAAGTCAAGAGGAAGGTGTTGTTAAAACTCGAATCGAGCTTATCATGGCGCGTGAGCTGTTCAACAAGGGCTAGCAGGGATCCTCCCTTGACAGTGGGCTTGGTTGCCTTGGCATCCCAAGACAGGTCGTTTTCGTAGTCGAGGTGTAAGAACTCGGGCAGTTCTTCATCTGGCTGCAGCTGAGGCGACGGGTCTTCTCCAAAGATCTTCTTGACCTTGGAATAATCGCCCTTTCTGGAAAAGCCAGCAGGGGCGTCGCCCTCGCTGTACGACTGCGCGCTGATCAACGGTGGTCGAACGGGTGCTGTCCTCGAATCTGAACGTTGGTGTGGCCTGTCGTATGGCATCGTCTCTCCCCGCTGAAGTTGGCCTCTCGGCATCGGGCGGGAATTCTTGGCCAGCTGTTGCTGCATGTTGATCAGAACCTGCTCCGACAGCAGCTGCAACGAGAATCCAGTGTGTGATGAGTTTGTCTCGAGCGCTCGAGCGCAAGTGCGGACGTAGTCGAGCCGAGTTTCCAGTGGCTCTCCCCGTACCTCTGACCATTCGTCCGCCAACGGCCCAGCAACGGCTTGGCAGCTCAGAACGAGATCCGCAATGTTGTCGTACAAGGATTGCTTGTTGATGCTGAAATCCTCCAACTGCGGCGTCTGGAAGGTATTGCCCAGCGACGAGAGGTCGACAGACTCAATCATGGCAATCCACGGCTTAAACGTCTCCACAACCTTGCTACCGGCGAAGCAGATGTTGTTAGCGAGAAGCTCGTGTCGATGCGGGCTAATAATCTTCTCTGGGGCCACGAGGTTCTTTTCCAACTCGCGAATGCTGGACACGAGGATTCGCTTGTGTTCGTCCAATCTCTCGAGCATGTTGCCGTCAAGAACAGCGGTGGGCTCGATCATGCCCTCTTCGTCGTCGAGGAAATTGGGGGACATCAAGTCGTGCTGGTCCAGTCCATTACTCTGCCAGCTTCCGCCAGAGGTGCTACCAATAACGAAACCAGGGAAAAGTCGGGGGATATCCTCTCCCCTCTGCTGCCTTGCAACCTCGACATAGCTGAACACGCCGAGAAGGACGCCATCGGCTTCCTGCAGACACTTTTGAACCGATTCCGCGTTGGGCCAGTCGGCTGCTGCGATGTGAGAGGAAATGACCAATTTCGAAAATTTGGACATCATGTCGCGGAAATGAGGATAAAGCGCCTTGTTGGTGGATATGATGGAGGGTTGGCCGGAGTGGTTATCTGTTGTCCCAGAGCCGGCGGCCAGGAGTAGCCTGAGATGGTCGGAGATATCTTCGGCCCTAGCGACGTATTCGGAGCGGGCGTTGTTGGTGATTGCTTCGCGATATCGGTCAATGGCGCGCTTCATGTTGGTGACGAGCAGGCTCCAGGTCAGGGGCGGTGTCGATCCATCGTCAAAGAACGACTTGGGCACGCTGGTGGTGGCCGGCACGTTGTATGTGGTGCTGGTAAAAGATGTCGCAGAGGCAATGTTGGGAGCGTGCGCACCGTTGGCGTATCCAAGCGCATATGCATCACTTCTCTTCCGTCGGCCTGGAGAAGTGCCATTCATTGAGTCCATGGATGTTGAGGGGGATAGAACGGCGCTAAATGAACCACGGTTGTTGCGAGGCTTCAAAGAAACAAGGGGGACCAAAAGTTAGTTATCATACGAGCAGAACGGTCATGCGTGTATACAGCATGTAGTAGTACGTAGTAGTTAGGTAGTTATGTCTTACCATGGATCCCCTAGATGCGAGCATCAAAGACTCGCCTTCCGCCTCTGAGGCTGAAGTTGCCGAATCGTCGTCTTCATCTTGGGTTAGTCCGCGAGCCATCATCTCCGGCGGTGGTCGCGTCTTCTCCGGCATGGCAACATTCATACGGTCCCTGGGGCCTGTCTCGGCGGCTGAAATGGGAGACTCGAGCGGCAATTCCATGCTACGGTCGCCGGTCATCATGTTGTAGTAGAAGAGTCGGCCATCCGGCGTGGCTTGCGGGATCCAGAAGTCGGCGCGCGACTTGTCGCCCATGTTGGCGCCCTCGAGCGGCAAGCTGCCAAAGCCTTCGCCCTCGGAATCCTCGTCCGGGTCGGCGCCGTCATCGTAAATGTCGTTTTCCTCCACCTCCTCTTCAATGTGGTGGTGGATGACCTGTTGGCCGTTCTGGCCAACGTCGGGGAACTCGTCGGGGCTGGTGATGGCCTGGCAGTAGTTGCTGGGGAACCAGCCGCGCACGCCGTTGATGACTCCGTCCCACCAGCCGCTCTCGAGCTGGGTGATGACCTGGATGACATCGCCCTCGTGGAAACTGAGGCTGGTCCTGTCGTCGGCCTCGTAGTCGTAGAGGGCTCGCACGTACATGCTGCCGGGCGGCGCATTTCCCACGACGCCGTCCATGGTTTCCTTTTAGGCCTCCTTCTGGCGCAACGCGCGTGGGGGTGAGAGGGGGAAAGGAGAGAAGAGAGAGATAGAACACAGATGGAGAAAGAGGGGAGGGGGGGCTTAGGGAGAAGAGTTCGAGATGGTCCCCGTCAGACGCGAACAGCCGGGATGGTGCACCAGAGCGTATCGGTCGAGACAGCGAGCTGCGCTGGGAATGGCGGGGAGGATCTGAGCCAGCAGAGCGGTTGAGATGGTATCACGACAACGAGAAGGCGACAAAATCACCGCAGGACATGGTCCGCGAGTCAGCCTTGTTCCAAGCCGATGGCGGCGCAGGCGGCGAGACCAATGAGCATGCCACCACGGGACGAATTCCAGAGCAGATGGCGAGAGCAGAGATGGAGGAGCAGCGTCAGAATCGGACGACGGAAAGGGGAGGTCCGAGATGCAGCGCGCGCAGGGCTCGAGAATCGTCGAGAGTGTTTCGTGTGGCGGCGATTGGGGCCTCGCTGTCGTTTCTGCAGCGCTGGAGCTTCTTGCAGAAAGGGCACACGCCGTTGCCAGCTGCTAAGCCCTTCTGGGCGCTGGGGCGGCGTTAGGCGAGACACAGCACGCTGCAACGTGCTAGCGGCGCCCACTTCTCCAGTGTTTGCGCGTGTCGCTCCCTGAGCCGGCGGCCTACAGGCGCTTTAAGCTGCTGCAGTTTTAGCGATCTGGTCAATGGCGGCGGCCCTTTGTTCTCAATAGTAGTCCCCCACGCGATAGTCAGTACAGATTGAAACAAAAAAAGGCCGTCTGGGTCAGGTGTCTTTACTCGATCCTTGTTGCAAAGCAGTATGTTGCAATGCTTGTTGCCGATCTTTCTTCTTCTTTGGTCAGACAAATAGGCATCTAAATAAATAAAAAAATTAAAAAAAAATGAGAAAAAAAAAGAAAATTATTCGAGGGAATTTGCTAGCCATGTGCACAGGCTCGAAATGTGACCAAAAAGCCCCCCGTTCCCCGATTGCTGAGTCGCAGCTCTGTTTTAGCGCCATGCATGCAGCCACGGATATGTACTCGCTACGCTTCCCACGCAACCACTGGATGCCCAGCTGCGAACCGACGACCTGTACCCTGTACAATGGATCCTCTTGATAACGCCTCCTGAGCTCGACGGCCTCTCTTTGGCTCTGGCATCTCACCCATGCGCGGGCGAGTGCGCCAACACTTGCGCGATACTGGAGCTGCGGCGAGAGAATGGCATCAATCGAGTTAGATCGCATCAAGGGGTCTTACAGCCGTGGATGATTGGAGATGCTTGCTCCAGGGAAGACTGGCAAACGGGCGCCCCAGCGACGATTTCTCGAATGTGAATGGAACGGCTGGGGAAGCGAGGCAGGCCTATGAATACCTACTATAGAAAGCAAACAGATACTGGGTAGGTACTGGATAGCTGGGTACGAGCTGGGATGGAGAGCAAAGAGCTTGCAGAAGAGCATCCATCCGTTACAAAGCCATGTCCTGCTTTCGTAATTGCTTGCTAGGGACAGGGTAGCATGGCATGGGAGGATGGATGAAAGCTTGATTGCTTTTCTTGGTCGTGTTTCAGCTCCTGGCGTTTGTCATCAGGCAAGCTCCAAAAAGGAGAAAGGATACGCTCGGATATAGACATCAAGTGATTTTACCAAAGCCGTCCAATCTGCTTTCTATACACCAATCCGCTAATCTCTGCTAGATGCTGGTTGCTGGCTGGATGTAGAAAAGTGCAGTCGTCTCGTCTCTCCATGTTGATGGAGTGATATATGACATACATGAGTGTATCTATGCATATCTGAAGGGTGTAAAGGGGGAGATCTACCATCTTCTCAATAACCCCCCAGGTGCTTTAGAATATGTGCATCAGTGTACCTACATGTAGCTTGGGCTCTTGACTGGTAGGTCGTAGTGATGTTTGCTACTCAATGCAATGAGAGAAGCCCATCTTGTCATTCTCATCCTTACGTACTATACCGATTCACTGGCGAATTTTTGCTAGATAATCTCACCAAGCACAAACAAGTGCCACTTATTCGCCGTCTAATCTCGGAACTGCAGCAAACATGACCAAGGCATGGTCCCTATGTGAGTAATACCACAAGTAGTATGTGTAATAAGATCTTCTCCTGTAGTCTACTCTAGCCATCTAGCTGGCCAAACAACGACAAAAAAAAAAAGAAAAAAAAAAGTCAGCAGGTAAAAAGGGGGAATAATAGAATCTTGCAGGTACACCTTGGAGGATTATTTAGCTGCGCCTTTGTTTGCCGTGCTGAAAACTCAGGCCGACATCACCACTACAGTAGTAAATGCCCAAGCCCATCCACATGTTCTCATTCCATTACCAATGGAAGCAGACTACTCCGTACAAGCCCTCGAGTTACGTACATGTACCGCATCTCCATCATACCTACGGTACTTTACCTTTACCGCCTCTTTGGCCATCTTCAGAGACCGCTGCTCCCTCTCCAGCGTAAACGAACACTCAGACGCTAAAGCCCTAAAAAGAGAGCCACCGGCCAACGCATCAACAGCTCGGTAAATTTGACATCATACGAGTTAAACACGAAGCCACGGAGGAGTCCGCCGAGAGGGACTTGAATCGCAGCTCAACTCTGTTTAGCACAAATTTGCTCTTTCCAGGATGGGGCCGCCTGTTCCAGATAAAAATGGCTTTTCGATATCAAAGCCCTCCCGCCGCTAGTTGGCAATAGCACGTAAAAGTAACAAACAGCTGGTTCCATGTAGGAAAAAAAAAAAGCGGAAAGCTGCGTGAAAGTGTTCCAGAAGGAAATCAGCCCTTCCAAATGACTGGAGCTTCTGGCACAGTAGACATTGAAGTGGAGGCCATCCCCAAAAGGCACATGTGCCGGTTGAGATTCGATGCTCAAAGGCCTGTCCAAGTAAGGTACCAACACCCATCATCTTTGCTGCTGGAGCTGCATGAAGATACATACAGTACATGCTACAGGTATTTTGTGATATCCCACTTTTCGTGTTTGCCAATCCAATCCTCTGCGTACCTGAATGGTGGCGTCGGGGCGAATCAAAATCCCACACACGCCCAGGCTAGAAAATCCCACGGCATGCTGCACTCGTAATGCCTACAAGCATAACCATGGCAACCGCGCCGGCGTCCACTTGGCGAAGCATTTTGCGGATATTCTGGAAAGTGGATTTTTCGCGCTCAATATATTTCCAGGGGGTTACAGCCAAACCAAGAATGCCAGAAGAGGGAGGGCCATCCTCGCCCTTCCACGACGCAAACTCCGCGAGTCCACATGGGGCCAGCCCAGCTTTTTAGCAGCTTAGCAGCTCCTAAGTCCCGGAAGCATCCCCCGGACCCGCTGGCGAGCCAGGCCCTACGTGTGCTAGTCCGAGTACCGCTAGCATTTAGGATTGATGAGCGTGTGCTGTACGGAGCGCTGTACAGTATGAGTCAATGACTCTGTGCGCATCTGGCTGGCCGATTCTCGTCTCGATACTGTGCGAATTTCTGCGGCAGGGCAAACGTTAGGTGCTGTAATTTCACCATGGGTATGCGCACTAGCGTCATCCGTACCTCTCCGTACAGCGCAAGTACCCAGCTTCGTGCCGTTGGCCGCAGCGACCAAAACGGTACCGGGTCCGACTCCAAACGGTGGCTGGGAAAGCAGAGAGACGAGACGGCAGACGCTCTCTGCGCAAGTGTGCACGGCTCATTTCGCGTGTGCCGTCTCCAAAAGGTACTTTGCTCCCAGAGAGGGGGCGTGTCGATTCCGCGTCCATCCCCGCTGGCCAGCACCTCGCGTTTTTATTCTCATACTAGTACTGTGCCGCCAGAGAACGCGTTGGCAGCGTGCACGCGGGCGACGGAGATTCTATTCGACAGGTACAAGTTCTCTTCGCCCTATTGTACGTGAGAAACGGAGTTGAGATCCTGCGTTTCTCTTCAATTCGCTACCTCTGCACGGATAGGCTGTTAGTCGCCCTCTGTTCAGCACGTATGACTGCATGTTCTTTGGCACTTGTGCTGCTTATTGGGAGTTGCTGTCTTCAAGTTGAGAAGCTATTCAGAGGCGGAAAACAGCCTTCTATATGGGCATTACAGGTCTCATATTACATTCAGTACACAAGCAAGGCAGCTGAAAATTATTCGAAGAGCGAATCTTGCCTGGCTCCAGCAAGTTTGATCATACGCAGCGAATGAGTCCATCTCTTCAAACTTGTACGTGGTTTACTGTGCGGTGCCCATTTACTCCATACAAATACAGACAAAAGTACAGTCAAAGTCGACCCCCGAAAACGGAGCGCAGTGCAAACATGGGGTAGATGTTCTGTGGCATCACATCACGTCTGGAAGACCCCTCAGCAAAGTCTCATAGCCATAGAACATTATATGTGCCTTTTTCCAACTTACCCGGTGTCCGTGGAGCAACGTCACAATCTACCGAGGCAGCGGTTCCCGTTGCTTTTTTTAGGGTGGCGTTGCTCACATGTCATGCCAAAAGAGAACAAGCCGGACTGACTAATACGTGTCAAAGGTCTGGTGCATCATAGACTCATAGGAGTAAGCCAAACGACTCAGCCACAGCAACGGTACTGGCAATTTCATCTGGTCTGGGCGGGGAGCAGACAAGAAAGAATGAGATGGCAATTTCCCATCTTGCATCTTATCTTTTCGGACGGGACGGCGAGAGCAAGAAGTGCGTCGTGCATCGGTCTTTGTCAGCTACTCCGTATCTACTGCCTCCCAAGGTCGCACTGCTACTACGACTTATATGCACCCCACGCTCCATCACAGAGCTGACTAGAGCCGCTGTGGGAAACGGCGCGCGGGAGAGATGCATTGAGAGGGAGCAAAGACGACATATCAATAATGCTAACAGTAGGCAATACTCCGAACTCTCCGGATATAGGTGGCATGTAGCCTAAAATGTTAGCCATATGAACGGCCGATAACTTGCCAACCAACAGATGCAGCCTCGTGCTTGGAAATGTTGCACACGAGACCGATGAGGATGCCCGCATTCGAGGTACCTATTCATCTCCGCACCATACAGCAGGTCTCAAGGCGAGGAATGCGCCCAATGAAACGGTGCATAGTAGATTTGGGCATCTGGAATGGTCTTTCGCCGTGTCTAGGACAATACAAGAAAGGCAATGGAGTGGCGGTCTACCTGCACCTCACCACGTACCAGGACAGGGGCCGGCATGCATTGGATTGGATTCCCCCATCACCGCCAGTCTGCCCGGTTGATCCCATCGTAGGGACCCCTTGATTGAAAACGTGTAGACAATGCCCAATAGCTAAACGGCCACGAACAACGGGACATGCGCGCACCTGCATGTTCCCCTGCCCGGTTTCTTAGCTGACTGTCCTGTACGTGTACGGAATAAGCGCGCCCCTGTCTCCTTTATGCAAGAGTACGCACTCATCTGCAATGGCGTTTGTCGTAGCATGTACGTGGACATTCGAACGCGCAGGCATGCGTCGCCAATGACGAGAAAAGTACATCTTGGGGCAGTAGACACCGTCTGTTTGATGGTACCTGTTGGGCAGGATTGCATGCCATGGTCTCGCCAGCAGCAGATGCGCTGTACTCAGCGCCAGCAACATCACACTTGAGCCCCAGGTATCTATCGGGTAGCCATAGCGGCAAGCCCCTGTAATGTGTGATGCCAGTACTTCGTACAGATACCTGCATGGAGTTGAGGCGTTGCAGGCATGCCGTATGTATATGTAGTAGTATGTATGTATGTATGTATGTATGTACCCGCGTGCTTGCCTGAACTGGGCGCTTCCAGAAGGTGAGATTTGCCATTTCTTTCTTTTTTCTCTTTGAACGCGAGTCAGCAGCACAGCATTCTAGAAGAAGAGACTATCATCTGTATTTCAAGACACAGCCAGCAGGAGATGAGTCTGTTCCGGAATTGACATGACAAGACCTCTCAAGGCGGCGAGCAGTCGTTGTAACTGCCGCCAGCGTGCGTCCAATAGGCGGTGAGCGGCCGCTAATACAGTGCAATATATCGAGGACATCCAAGATGGAAGTTAGCTATGCTCCAGGCGCGTGCTTGTAACCTGGCACTCCGTATTCAGCTCCTAAGTTCGGACATGGCGTCCGTGGTGGGTTGGTGTGGATCTCCGTCGATGCAGGGCGACTGGCCCCTCGTGTTAGACTGAGCCAGCTCCAATCCTCTGGAGGCGGGATCACGGAGACCAGGTGCTCATTGTGACAAGAGTGGTGGCGCTTCCGTCTCTTGTGGTTGTCGCCGCAGATGGGTCATGACGTGCACCGGATCTTGATGAATCTCCAGATGTGCCAGGAGTAGTATCGTGAACAGCACGGAGTGGCACTTATAAAAGAGTGAAGCCAGAGGGCAGGGGCCAAATAAGGAACAAAAAGTACCATCTCGTCTTGGGAAAGACACTGGAAGAAGTGGGCAGTCGGCCTTGATCCACCGCGCAAAGTGCAAGCTTAGCAGATGGTCCCAGGCCATATTTGGCATTCTTCGAGACCTGGGTCGTCGTCCCGGCGGCAGTGACCGATCCCTAGAATGCCCGATCCAGCTTACTTGCACAGGCGATAAGCATAGGGTAGCATTGGCGGCGACATTCCACGGTAGCAGCAGCCTTCTGCGAGCAAGACGGACACAGGTATCCCCGCCATGGACAGATGGCGTTTTCAACAATATGGATCTGAACGAGGGGAGCCGGCGAAGTGGCAGTTGAAGCAGAGCGAGAGTGGAAAGCGGGGACCTCGATTCAAGGCGGACAACCAGCAAAACGCCCCCCCCCCGGCCAAGCAAAAGGACAATAGACACACAATGGCTGTTCCCGTGATGCATTCAAGTAGCACGGCGCAAAAAGGACAGCACATGGTGCCCAATACCGCTGGAGAGCGTGAGAGCGCAGAGCAGGCGTATGCTGACCGACTGTCGTTAAAAGACCCGATGGTGGGGTGGGCTGCTACAGTAAGGTGTACTTGTACTAAGCCAGCAGGCCTGCTAGAATTAGAACGTCCAGGTACCAGCCCGTAAGCATGAAATGGCCGATCATGATCATGAGGGGGAGTGGGAGAGAGAAAGAAAAGGTGGGAGGGGAGGTTTGGGGTATTCAGTGAGTCTGATTCGATGAAATACTGCATGAAGTCAGAAAAGAAAAAATTGAGAAAAGAAAACATGAGAAAAAGAAAGCATGAGAAAAGAAAAAGGAAAGACAGAAGGGAAACAGGAATTCTCAGTAGACCAAAGTTAGAAAATCAAATTGCAAAAAGAAAAGTTGACGGAGGGGGAGCAGCCACTGCTTGCACCTTCCCCCAACTGCGATCCGATTGTGAGGTACATGCCCCTCGTACAGTACATCGGTACGTACATTTTCGACAAAAAGGCATGGCGCCGGGTGTGCCTGACGTTCCTCCCTTGCTAATCCCGCACGACTCAGGCGTGCTTATTAGCAGGCAATTTTCCCTTCTTTTTCCTGTTCCTTTTGCGCACGGGGACCATCCTGGCCAGGGCGTTGCAGTGCCGCTTTAGAGTCGTGGCGCCACGGCAGCTCTTTGTCTTCAAAACCTTTTACTTTTTCTCTCTTTTGTTTTCATTATTCTCGCCTATTCCCTGGTAGCTAGCACCTTGCTGATCTGACCCGTGACCTGATGGCGGCCAAGTGCCGGAGCATGTTCCGCCAACTTACTAATGGGATGGATGATGCTTGTATGAAGTTTAGATGTAATTAATGGAAGGCAAGTCAGCCTGCGGCCAGGCAAACGATGATCCAACAGTCGTCGTATCAGGGCGGGCTTAGCAGACACTCTCCTAATTCCAGCAGTCCGTACAGTAGTGCCGGCACAGGTACTCATCCGCTGCGCTGCCACATTAGCCACTGCCAGGTAGATGTTAACGGTGGCATTGCCATTGCACACTAGCAGCCGCAGGTTTCGCGTTTGCAGGCTCGGACAGCGAAATCAGTCACACCCGGCATCGAATCGAGTCGAGTCGCTAGCCTGGCTGGTGGTGTCTGTTGCGTGCTAGTGCTTGGAGCTATCGTGGCCACGGCCAAGCGTGTGACTCCGGCAACCAGAGCCTTGAGCCGCGACAGCTGCGAGCCACGCCGGGCCAATGGCGGGGCAGGGCTTGCCAGCACCCGGCCAGCGCTGCCCGCCAGCAGGTACCGGTACCTCGCCCAGGCCTGCACCGCGCCGCTGTATGCGTACCGCGAGGTACCGCCCTTGCGCCCCTCCCCCTACAGCTCCAGCGCCAGCGCCACTGCCAGCACCAGTGTCAGTTGTTGGAGGGGCCGAGCTTGGGCCCCTCTTCCGCTGACGGGACCCCCGCTGGAAGCACTTGGTAGCGCCGGTGGCCAGCACAGCGCTGTGTCGCGTTTGCGAGGAGGGTGGGCTGGCCATGGCTGCTCGCTGGTACCGCCGCGGCGCGCGTGGCCGGCGAGGTACAAGGCGACGAGAGCCCGACGCCCTGGAGGTCGCTGGGCAAGTCGCTGTACAAGGCCCCGTCCGCCGCCCCGTCCAGCGCCTGTACTGCGCCGTACCGCAGCGCTGGCGGGTGCGCATGATGAGACAGCCAGCGCTGCTCTGCCTCCCCCTCTTGGCCCTCTGAGGCCCTCCCCCTCCATCGATCCCTCCGTCCCACCGTCGCTCAGCGGCCTCTGCCCTCTGTTTTTTTTTCTTTCGCTTCCCCCCTCCTTCTGCGCACCCACCCCTCTCGAAATTCTTACCCCCCAGAGTGGCTGCTGTCCGCCGCCCCCGAATTGAAATCTTTCCCCTCCCCCCCTCCCGCCCGTCTTCCTTCATTTACTGCGGCTTCTCCCTCTCCAAGCCCGTCTTCTCCCCTCTCCATCTGCCACCACAAGTCGTCGTTTTGCGCCCACGCACCGCTTCACAGCTTCCACCGCTTCTGCCGCGAGGCCGTCCATCGAGCCTCAGTCCTTGACCATCCCACCCATCTCCAGAACCATTCCATGACCAGCATACCATACTTTCCAATGACCAGCATCAACATCGACGCCAACGCAGTCACACTTTAAACCCCACGGGCGCGCGTGCGAGCGAGGAGCTAGGAGTCGAGAGCGAGAGCGAGAGAATTCGCAACACCACCCAGAGTACGATATTCAACCATCGTAACGTCCGCACCAGCCGGCTGAGCCGCCAGCGTCGCGTCCGCGTCAGCGCCGTCAGACCCCCATCGCCATCACCAACATCCACCAACACCACACACGCGACTCGGCCGTCAAGATGCCCGGCGCAAACGTCGCAGTTCTCCCGCCCCCAGCGGCCTCGACACCGTCCTCGCGCAAGGCGACTCTGGCGCCAGAACGCAAATACAAGTGCCAGTTTTGCAACAGAGCCTTCAGCCGAAGCGAGCACCGAAGCCGTCACGAGCGATCCCGTACGTGAAATTTTCCTCCCTTGGAGCGCAGCCCAAAATTTTCATCCATCCCTCCTTTGCTCGCCACGAACCATGCTAACTCCTTCATCTCTGTTTAGACACAAAGGAGCGTCCTTTCAAGTGCATGAAGTGCAGAAGCACCTTTGTGCGCCGCGATCTTCTTCTCAGACATGATCGCACAGTCCACGCCAAGGATGGCGGCGTCCCCCTTCACAGCGACGGCAAGCGTCGTTCTGGTCCCAAGACTCGAGCCATCGGCGGGCCCGCAAAGTCGTCAATCGCCCTGGATCCCTCCACGTTGGAGCAGATGGAAGCCGGCGGCGACGGCATTTTTGATGTCGAAGCCGCTGCCATGCTGGTTGCCGACCTGCACCACAAGGCCACTGCTGCTATGCGCGGAGACGAATCCTACGACGATGGCACATCCATGGCCTTTTCGCCCAGAAGCTCTGGCGGCATGGAGCCCGCCGTCACATACCCGTCCGGCGCCATTGCTCTTCCGCAAGTCCAGTGGGACAACTTCATGGCGGACCCCAAGCCGCACTCCATCACTTCCAGCGCCTCTGGTTCCTACGAATCATCACAGCCCTTTGCTGGCGGAAACAGGCTCCAGCACCAGCTGCCGCCCTTTGGCAACCGAAATGTCAATGGTCTTGTGCCCGCTCTTCAGTCCATGATCAGCTCTCTTCCTGCCTCTGGCCCGGAGATTCCGGCTCCACAGAGCCCCTCTGGAGTCGACTCGCTGCAGGCTGGATTTAGAGCTCCCCAGGTGTCTGGTGACGATGAGCGAAACGCCATCCTGGACAACATCCGCAGCGCTGACCGAGAGCACGCCATTCCAGACAGCTTTCGCCTGCCCGGCTTGGGTTCTCTGAACCGCTACCTGTCCACCTACTTTGGGCTGTTCCACCACCATCTGCCGTTCCTGCACCCAGCCTCGTTCATCCCGTCCCAGGTGTCGCCACCGCTACTCTTGGCCGTGCTTAGCATTGGTGCCCTCTATGCCTTTGACCAGGATCAGGCTTACATGCTTCACATTGGCTCCAAGGTTCTCGTCAACCAGTTCTTGCAGAACAAGGAGAACTTCAGCTCCCGCAAGTGCCCTCTGTGGACCATGCAAAGCTCGCTTCTCAACATGATCTTTGCTAGCTGGAGCGGCGACCCCAAGGGCTTGGAGTGGGCTTGTTCCATCAAGAGTCTGCTTGCCAACATGGTGGCAGGAAACCGCTACGAGCTCAAGCTTCGTCAGGAGGCTAGAGGCGCGGCCAAGCCTACTCGTGCTGAGTGGGTAGAGGATGAAGGCTGCCGCCGTACTTATTATGCAGTGTACATCTTCTTTGGCCTGCTCACCCTGACGTTCAACCACACGCCGGCCATTGGCTTCAATGAGTTTGAAGACCTACAGCTCCCTTCCACGGAAGCCATGTGGAACATGCAGGTTGCCGACGAGGCTGCGTGGGCCGAGCAGCTCGAAAAGTCGCCTGCCGTCATCTTCATGGAAGCCCATGACAATCTCTTCCAGGGTGAAGCCACTAAGTACAGCGCCTTCTCTACCCGTGTCATGATCAATGCCCTGTTCCTCGAAGTATGGTACCACAAACGTAGTCCTGAGGCCCTGCAAGATGTCGTGACCGAGTACAAACTTAGACTTGCGCTCGAGACGTGGGAGAAGTCCCTGGACTTGTGCGAGCCGGAGTCTGCCGCGGTGCCTCTCAGTGCCCCCCACAAGGGCCATCCCCTCATCTTCAATGCCCGCGCCATGTACCGTAACGCGCGTGCCCGCCTCGAGGTCGATCTCAAGACCGTGCAGGAGGCGCTGCGATACCATGAGCCCTACGAGGTGGCCGCTGCCATGTCCCACGCTCGGGACCGTGTCAAGCGTTCAAGCGAGATGATTAAAGTGATTGAAGAGTGCTACAACTGCCTCGAGACGGCCGTGGTTCAGGGCGTCCGCTGGGTGGCACGCACCTCGTCGACCAACTGGAGCGTCGAGCACCCGCTGTGCGGCTTGGATCTCATCATCATCCTCACGCTGTGGCTCTATCGTCTGGAACATGACGAAGAGCCCGCGACGCAGGAGGAGGTTGCCATGTATTACAAGGTCCGCCAGCTGTTCATCAAGGACTTTGATGAGAACATCATTGCCAACCTGAGCTCCGTGGTTGCACGCCTCTGGGGCTCAATGCTAGACGAGGTTGTTGTGTGGGGAATCACGCGTCTCATGGGCGAATCATGCAAACTGCATTCAGAAGCCTTGGTCGGCTATGTGGGCGACGAAGCTTCCTCTAATGTCTCGACCCCTTCGATGACCTCCCAGGGAGCGGACGAGGACAGCGTGTATTAATTACATTTGCGATGACGAAACGACTTTTCTTCTTTTTATTTCGACAACTCTTTCCTTCATCTCTATCACGGGAGCGCTAAAACACGCGCCGGTTTCTATTTCCTTTTCCTAACGCACAACTCGATTATTATGGCTCGTCTCCTTTACTTCTTATTCATATCTACGCAGGTTCATTAACCTTTGATTTCAACTTGGCGCGTTGCGGTTTTGGAACGGAGTCAGGCTTATGCTGGGAAAGTACTATCTTCTTTACCGTTTATTTCCTTCTTTTACGGATTCTCATGTTATTTCCTTGACGGCTCCTGAGACAGAGCAGGGGATCGTGTGTCATGTATTTGTTTTTATGGCTTTTTTTGGCCTTTGACTTGGTTGCTTTTTGATTTGCATCTGCTCGTTTATTCAGCATGGGTTGATGGAAAGGATCACTGGGGAAATAATTCTTCTTATTTATGGAGAGACGCAGGGACTCTCGGCGGTATAAAGGGATCGGACGTTTCGCATGAATTCGGGACCCGAAAAGGGATATTTGGGATCTATGGATCTCGACACAGCGCCAGCGCAAGCTAATGAACTGCGAGGGCAGGTTGATTGGCTGGTCCATGATGGCGATGCCGCCTTTTTCGCATTTTCCTCTTTTCCCTTTCTTCTTCTTCTTCTTCTTTAATGGCCTTTTGCTGCCTCTTTCTCCTTTTATCTTGGTAATTCTTTACTTTTGACTTGTAGCGGCTGTTTTCTTTTCTTTTCTTTTCTCTTGTTCTGCTTTCTGTCTTGTGTCTTCTGCTCTTGAATTTTAACTGTTTGCTGCCGCTTCTCGCTGGCATTGCAAGTCTGATTTATCATTGGCCTTTCCGAATTCTCCAGATACCTTGTTCGATATACAGATTGCTATTCTTCATTGAACCTCTTTACTTATTCTCTTATACTTTTTTCTTTTTTCTTTTCTCTCTCTTGTTTCTTTGAAAGTTCGTGTGTGCTTGTGTGTCTTGTGTGCTATTTTCCTTAATCTATCGTGCGTTTCTTTCTCTCTCCTCTACTTTGTCTTGGATATGCTATGAAGGGATGCTACGGCATCAGAGCAAACTCGCTTGCAGGCATGACAGCCCCATGAATAGGGGCTGCATTGCTTGTGTGGATGAGAGAAGCCTGTCCCACTTCTATGTGTATAGATATTCTAGTACTACAATTCGAATAATTATGTGTCTCTGTCAAAGAATGGAACCGCACGTGCTATGCCTTTGTATGAGATTTATTGGTGATTGATGCTGCCACGTAAGCGTGCGAGTCAATATGCACGGCAGATAGCTGATGTCGGATAAAGGCCTGTTGCCATGCATGTACGTAAATGATGCCTAGAAATAGCATCGTGGAGATTACACTAGCATGCCGTGTTTGTCTTGGAGAAAGCTCAATGGGACTGGCTGGAAATGAGTTGAAATGGTGGTTTCACAGGAGCGGGCCGTGCATGTTATGCAGATTTTTTACTTTCTAGAGGGAGGAACAATATGCAGTAGAACTTGGAATTTAGCCACGAAACATGTTACACATCCGAAGTCATTAGTCTAGATGCTCTCTCATTTTGGTAACATCCGGTGAGGAGAAATTACCTAGGCTGCGGAGAAAAGGGGAGGGAAAAAGAGAGGGTGGTATTTGGAGTATTGGGGTCATACCAAATGCCTGCCTTTGTTTTGCAGGATCTTTTCTCGTATCTATTGGGTATTTTTGGAAAAAAGTGAAGGTAATTAGGCTGGAGGCGGGGGGAGCATTATGCTGCTGGTAGATGTATGTAGGCTGAATATGTTTGTTTCGTTTTTGTGATTACTGCTCTCTCTTCTTTATTACTCTAGTTGGGCGTTTGCATGTATCAGGTGTATTAGCAATTAACATTATGATTTAAGATTAACATATAGGCATAGTAGTGGTAGTAAAACCAGCAGCCTTGTATTACCTACGCCTCATGCCTTGCTTGCCAACTCCACCGCAGGCGCTTCATTCGCGGGCTTTTCGTTTGCAGGCGCCTCGTTTGCAGGCATCTCGCCTCTTATTGGAGTCGAGTCCAGCTCGTGGATGCCGTTTGTGTCGGATTCTAGTTGTGCCTTTCCGTAGGTTGAGTCAATGTCGTATTCGGTCTGCTTCTTTGTCCGTTTGTGGCGTTTCCTGAGGCAGAATGAGAGGCTGATGATGGCGAGGATGGCAATGGGGGCGATGACGGCGCCGGCTATCCAGGCGTGGTTTTGGGAGGATGTTGTGTGAGGAGATGCGGTTTGAGATGGTGTTGCTGAGTGATGTGTGTAAGATACAATACAGGCATGGTGATATTAGTGCAAGTAACTACTCACTTGAGATGACGCTTTGGCTAGAGGATATTGAGGTATGCAAACTTGAAGCTCCACTCTGGCTGCTAGAAGACGTCAAAGTACGTGAACTTGGAGTCACACGCTTGCTACCAGAAGACGTAGACGATATAACACGACTGGAGCTGGATTGACCTGTAGGCGTCACATCTGTCGCAGCAGCATCAGTCGGCAGCAAAAAGGTCACAGTTGACGTCTTGTCATTCGTCACTGGTACATGTTTGACGGTGTATCCCAGCATGTGACAGTCTTGCAGATAGGGCAGCAAAGATGGGATAGGCGTTGCACCAAAGGGAGAGGTGTCGATTGTCTCTTTGATGCATCTTATGCACTGATCCACGAAGAAGAGGAAGTTTTTGGAGGTGCAGAGGGTGCTTTGGGGGGTTTGTTGGCCTGCTGTGGCGGCTTCGTCTATGAATGTCGTGTTAGTAGTAGTAGTAGTAGTAGTAGTAGTAGTAGTAGTAGTAGTAGTAGTAGTAGTAGTAGTAGTAGTAGTAGTAGTAGTAGTAGTAGTAGTAGTAGTAGTAGTAGTAGTAGTAGGTAAGTCAATGCAACTCGATATTGCAAAACAGGTTTAATAAGGAGATAATTTGATAGAGTTGGACGTACTGCAGGCCTCCACACACAACGCAGGTACAAGGCTGTCACCGTTTTGGCGGACAAGGATACCGGCATTGCGCCAACTCATTGCGGCTGAACAGATAACGGGGTTGTATAAACGTAATTCAAGTATATATATATATATATCCCCAGACACTACTGAATCTAGACTTTCACGGAAGGATTTAATGGGATAATTGAAGATTGAAGGATTGACAATGTTGCTTGAGACCGCAGAGCCGGGCTTTTTATACTGCTATGCGCTGTGATGTCAGTTTCGCGGTGTTGGAGTCGCATTCGGCCCCGCATAAGGGGGATTGAGGAAATCCTTCCGGGTAAACGGTTCATGGCGATGTTGTTTGTTGAGATCGCAACATCGACTAATGCACGTTTCTGCCTTTTTACTTGGGTTTTGTCATTTGCAGATTTAAAGCAATTTACCTGGATACTCAAGCACATACGACCATATCCATTGGAAAATACGGGATCCCGTCTGCTCTCCCAGAGTCAAGCCAATGAGAGGCAGATTAGTAGTTGAGTGGGTGACCATCAGCGAACACCGGCTGTTGTATGTTTTTTGCTCTTATAGCTCTGTAACTCTACTCTTATAGCCTGATTCAACACGATGACAAGTACATACGACCATAGGTAATGGAAAATTCAGGGTCCCGTCAAGTTCTTTTCCCGAGTTCAATGACTTCCATTTTCAGCACCCTAGGCTTCTATTTTCAGATTTATATAATTTTGTTTTTAGCAGATATTAAACTAGCGCTAGGGCTATAATATGCATAGGTTATGCGGTTTCCTTAATATTTAGTTCTATTATTTAAAGAGTAATAAATAGTAAAGAGATAATATATATTTACATCTAAGACAGATCTATTAACTCCGTTAAGTTAAGGAGACATAACATAATTATAAGTAACTGTATTTCTGTGATAATTAATAGCTTTTTTTTAAGCGCCACTCTCTTACTCTTTTCTAGTTGTTAGTTAAGACATGACTATTATCAGTTGTGCTATACTTAAATCGACTGCCGGCCGAATTACACATAACATAGCCCAATTCTAGTTGTGTGATAATTCTTCTAACTCCTTTAACTTCTGTTGTGTATTGTGCATCTGGAGCGCCATAGGCACCGGCAATATTGTGCATCTCAGCTCCATCCAGCGTAAGCTTGGGCTTTAAGCGATCACACTCTGCCGGCAGTGGATTTATACCGTCATATACCAGGTTTGCAGGCGCCTGTCGAATGGCAGAGATGCCTCCAAGAGCCCATCCCACGCCCAAATAACCATTCGGGGTTCCTTGGCAGTATCCAGCGACAGTTGAGGCTCGTTCGACGGCCGGATTCCTGGAGGTAACTAAAGCTTGAGTGGGTAGCGTGCAAGACCATTGGAGTCTGTATTGACTTTTCCAACATCGCGCCCAACAGCAGCTGCGTAATTATCCATGGCAGAAAGTGACAGCTCGGGGAAATGAAGATGATTGCATTTGATTGAAGTTAGAAGGGGTTAGGTTGGGCTGCAAGCTCTTATGAGCAACACCGGGCGGTTATATCTGGAATCTACAGGCTAACTGAATATCAGCTTCGAATATCGATGTGACCAGAGCAACTTCTACGATTCTAGGACAAGTGTGGTGCACGGGAACCAAGCTGATGGCATGGGTCTAGAATGCTGTACCGAACGAATCATGAGATGACTTGCATTCTCGGCTTAACAAGCCACAGAGGAGGCAAAAACCGATAGTGCTTCAATTGTTGCTTCAATAGTGATGCAATATTGTCGACTGGCGTATCTTGGCCCTTTGAATCAGTATTGTTCAGCTGGATATTCTTCTTTCAGCTAGATATTATTTCTTTCAGCTGGATACTGATGGCTACATCTCGACTCTTAATTGGTTCTAGAGCGGGGTTAGACTCGGCTGCCAAGCTGGGGCCAATATTCTCTGAAGCTTCATTCTCTTTCCTTGTTGACTCAAAAAGTTGGCTATATAAGGGTTGCAGAAGAAGTAAACTTGGCTCATAAAACTCAGGACAAGGGACCACCGCAAGGATTCACCACTCTAACCGCCACCAAAGTGTCGATTTTTCACAATGTCTGTGCGAGATCATGATGAACCACGGTAGCTCGTGTACTTGAGGATCAACGATGCACATATTGATGCGTTCATATCCTCTCTTCCTCCTTTAGACGGCAAGTCGGCCTGCAAACTTCATTTCCGCAAGCACATAAAAGTTGCGGATACAAAGCATCTCTGCAGGACTGTTCCTCGGGTCAACGCTGTTCCACTTTTCGATGAACAAAGAGACGAGATAATTTGGGCTACGAGCAAACCTGACCCATGAGAAAAGCATTTCCAGACTTCCCTGTGGAGGATCGGTCCGCATTTTGCAGCTCATTCTTTTGAAGATTTGGCACCAACTTGGTCAAAATGATCGAATTCCCAGTGTTGTACTCCCTCAAGGCAGCTGTCATGTTAACGTTCCAGCTCAAGCGACACGACGACGGCTTGGCCTAATATCCATCTGCATATGATTTGGTGGGTTATCGAGAGTAGTTGACACGAACTCTGCTAATGTCTAACTACTTAATATCAAGGCAATCTAATGCGCGATAGACCAAAAGGTCGACATCATTTCCATGAGCTTCTTCATTTTAGATGAAACAGATCAACTCAGAACTGCTTGCGCCAAGCGGCAGACGCAGGTATCATCATGCTTTGTAGTACCCGAGACGAAGGTCTTGACACCAAGCCGGGATACCCATAGAGCTACGGTGATATGATAACTATCACAGCTCATGACGAGTTTAGGACAGTGACTCAAAACGATCCGTCGAAGTATAATTACGCAATCCGAGAGCTAAACGTGGCTGCGGGCAGGTCCCCTTTCCAGAGTCAAAAGATTGCATATCAGAGAGTTCAGTCTCCACGGCTATAGCGGCGGGGCTAAGCTCGCTGATATTGGCTTGCGATCGACTGGCTCAATGATACAAGAAATATGAACGCACTGGCAGGTCTAAAATTGTGAAGCACCATTATGAGAAAATGGCGCCAAATAAGAAATACGTTATCTTGGAAAAGTTCGCTGAGATTGACAAGAAGATTAAGGACGGCAGGGAGGTCAACGCCCAAACCATCATAGAGGAATTCCTCCGTGGAGAAAAGTATCCGGCTCAGTAGATCCGACTTTCAGGTGTGCGCATCACATCTACCTAGGTATAGTAGATATACAATCTCTTATTTCTTACGCAGAGTTCAGCCGTTATGGTTATAGTAGAGAGTTCTAGTGGTAGCACTCTCAATATTTATTTATATATGTATATGACACATATTCAATTTATATCACAAGGTTGTTCAAAAATCCCATTCCTTCATGAGTGGATTAGCTTCAGTGTCATTGGGAAAGTTAACGAGGACTGTTGAATGACACCACGGTTTAATGTCCATTTCCTTGCGAATGGTCTCAGAGAAAAACGTGGACCACTTCATTCGCGGGTGGGCTTCATTGATCTCGGCGACCGTCGAATGATGCAACAACTTTTCAAAGTTCTTGACGTGGGGGTGCTTGCCAATGTTATCGAACAGTGTGGCAAGTTGAATCAGCTGGCCGAGATACGCAATCTCTCCTTCAACTCCCGTATCCTCATGTCGGATGATGGCCTCTGAAACAGCCTCTGCCTGATCTGTAGTGGCTCCGAAATCCTTGAGAATCTGTAGAGCCTTGATGCCACCATAGATATCAAAGGACATTCTAGTAGCGGTCAAATTTTCCTCCGCAGTTCCAAGATCGTGGAGCAGACAAGTAAGAGCCCAGGTAACAGGGTTAAGCTCAGCCGCCTGCTTCGGGAAATATTGCTTTGTGATAGCCATTCCTTCAAAAGCCGGCCGTTAGTATGCGACAAATATACTTGAATAGATCCTCCATTGGCATGAATTACACACCAAAGTAGTACGCTCTCATAGAATGATTGAAAGTTTGGGGGTGAAGAACCGCCTTGGCATAATTAATCGTCTTTGCCACTACGCCGTCGCTGGATGGAAATCCCAGCTCACTGACGGAAAAGGGCAGTGGTTCAATAGTGGTTAGTCGATCGCCGAAGAAAAGCCCAGCATGCCTGCGAACGCTGGTCCAGCCGTTGGACGCAATCTCGTCTTGACACATATTTGGGAGCCAACAAGGAGTTGTGTGAGATTTGAGAGAGATAGGAAATTGTCGAACTGTGATGAAAAGGAGGGAATGCTCAGAGCGGCGAAGCTTCTCAGTTTGCCATTTTATAGTTTTTCATTGTCGTACCTGCACCACAGATTTAACAAGATCCGAGGTATTAATAATTGTCAGATAATTTATAATCTGCTTAGATTTGCTTCGAGAAAAGACTCATGCCTTGTGGGTGTAAGGAGAATGTAGCTCGCGTTGAGGAGGTGAATGTGCCGCTGCTACGGCTCCACTTCCTATTTCGGTAGTTATTTTACGTGGGGCCAGATAGATAGATGCAGATACTACATTAGGTGGTGGGTGATGCGTCATGGTGCTGATGCTTACTCGCTCGATAAAGTCAAGCCATCTGAAATGCTCTACTAGCAGGCTCCAATGTCTGTTACCAGAAACTCCGATGTATGGCGCAATATGGTCATTTTGACAAATACGATTTTGCCATGGGCAGGTAATACTATGTACTTTTGTATTGAGGTCGCGCTACTGCCTTACATGTGTAATGTTCTAAGCCAACAGACAACTGTAGCCAAAATACAATGTGGTCACTCAAACCCGATTTCTCATTGTTCACTCATATCATGTAAATTAACCCCCCCTTTTTTTTTTCTTTTTCTCTCAATTTTAGGGCTGTGCCGTTCTAGGTATAGTGTATATATAAGCTTATTAACTATTCTCGTTGCTCAATTTCCTACCACCAGCAAGGCGAGATGTGTTGTAAACGGGAATGCGAAAGGGTAAAACATCTTGACACAGCTCATGACCCAGCATATAAAAGCCAGCTAGAGATGAGATAAAACCGAATGCGCCTGATACTTTCATGAGGCTTGTACTAGTTGCGATGTCACCATCTGCCCTAACAAAGTGCGCTATGCAATTAAAAATATATGAGAGTTCTATTGCACCATAGATAACAACATTAGGTCCGCCACTATATTGAATTTAGCAGTATTCTCTCCGTGTTTCTTAAATGCGCTCTTACGTTGGCAAGGATGCAATAAGAAAGAACATATTCAGTACGCACCAGACTATGCGGAAGTTATATTCTCAGCCAATGTGCTTCTTGAGATAGATATATAACTTACCAAGCTGGTAAATCCCAAATGCATTATGGTACTCGGCTATTTGGCCTTGGTATGATTCAAGAATGCCCATTGACGGCAATATTAACACTCCGTAACCACTATAGTATAGCCCTATCCGAGGACGTTAGTCTTGGTAAGCCATAAAAACCTCGAGGGGTTGACTTACCAAAAGCTGCCAGGACCGTGTATTGGAACGTATTGCCCTTGAGCATTTCCCACTGCGCGGAGATCAAGAGCCCAATTCCAGCGAGAAAACACATGTTTGCTATAAAGACGGATTGATTTGACACTCCGCGGAAGCCCATGGCAGACAGAGACAAAGCCATTAACGTCGCTGCAAACCCGCCAAATCCCAATGCACTCTAAAGCATAATTAGCCTTCTACCACAATCTTGCAAAAAAAAGTGTTATAATTTGAGGGTCAGTGGTTTATACCGGATTAGCAAGACTCCTCCGTCTAACGACGAACGCCTCTGGCGTCTTGATGTCGTTCTCCCAAACTGAATCCATTGCAAATGTTGTTGCTCAAATATGCCGTTGAAACTGTTGCAGTGTAAGTTCTCATCTTGGGGACGCCGATGGTATGATATAAGCGAATCGGACGACGAGCCAGCGGTACCGAAGATGGTTAACTTGTCTTACCGACACTAACTTTAACATGGATGGCTGAGCACGTCTCCACTCCAAATTTTTTCCTTTGTAGGCATAGCGTACCTATCCGGAACGCAGGCGATGTGATCTATCACGAGTTCTGGGCTACCCATTATGAGTCGAGCGTGAAGATCGTGCTAGAGTAAGAAAAATCCTCTCCTCGACTCTCCAGAACTAAGCCAGCTTTAGGCCGCAGGCATCGGCAATTAAGCACAACCCAAGTTCTTCCTAAGACTTTTTGCCCTGCCACCTTACTTTGCGTGGTGCTAAGAGCGACGTTTCTCATGCACCGGATTTCGGCCGCACCGGATCGTCTGCATTCTCACCCTTCCTCACCATTCTGTTCGTTAAGGGGCATTCCAAAAAACAACTTCAGACTATGGATACTTCTTGCTATACCTGTCGTCGTCGACACGTGGAATGTCGCATGGTTCAGTCACCATGCAAGAAATGCACCCGGGCTGGACTAGAATGCACCCAAAGCAGACCATTACGATGGGTAAAAGGTGCTAATTATCGAGCCAGGGAGAGAGGAAAGACGGTTGCAAATAAATCCTCTCTATCCAAGGAAATGGCTCTCTTCGGACCAACATCGGCTACAAGGGATGTGTCACACGCACAAACCGCCACGCATCCAGGGTCTGTACTGCCAACCAGTATGAGAGAGAGAGGTGAGATATCCCAACCTGCAATTGATTCTACTCCTTCTATGGACAACTAATCCCTTTCATTACACTATCCCTATTTCTAACAGACGCTATGCATACATCATAGAGCACGACTTTCGGCCAAGTCCCATCATACAGTTAGATGACCCTCTCATATCCAACCTCGACGAGACTACTCGGTATTACTTATTTTATTGTATGTATAACCCTCTCAGAACTGCACGTCAGCTCATAGTAAACAACTTTTGACCCATGGCTCAGATAGCAGATGCGTTTGCAAGCTGTTTATCATGTATGACAGTACCGTGAACCCGTTAAGAAACATAATAGGTGCTGCTTTTGACAGTCCCCTCTTGCTGTCTGCTATTATTGCACTTTCGGCACGTCACATGGCAAATACAGGGCTCTCATTCACTCAGGGTGGTATAGTAACGTCTTCCACGACTTTAAAAGGCGCCGACCGTACCGCTCTCCGCTTCAAACACAAGACTTTACGAGGGCTTTCAGATGCTGTAAATGACCCTACGTTGCGTGCACTAGACACAACGGTTACGAGCGCCTTTCTATTAATGTTTCTCGATCTCCTAGAATCTGGAAGCGGTACCTGGAGTATACATCTCGAAGGTGTCAAGAAATTAATTACTCAGATTGAAACCCCCGCCAAGCCAAAAGGAACAGCACAAGAATATCTTGGCTCGTATGTTATAAGCACACGGGACTTCGTCTCTAGGCAGGTTTACGTGTACGTTTTCTGAGCATAGCTTGTGTTGCCACGTTCATTACAGCTAATAACTTCCCATCAGCATCGAAAACCTCGGACCAACATACACGAATCCCGAAATATTGTCAAATACGTCTATCCCTTTGCAAGCAGCTAGGCAGCCACTGCAGCAAAAGCTGGAGCATTCGTACTTGGGATGCCCTGAATATCTTTTAGATGCCCTAGGTGTCTTTTCTTCTTGTCGAGATTTCCTCGTCTCCTCGCAGCCCAGGAGCGAGGTTGACCTTGATACACGTATTCAGAAAGCAGATAACATGCTTAGATCTACAGAGAGCTTTGACTGCTATTCCTGGGCGGCAACACTAGCACGACTACCCTCGACTTCAGTGCAGATTCAAGAGCTTTCCAAGTTAGCAGAGACCTATAAACTCGGAGCTCAGATATATGGCAGACGAATTCTTGACGCTCTTATTGGGGAAGAAACCCTTCAAGACCACCTCGTGCGTCGACTTATTGGCGTCATTCAAGAATTAAAGAGTGACGCCAACCTGTTCAAATGCATACTCTGGCCAATGGTCATTGCAGGATTAGAATCCCATCAACAGGCTCACAGAGAGTTTATATCAAGCTGCCTGGAGAAATTTTGGCTTGAAACAAGATGTTTGAACGTTGTGAATACCGGCACTATACTACGAAAGTTGTGGCAGTGGGAAGAACGGGAGGTATCGACCCCGACGCATTGGATATTCAGGATTGGTCAATTAGGGGGCGACTGGCTCCTTGTATAAAAAGCCAAATACTTTCAAGAAATTAATCAAGTTAGTTGCATTTTCTTAGCATAGATTTGGGGCAGTAAGATGCTGTTGCCTACGCAGGTTATTGGTTGGACAAAATTAAGACCACAAGAACATGGTGAAGAGGGTTCCCTGTCAAGCACTTCTCTTGAGTGCGATGTCTTCCATTTTTCGTATCCCATGGCTCTAAATTCGGAGTAGAATGATTCCGTTTTTGGTGGTTAACTAACCCCGCGCCAAGAGCCAGCGCTGCCACTAAGATGTTCGGTTCTCTAGAGCCCAGGCGGCTAAGGTGCAACTACAATTTGCCAACCTACTTGCTTCTCACAAACTACCAAAGACTCGTAATGCAGAATGGTCAGCCTAATTTTAACAAGCTGCCTCATCTTCATCCGGCCATCTTTATAAAAGCTTTTAAAAAAACTTGTCTTTATCGACGTGATAGATCCCTCCATATCGGCAAACAAGAAGAGGCTGAATCGAAAGAACGTTAGACAGTCAGTGAGAAGCAATCCGCCTGAAGAGGAAGAGCTGAGGAGAAGTGAAGAGAGTACGCCGACGAGTCCTCCCGATAGCAGTGCATTGGAGTGGCTTATAATGCTTCTCAAAAGTTTGTTCTCTTCTCTATTATGCATCAAGCTTTTCAACAACGAACCCGGCTCTATGCCACAACCTCCATCTGAGAATGGTTTAGTGGACCAGCAATCGTCCCAAGCTGCTGAGGGCCTGGTTAGGCGACCTACTCTCAAGGATTTCATTCTAAGGAGACAGTCAACAACATTTGGGGGTGATAGTCTCGATGGGCGTTTCCCCCAAGTGTTGGATCGGTTGACACAGGCCGCAGTGAAGATTTTGGAGCATGCCATCTTCAACGGCAGCCCAGAGGTGATCAAATTGATTGCCGACACATGGGTTGAGGCACTAAACAATCTTGTGGGACGTGAAGGGTCTGAACAGCTTCTCAAAAGTGTGGTGGAAAGCCGAGTAGCTGAACTCAAGAGATTTCTCGCTGACTCAAGCCTGACATCAGACCAAAGATTCGATAAAGCCAAAGGTCTAGCTTGTGTTGGTGTTGAGCTATTATACACTGCGTGCAGGCAAGAACAAAAGTATAAGCGCTTGATTTTTATTCTCTCGAAGCTCTGGGCCTCGGCTCTTGAAAGCGTTAAGACAAGCCATTAACCGGCAGATTAGTAGTCAAGTGGGTGACCATTGGCGAACACCGGCTGTTATATGTATTCTATTTTGCTTTTCTTTTTGATAGTCATATCCATGTCTATATGGTACTTTTGGTTAGTGTGCTCAATCTCAATCGCTTATTGTGTGTATACTGTTGTGCGGATGGGAATATGGCTCATGGTTCATGGTTCATGGTTCATGGGTATTGTGACGCGAAGATTGACATTCGTGGATGTAGATGTATGTAATTGAAGAAAATCAGGCACATGAAAGACTTGAGTTCCAATGTTGAATATTCTCAGATGTATAGTTGAAATGATAATGAGCAACAGTGCCTTGTCGCTCAGATCTAAGTACAGAGCCGCGCTGGACAGATTGGGTATGGCCTTTTGTGAGTAGCCTGATAAGAAGGGTGCAAGTGCAGCAGAATTGAATGCGCCAGCTGTTCGCAGATTGCATGTCCTTACTTTAAACCCATTACTGACAGTCACGGTTTGAATATAACGCAGTGTATATCAAGACCTGAATGAGTTCTACCTTAGTTGTAAATGCACTCCAGCTGTTGTGCTTCTTATCATCAATATTCCAGCCTTCTCTCTTATAAACCATGTAATTACTAGGTACATGTAGTCTTGTGCTAAGAATTCGCCATCCAAATGAACATTGACACAGTCGTATTTGGTTTGCACGTCACACTATCGATGTAGATATCGAATAGAGCCTCAGACATAAATATATAAGAGATCACCGGTTTGGCTGTAGTACATAATGTCTGGCGCGTTTGACTGAGTTATATTTAGACTACAAAGGGAGCGCAGGGCCTGTACTTGATCACAACCTCTGATTTAACACCTCATTACTTGTCTTTAGATCCAGACATCGTCTACCTAATATACACAACAAAGCGACATTTGCTAATGTCTTGCAGTTTCAGCTCCTCATCTAAGCGAGACAAGAGCCACTTTCCCCAATCAGGAATTTCCCACTGCGGGTGGAAGCGCCTACCAGGAACGTTTCTGACTACATAAGGTATGTGGCACTTGATATACGAATGGATGGACGGACAGTGTATAAGCGCAATCGCTAGAATAGATATGGGCTAGAGGGCAATACTACTGCAACGGTGGCTATGCAGTAACTGGAAGCTGCGCTGTTTGTGGCCCAGCCTGTTTGCTAGCTGATAGTATTGATCGTCACTATGCCGTGTGCATCTGCAGAAGAGGGCAAAACAAACTGCGCAGATGCAGAAGCCATGGATGAATGTGGAAGGTCGGGGCTTTATACGGGAGCCCAAGTGCCGGAGCTAGCCTCAAACACGAGAGAGAGTGCAACCTGTATCCAATAATAGCTATTAGTGCATACATGTTGCTAAAGCCCACAGGTAAGCAAGCCAGGGTTGGGCTGAAAGAGAGGCCAGTTCAGGTTTTCAGTGGGATACGGCGTTGGAGAGGCCTAGACTAAGGTATAATGTGTGTGTGTCTTGTACAATACAGTAAATGCAAGGGAGGAGACAAGAATCAATCACCAACCAACCAACCAACCAACCGGACCTGGGGTCGGACCGTGCGTAACAGAAGCTGCCGTGCCTTTAAACTCTAAACGCGAAGGAGAGACGAAGGCAAAAATCAGCGTTTCACTCGTGCATTCACCTTTTTGCAGCCAAAACGTGTCTCGTGCCTGACTTCGTATCTGCATCTGCACCTGCATCTGCACCTGCATCTGCATCTGCATTTGCCGGGATGCGCCAAACGGCCGCTCTCTCTTGCTAGTTTTTGGCTGCTTCCCGTTCCATCCTACCCAATTGTGCCGTAGCTTGGACTTTTGTTTATTTTGATCGTGTTTTCCACTTACTCTTCTTTGCTTGTGTTCTTCTTTTTCTCTTCTTCTTCTTCAAACCCTGTCTGTAATTCTCCTCACTTTGCTTTGCTTATCATCATAATTCTGCTTCACATCGCTCCGCTTTGCTTTGCTCCAGGCCACTTACAAGAAAAGAGGAAATACAAAAACACCAGCCATGGCCCCCCCTCGCGGCCTCGGCCAGCTGCTGGGCATTTTGGGCCTCATGCTTCTGGCGCTTGTACCGCACTTGGTCGCAGCAGACTGTGAATGCGGCTTTATCGCGCACTCTCCGTTGACCCAGAAGCAGGCCCAAGAACATCCAGGGCCCGACCAGTTGCTCTTCACAAGCATGCTGGAGAGCAGGTTCTACGACGTCCAAAACATTTCTCGGGACGGCACCTGGAAGCGGCAGCAGTACAACGTTTCGGCTCGAGCTGGGCGAGGCGAGTACGGCAAGACTTTTGCTACCAAGAACGTCTATAGCGTTCCTCAGACTGGTGCTGTGAAGGATCCTTCTCAGCTCGGCGCCGGGTATTCGGACTCTACGAACGGTGGAATTGCGCTGGTTGTCAGCAGCGCCCTTACCAATGATTCCGTCCCGACGGCAGAGCTGGACTCGGCTCGATCTGACATGACATTTGGCACGTACCGTGCTGGCATCAAGTTGACTCCTGTGAACGGCACCTGCGCAGCTTTTTTCTGGGTATGTTTGACTCTTACACCGACTCTTTTGGCATGGGATGACCTTGCTGACAAACAGACAGTACTTCAATGACACCCAGGAGATTGACATGGAGTTTCTATCTCGAGAGTTTGACGTAGCGAAACAAGTCTTTCCCGTCAACCTCGTGATCCAGTCGGAAGCATCGATGCAGGCTGGATATGATGCGTCCAAGACGGGCACCTTCAAGGTGGTGAACCTTGCCTTTGACCCCACTCTTGACTTTCACGAGTATCGCTTCGACTTCTTGCAAGATCGAGTCCGCTTCTACGCCGACAGCCGGCTGCTCGCCGAGATGAACGGAACCTCGGTGCCCACTAGTCCTGGCCATCTCATTCTGCAGCACTGGAGCAACGGGAATCCCTTGTGGTCCGGAGGCCCCCCCGAGGAAGACGCTACCATGACTGTTGGCTACGTCAAGGCCTATTTCAACTCATCCGACGCAAAGGTCCAGTCGAGCTGGGATAGCGGCTGCCAAAAGGCGCTTTCAAAGGGCAGCAACGACACGGTGTGCGAGATTCCCAATGTGACGGCAGCAAACTCAAGCACGGGAGGCACCTTTTTCAACACCAGCGATCCGAATGATACGGAAAAGAACAACGCGGTTCGCCTGGGCAGCACGTGGGCGACGACGGCGAGTGCACTGCTGCTGATGCTGGTATTGACCTGCCTATAAGGGGGGAGAGTGAGGGCGAAAGCGTGTTTTTTTTTTTTTTGTTTCATGATGTACCGTGTAATGCTATAATGAGTCCATGACGTGTTTGTTTTTGGAGATGAGGAAAGAGGTTGCTTTTGGAGCATGTGTACATAGGGCAGTTGAGGCTTTATACCGAATGAGGTGCTTTTGTCCGAGATGAGAATAATAGTCACTATCTGACGATGATGGCCATGATTGTGGTGATTGTGGTGATTTACAGTGCAGTTCTTCCACGGCCTGTAGATTCCAGACATCAGACGTCGTCAAGTGAGTGTTGGCTGATGTTGGTCGGCGCATCATGTGATGCACGATGCGGTCATTTGCCCCGCAAGACTCCGAGCAGCTGGATTGGATGGGGCTTCAGGGCTCAGGGCGATGCTGCTTTGGGGAGGTGCCGAGATGCGAATATGATGTATATGATTTTGTGCATAACATGATTTGAGTGGATGCAAGTAGATATATCGATACTATTACTTAATGCTATTCAGCTGGTTGTGACGCTTGTCGAACATCTGATGCATTGAAAGAGCGGGTTTGTTTCTAGGGCTGGAATGCAACCGCACCATGGCTTAGGGACATTTATAAGGCTGCAATGATCCCGTGTAACACATCAGCCCAAGAAAGCATGGGAGAAAGACAAAATGACTACATGTTTTAGAAATTGTATCATGGGGAAGATGGCAGGCAAGTAGAGGATTGATTGACACTAACAAATCGTGTGTAGTTGGACGTAATGATATGATCATTGAGGATTCTCATGGTGGTGGGCAGTGCAGGACGGATAGGTTGATGGGGCAGATAAAAGGGACCGGCGTTGCGCGCATCTTGATTGATGAAAGCTGTTGTTATTCGCTTGTACATGTTTTATCTAGACAGTTAGACTACGCATCTACTAGTACCTTCACAACATTTTAATTACCTTTCTTGTATCTGATCAACGTTGAATCATCCATCCACCATGACGCCCAGCACGCTCAGCATCGTCGTCAAGAACAACACGTCGGCGCCGCAGCTCTACGCCTTCGTCACCGGCACGGCCGCCCAGGGCATCTTCTTCCTGCGCTCCGACGGCGTCACGCCCTACTACCCGGCATCGCCCTCGTCGACGCTGCAGCCGCTGTCGCAGAACTGCGCCGTGGCGGTGGGCGGGCCGGGCCAGAGCCGCTCGCTGACGGTGCCGCAGCTGGCCGGCGCGCGCATCTGGTTCAGCCAGGCCAAGCCGCTGACGTTTCTGCTGAACCCGGGCCCGGCCGTCGTCGAGCCGTCGAGCACCAACGTCGCGGACCCAAACTACGGCGTGCAGTGGGCGTTTTGCGAGTTTACGCTGAACACCTCGGAGCTGTACGTCAATGTGTCGTATGTCGACTTCTTCAGCATTCCCGTGTCGCTGCAGCTGGAGAATGGGAGCGGCAAGGTGACGAGCGTGCCGGGGATGCCAAAGGGGGCGCTGGATTCGATTTGCTCGCAGTTGAAGGCGCAGGCGGCCAAAGACGGTGCTGGGTGGGACAAGCTGGTGATTCAGAACGGGGGCAGCAACTTGCGTGCGCTGAGTCCCAATTCGGGCAGCGTCATGTTTCCGGGCCTGTTCAATAACTACTACCAGCCGTACGTGGACGCCGTGTGGAAGAAGTACCAGACGACGAACCTCACGGTCAACACGCAGTTCCAGGACTGGGGCAACGTCGTCGGGCGCGTGGACTCGTCAGGAAAGAACTTGGTCTTTCCGTCTGGCTACGGCAGCTTTGCGAAGCCGGCCGCCGTGGATATCTTTTCGTGCGACTCGGGGCCCTTTGCGGGCGGTTCCGGCGTGACGGCGCAGCAGCTGAATGTCGGGGCGAGGCTGGCGGCGGCGCTGAACCGCTCGACGCTGCTGAATGGCGGGCAGCAGCCGGAGGGCGAGGACGTGAGCCAGTATTACACGGAGAAGGTGACGAACCACTATTCGCGGATATGCCATGCGGTGAGCGTGGGCGGGAGGGGGTATGCGTTTCCGTATGATGATGTTGGGAAGACGGGGGGAGTGGACCAGAGCGGGTTTTTGAGTGATGGGAATCCGAAGGTGTTGACGATTGGCGTTGGGGGGCCTTTGTGATGATTTTGTGTTTTGATGTCGATGGTGGTGTATATATGTTGTTTGTTTGCTGTACATGGTATCTTGCTGTTCGCTGTATATATGTATATGTAATTGAATGTATATTCTGTATAAACTGATATATCCTACATGTATCTCGATAAAGTGTGTAAAAGAAACATTGCCATTGCTGCTTAGACACGCGATTGCAACGCTGGTTACAAGGCCTGGCATCTTACGTTTTCCACTTTTGGCTGTGTGTTGGTGATGATGGCCCGTCTTGTTGGCATAAAGTGCATCTTTCTATATGCGTGCTGTACATGGCATATCATTTGTACATTGTTCTGGCAAACGGCATCGATTACAGTCGAAACCTGCTCATATCAAAGAGGCAGTTGTACAAGTCACACAAGTACAAAGACAAGCATCATATTCCTTGGGTGAGACGGACCTGGCCAATCCATCCTTCATCCCATGCATGATGCAGCTCACCCAATTAGCCGGCCGAAAAGTAAAATTTCTCCCGTGTCACTGTATGTTTAACCCTGCTTATCAGTGCTTCATGTTGCTTTTAGGCTTCAGACAGTGTAGTACTAGACTGCTCTCAGCCTTGTGAAACAATTGAAATGGCTCGGAAAAGAGGAAAAAATAAAAAGAAACGAGGAAACAAGAGCCCAGTCGTCTCACATGCACGACATGCCGAATCACAGGCCTAACCGGCTGGGCTCCGACATCTCCCATACTGTAGAGTAAGATAGTGGAGGTCCACCAGCCTAAACAAGCGCCGGGGAACTGTCTTCTTCCCCTCTTGTTTGTGCCACTAGCACCGACTTCTCTTTTCCCCTGGCTGGCGATGAAATGAGACGACCAGGATTGGAGATGGGATGGAATGGCCGGGACTGACTGGCAGATTGGGCTGTTGCTGGTCTACTTCCACTACAGTAGGTACATAAGGTATCTAGTGGTAAGTAGGTAGGAATAGTTGATTCCATGCCTTTTTCTAGTAGCAGCTATTTTGAATCTGCTAGTGAATCCTCTTGTATTGACCGAGGTTCACACGTAATAGATAATGTATTATCGCAGATGCATGCAGCACAGCGTGTCGTGTTCAGTGCCTACCTATTGATTCGAGTCGAATGCCGTGCTTGAATGCATCGCCAAATCATGCATATCACTAGGTGACTTGTCCTCGCACAGACAGCGGTGCGCCGTTGCGTCTGATGCTACGCTGGCGCTCTCTATGGGGCAGTAGTCGATGCCTGCCATGCATATCGTGTCCGACAAAGACTCCGTAAAATAGATTGCTTATTACAAGTATATTGCCGCCCACCTTTTCCCTCACCGTCTCATCGCTGTACAAGTAGGCACATCATCCAGGAGTACATCGCATCAAAGAACTGATTCCGTAATCCCATCATCAAATCCCCTGTAGCGGTGCCTGGCCGCTGCTAGGACGGTACCCGCGCCTTGCCCGTGGCGTCTGCAGCGCTCTTCGGTACCTGCTTAAACGGCCGCCGGCGTGCCTGACTGGCCCCACCGCGTCGTTTCTGCGGCTCAAACTGGAAATTAGAAACGAACACAAATGGCGAATCCATCTCTCTCCAAAACCCATCGCCGACATCCATTCATGATCCATCCCCATCCCTCCATCCTCCCCCCACTTTGCAAAAAAACGTTTCCAAAAGGTATCCAACTGCCGCAGACGTGGCTGAAAGACGGCAACTCGCAGTTGATACTAGGCCCCGGCACCCTACAGCTCTTGCATGTGCTACTTCGGCTCTTCCAGCAACTCCGATCCAATCGCCCAGTGCCGCAACCCCCACCTTGTGTGCCCATCACGACGGTTTTGCATCGTCTGTGCATGAACAACTCACAGAGAGGGGCGAGGCCAGACGAGGGGCCATAAGTTTGGGTGTCCCGGCTCGGATCCCGATCCTGGTCCCGGTCTTGGTTCTGATCCCAGCAATAAAGCAGCCTCGATTTATCAGACAGCGGCCTGGGCTAGACAGGGCCTAATACAGCATCTCTCTGGAGCATCTTTCATCTGGAACTGCTGCTTTTTCTCTCTTCTTTCTTCTTGACTTGGCAGATATAGACTGGTCCCTACACCGTTGACAGTGCGTTCTGCCCCGTAGTGGCGCTCCCCTACAAACGCCTCTAGAGAAGCGAGAAACAAGAGACTCTGAACCACTGCCGCCGCCATGGTCTACTGCGGCAAGCCCTCCAAGGGCTGCTCTCACTGCAGAGAGCGCAAGATCCGAGTAGGTTTGCTTCACTCTGTCTGAGCCTCATCTGTCCATCATCCTTTTCCTACCGAGTCTCGTCTTCTCTCGTCAGGCACTGTGGCTATTGCTTACTTCCGTCTCCTCGCTTTCCGCCCGCCTGCAGTGCGATCAGAAAGAACCGGGATGCGGCCAGTGCATCAAGCGCCACATAGAATGTCCCGGCTACCGCAACATGGTGGACCTCATGTTCCGCGACGAGAGCCACGATGTCATCAAAAAGGCAACCTCGGCCAAGCCGCGCATCAAGAAGCTGAAACATGGCGGACGGGCCGCTCCGAAGCTAGCCACGGCGCCTCAGATCGCGCCACCAAGCCCGCCGTCGCCATCGTCGGGGCCTCTCGTCATCCGCGATAGTCCTCGGCCGTCGTCCAAGGCTTTGGGTCCCCTGAAGCGTCGCTCCAAGAAGTCGCCTCTTCTGTCCGTCCTGCTGGCAGGCCCGTACACCGACAGAGATGGCTTTGACGAGGACGACTGGGTCACCCATACGTATCCCTACGAATATGAACGCATTGTTCGTCGCGGCCGTCGCCACGAGGACTATGATTATGACGACGACGACTACTACGACTTCGACTTGGATCCTGCTGGCGACGCTGTGGTCCATATCCCCTATGCACCATCCGTCTCTCTCCAAGAGCGTGGCACCGCCTTCTTCTTCTCTCGCTATGTGGCCACAGATCTTGGCTGCTATCAAAACTACGACTTCATCTACGACATCTGGAAGCCCCCCACCATGAGCCGGCCTCGCAGATTCGAAATCCCCCCTCAGGCTCCCCCCATCAAGCGATCGGATGCCCTCATCTCTGCCGGTATGACGGCCGTGGGCCTCGTCGGTCTCTCCAAAATCACTGGTGACAGGGAGACCATGTTGCGCGCCCAGCAGAGCTACGGCGCCGCTCTCCAGCTGGCCAACGCCGCCCTCCGAGACCCAAAAGAAGCTGTAGAGGACAGTACCATGCTCGGCGTTCTTATCCTCGGCACGTATGAATTCATCTCCGGACGCACCCCGCAAACGCTCCACGCTTGGCAGGAACACATCAACGGTGCCGCTACGCTCGCCACCCTGAGAGGCCAAGACCAGTTTCACACAAAGGCTGGCGTCAGAATGTTCACCATGCTGTGCCACTCTGTGCTCATCAGCTGCATCCAGAGCGGCCTGCCCATGCCGAAAGCCATTGTGGACCTGCGGAACGAACTGCGAAACGTCGCGGACAGCAAGCTGCCGGCGTGGCGTGTCATTGATCCCCTGTACAAGGCCCTTCAGATTCGACACGACATTAAGCATAGGCGCATCACCGGCATGGACGACATCATTGGCAGTCTCGTTGAAATCGAGGATGAGTTTGAGATGCTCATTCGGGGACTGCCGCCGTCTTGGCGTTACCAGAATGTCAGCCTCACCAAATCCAACCCTGCCATCATGGGCCCTTCGTGCCACGTCTATCCGGGCCTCACGCAGGCCACTTCCTGGAACGCAGTACGGACCATGAGGATACTGGTCCAGGAGACGATACTGGAGCAGCTGTGCTACAGCGTAGAGGATCCTACGACTCTTCCAATGCACCATCAGTTGCATCTTGTCAAGGCCATGAAGATGCTGCGCAAGCTCGGCGAGGCTGTCGTCGGCAGCGTCCCTCAGCACTTTGGCATCGTCAGCTCTCGGGACGTCAAGTACAATAAGAATAAAGGGGCAACTCGGCCTACCGTTACCGCCCAGAATCAGCCCTCGACCATTGTGTCGGCGCCTCTCTTGCCGCCGGCTCTCGGGAGAGATGACAGCAAATCTCCCGTCCCCGCATGGCAGCGAGAGAGTGTAACGACGCGACCGACGTTGCTGGATCCGACGCAGTCTGAGCTGGGCAACGGCCGAAGCGACTCGGAACGGTTCTTGACCCTGGCTACGGCTAGCAACACCATCATCTGGCCTCTGTATACGCTCGGCCTATCGTCGTCTTGCACTCACGAGACGAGTGCCTACATTGTCGATAGACTCATGTCAATCTATCGCGAGACGGGCTTGGAGCAGGCCAGAGTTGTGGCAGGCATGATGCAGAACAGGCAAGAGTCGTTGACTTGGGCCAGCATCCCAACCACTCGTCTGCCATCTTTGCCCGAAGATGCATTGCCTCTTGTTGTGTAGACATTTTTTTCTCATCTTTGACGCTTTCTCCTGATGTGCCATCTGTTTCACTGCACGTATTTAGACCCTTGTTTGACACAATCTCTTTCCTGAAAAGCAAGGAGGCATGATGATATATGGACCTTCGTTTCAATTTCTCTTCATTTTAGACACCCTTCTCTTCTTTATTTCCCTTTTCTCCCCCTTTTCTGTCTATTTTCGCATTGTCTTTTAGCGATGGATATAATGGGCTTTTCCTTTTTAACGTTATGATCTCTTTTATATCTTGTGCCGGCAGATTGATTCTTGGATACTAATTCTAGATTTTATTACATTATATACTCGTTACCAGTTATATACCAGATAGATTGAAATCTCGCTGTCGCTGTTGCACTGACGCACTACCCTTCTCAACGGCCAAAGTTTCCAAGTGACGCCTCACCTCACCTCACCAGTTATCAAAATTTCCAAATCCACCGCCCGACTTCATCTTCTTCCGCGGCTGATTCTCCCACGTGTCCACATTATCCGCATCGCCATCATCCCTTTCCCTTCTCATTGTACTGCTATTTGCCGCCTGCCCCTGTCCCTGCCCCATCGCCTCCTTATCCAGATACTTGCCCACGCTCTGCTTCGCATCAGCCCCATCAAACGTGCCATCGCCTCTAAGCCGTTTGCCCGTCCACGTCGTCTTGTCGTCCTCTGTGCCGCCCTGCCTGCGAATCTCTTCCTGTCGGCGGTCGAGGCGCTCCTTTTCGCTCTTTTGCGCCTGGAACTCCTCAAAGGGGTCGACGAAGACGACAATGTCCTTGATGAGGATCTTGTTGAGGGGCCGGCTGGAGCCGTCGGTGGGGACGTCTTCCATTTTGGAGAGGATGTCGAGGCCGGACTCGATGCGGCCAAAGATTGTGTGTTTGCGGTCAAGGTGGGGGGTTGGTTTGTAGGTGATGAAGAATTGGGATGAGTTTGTGTTTTTGCCTTTGTTGGCCATTGAGACTGATTTTGTGAGTGACTGTAGCTCTATGGATGAATGTAAGGGATATTTAAACTTACCTATGCCGCGTGCATTGTGTGTCAATGGCCCGTCGAATTCGTCGTTGAAGTTCTTGCCCCATATGCTTTGGCCTCCTTTCCCTGTGCCAGTCGGATCGCCGCCTTGAATCATGAAATTGGGAATGTTTCGGTGGAACGCGACGCCCCTGTAGTAGCCCGTCTGCGCGAGCCTGATAAAGTTCCATACCGCCTTGGGTGCCGTCTCGGTCTGCAGCTCGATGGTGAGGTTGCCCAGGTTGGTCTCTATCCTGGCGTAGCCCTTTGCCTTGACGCGCTTGGGCTTGAGCATGAATTCCTCGTCGGTGAGGAGCGCCCTCTCGCCGCTTGTTTCGGGAGTGAGGCCGGTGCTGGTGAAGCTGGCGGCGGCTTTGCCGGTGGTGTATGCCGCGGCGTTGGCTACAATCTTCCTGTCTTGTATGGCGGGCTGTCGTGAGATGGCGGAGGAAGCGCCGTTTTTCGCCTTTTCTAGCGCTCCGGAGCTCTTGTTGACGTCGCCGCCTGCGTCTCTCGCCTTGCGCGCCTTTTCGACGGCGGCTTTTGCCTTGAGCACCTTGTCGCCCATGCTGCCCAGCGCGCCGGCGTTGATGTTTCCGGCCTGGCGCTCTTCTTGTTGCTCCCTTGTCAATTGCGCCTGCTCGCCGTCTTGCAGGTACTTGAACTGGTCGAGATTGCGGCTCGCCATGTTCTGCGGGTCTTGGAGGGTGATGATGTCGGCGCGCGTAAAGGGCTGGTCGTCGAGCAAGTCCTGCCACATCTTGGCCTTGATGTTCATGCGCTCGACCGTGTCCCACGCAAAGACGTTGGCGTAGCTGCCGTGGCGGATGGCGACGATGTGCGTGTTGTCGGTGAAGACCTTGTAGGTGACGGGGTCGACGAGGTCGCCCTTACCGTCGCTGAGGCCGGCGCCGAGCGAGTCGGATTCTGCATTGCGCGCGAAGACGAGGCGGATGAGATCCTTCTTTTGTAAGGGTTGGGACGTGACGGGGTTTTGGTTCGGATGCTTCTCGAGCCAGGCGGAGATGACTTCGACGTCGAAGATGTTGCCGTCGGGGTCGCAGACCGGGTTCTTGAAGGGCTGGAGGGAGGCGGCGCAGAAGTTGAAGGGGAGGCGGCGGAAGGGGATCTGGGTGGTTGAGCGGGCGTTGGCGCCGGAGGAGGCGGAGAAGGCGTCTGCGGAGGACCATTCGGAGTGGGTGATCTGGAGAGTCAGTGTCGTTGGACTGGAGGTATGGTGGTGAGATGAGAGAGAGCTTACATAGAGTTTATCGGTACCTTTACCCATGGTTGCCGATTGATATGATACAAATAGACTATGCACGCAAGATGAAACAAGGGAGTAAAAGACTATGCAGCGTGCATATATGCAATTGGTGGATTGGCGGATTCAATGCTGTTTGCTGTATGAAGTTGGGAGATGATTATAGCATGTGAATGACGATGCGCTCCAGGAAACAATTCGTTCCTTATCGTTATCAGTGACCACTAGGCCGTCTTCCAGGTACCACGCCTGCTGTGGAACGGTACTTTGGCGGTACCGCGCTCCCGAGCTACCCCGGCCGCAAACTGCGCTCCCGCCACCGCTGCGTAATTCCCTCTTACGTACCTCCCGGCAAGCTCGCATCTTGCAGGTACACCGTGCGCGCGCCAATCCCGAGAAGCTCAACCTGGCTTCCTGGACTCCGTTCGATTTGTGCCACCTTGTAATAACTTGGCAACGCTGTGGAGGAGCGCGTATCTTGGCTTTTTACAACACACAATTGTTCTCTAGTCCTTTGGCAACTCTGCAAACAGCCTCGGTAATATATACGGCAGAATTAATTCTTTGTACTGTGGCCGTGCGGGAAACGGTCGCCTACGAACTGCTGCACCTTTTATCTTGGCTGCCGCGCAATTCGAATCGCTGATAAACCATAACCGCCAAGGCCTTCCACGATCCCCTTCCAAACCCCGACGAGCCGCTTTGCTTCCTCTATAGCAGCTCCCAGCCTCTGCCAGCGCTCAATTGCCGCATCGCCTGCGCTGCTGCCATCATGAGGCCTCTTCTCGGGCTTCTCGCCCTGGGCATGTCCCTTTGGACCGCCCAGGCGCTGGAGGTTCCAATGGTAATGACAGAATGCGCCAAGCCTTGGGCACTGCATTGGCTAACGGTGTCTCTTCTCTGCAGAACGAAAAAGAAGGCTCTCGCCAGTACTGCACCGGTATGTCTTCATAAAGCAAGATGACTGTCCTCGCGCTGCAAGCAGAGGTACTGACGGGTTCGCATAGGAATGTATAGTCGCAAGTCTTGGGGCGGTCCGGTCGATCCTTTTATCCTCGTCAAGTTCCTTAACGATACTGCGCCTGAAGGAGACGACCCCATCGCCAGTCTGGTCATATTCGAGTGGAGAGATGGCAATCTGGTAGGAATCCCGGATCCAGATCTTCAAGCCCAGGTAAGGCGGCCCATGGCAATATACACACGGCCTTGTCATTTACTGACGGCGCTTTCAGCGACTTGCGCTCTGCGACGAAGGTGCTATTAAGAACGGATACTGCAACTCAACCAACAAGGGGCAATTTGTCCTGGCCAAGAACGCTACCGACTTATCCAACCAGGTCATCTTGACCAAGGCCGTCCACCTGAACAACCCGGCGCCCATCAACTACCCGATTAAGAAGACCGGATACTACTGTGTCCTCACCGAAGGATTCAACATTCAGAAATACAGCGCCGTGGTTGAGTTCAGGAACGCCTACGGAGAGCTGCCGGCAACCCAGATCCCGAAACTCCCCTTTTACGGCGGAATGTCCATTTTGTATGCCTTGGTAGCTGTCTTTTGGGGCTTTCTTTACTTTCAGCACCGGCATGATATCCGTGGGTGTCAATCAACCGTCTTGAGCCTTTCTTTTACTGACGACGTCTTATGCAGTTGCTGTGCAAAACTACATCACGGCCATTCTCATCTTTTTGACAGTTGAAATGATTCTGACATGGGGATTCTATGGTAAGGAGCCGTATCAGAGTCCCTAAAATACGCAATGACTAACTGTTGTATCTAGATTTCCAAAATCATAATGGAACTGCTGGTGTGGGAAGCAAAGTCTATCTCATTGTGATTGCAGTCTTGAATGCCGCTCGAAACTCTTTCTCATTCTTCCTGCTTCTCATCGTCTGCATGGGCTATGGTGTTGTCAAGCCTACTCTCGGGCGCACAATGATTTACATCAGATGGCTTGCTGCTGCGCATTTCATTTTCGGTATTGTCTACGCAGTCACAAGTTTACTTGTGTCACCCGAAAGTGCTGGTATGTTGGATCTCTGCATCGCTCATGTCTTGTAGTACTAATCTTTTCCCCCTAGGCCCCTTTGTCCTTCTTATTGTCCTCCCATTGGCTGGAACTTTGACGGCTTTCTACGTTTGGACGCTTAACGCTCTCAACTATACTCTCAAAGACCTGCGGGAGAGAAAGCAGCATGTCAAAGAAACCATGTACAAGAAGCTGTGGTGGGCCATTCTCATCAGCGTCTTGGTCATTTTTGGCTTCTTCTTCTTTAACAGCTTTACCTTTGCGTCGGCTAGCGACCCCGATTTCGTCCCTTTTCACTGGAAGACTAGATGGTTCATCTTGGATGGCTGGCTCAACATTGTGTATTTTGCCGATGTTGCCTGGGTAGCATACGTCTGGCGACCTACAGTCAACAATCGTCGCTTCGCTATGAGTGACGAGATTGCTCAAGACGACGATGGAAACTTTGAGATTGGAGATATTGGCATGCCTGACGACTCCGACGACGACGAAGAGGCGCAAATCGGCAAGCCCACTTACCCCGGACAAGACAGCGGCGTGACAGGTGCTGGACCAGCACAAGCTAGCAGCAGCCGAGCTGTACCAGGCGCGCAGTCACAATCAACAGCCCGTACTATCCCACGAGAGTCCATTGACGGAGAGACAATATTTGCAGTCGGCGATGAAGACGGTGACAAGGCATCGGACAGCGAGGGCGACAGCGATGATGATGAGGATGCCAAGCTTGTACACAAGAAAATGTAAAGCCGGAGACAAGGCATCATACAGCGAGGTGACAGCGACGATGAGGATGCTAAGCGTGTATACAAGAAATTATGGTGAGGAGACTGTTGAATTATTTTCTGGAAACGCGCTGGATTGTAGAATGGAACAGGAACGGAACTGGCTTCTCAGGAGTTATAATAGGGGTTTTTCGTACCAACATTGCTTTGTTGTTTTACGGTGTAGAATAGAAAATTGATCCAATAAGACTTGATAGGGGATGGATCTTGAGTGAGCTGGGCCGATATTTGCAGAGGTTGATAATGGGCCTACAAGAAGAGTGACTGGTTTTTGAACGGAATCCTTTCTTACATGCCGTTTTGTATGGGGCACAGCAGATATATATTCACGCCTCCACATAATATATAGGTACATTAATATGGCACTGATGAGTACATGCTCGGCTTATGCCGGTGATGCCTTTACTAGGGAGTCCTAAGCTGTTACATCGCCTCCAAAACCGACTGGCCGACGACGTCCATCATTCTCAGGCAAGATAGCCAGCGCCTTGTACACTTTGCCCATCCCACTCGGTCCTCGATCAACCAGTCGCTTCCACGCCTTTTCAATATCACTAGCCGCAGACGGAGTAATGCCGGGTATTTTGCTCAAAGCCTCTGCGCGCTCCCGAATTCCCATGAGCTCCAGGAAATCAGCCTGAGAAATGGGGCCGTGGACTTCGATCCCGGCGCTGGCCATGGTGGCCGCCTCGGCAATGGCGTGGAAGTCGACGTCGGCGCTGAGGTCGACGAGGCCCGGCGCGGCAAAGGGGCTGACGAGGCGGTGCTGGCGGATGCCGCGCAGGGAGTTTACGGGGACGGTATCGGCAGTGCCGTAGTCGAGGATGAGGGCGGCGCCGGAGGGGGACGGTTTCGGGTGTTTCGGGGAGCCGCCGATGCGGGAGGCGAAGTCGGAGGCGTAGAGGGATGCGTCGGGGCAGATTTCGATGAGGGCGCCGGGGGTGGATTTGAGGGCGCGGTAGCGGGGGGAGGATTCGGGGAGGAGGCGGGAGTGGCGGGTTGTGGAGGAGGAGAGGACGAGTTGGAACTCGGGAGGGGGTTCGACGTTTGTTGAAGCTGAGGATGGGGTTGAGGATGAGATGGGGGGAGTGATGGAGACCATCATTTCGCGCCATTCCATGGTTGGCGTTAGTGTTGATGCGGTGGTGTCTGGCTGAGAGGATGGCGATGATGATGGCGGTGATGGAGATGATTTTGAAGATTTTGAAGCTGCTGGTGCTGGAGCTGGGGCTGATTGGAAGGTGTGGATGGGGAGAGCGTCGAAGAATTCGTGGGCTACAATGAATGGCGTCTTGTCTGATTCTGTTGAAGGTTGAGCGTTAGTTTACCTGATTTTGTTGATAGAATGACAACAGCGGGTGGTTACAAACCTATGGGGATGGATTTTATCGTCTCGGTCCAGACAATGGGCGTTGCGCCATACTTGCTAGGACTATGGCAGCCCGCGTTGGACTCGGTGGTGGGAGCGTCGGGGCCGCAGAGGCGCTTCTTTTGGGTCTCGCGGAGCTCGCGGCTGGCTTCGACCATGAAGACGCTCTCGATGCTAGAAGCCATGGCTGGAAAGCGCTGGATAGTCTGAGACGAATGTGTTAGATACAAACACATGATGGATTCAGGGGGGCACTTACACGAAGCATGTCGTCCATGAGGGTGCCCCGGCCGGGCCCAACCTCAATCAGCTGGACGCCCTTGCTGGGCCGGCCCTGGCTGATCCACTCGGCGATGAACCAGATGCCGAGGAGCTCGCCGAAGATTTGGGAGATTTCGGGGGAGGTGACGAAGTCGCCCTTTGCGCCGAATTGGTCGCGGTCTTGGCCGACGGCGCCGGTGTAGTAGCCGCCGAGGTCGCCGGTGAGGCACATGCGCATGTAGCTGGCGAGGGGGACGGAGCCGGTGGTCTGCGGATAGTTAGAAGTGTGCTTTTATGATTTGAAATGAAAATGAATTGGGGTTGAGAAGCATGGAGGAATGTGTTGTTGGAATTCCATACGGATATAGCTTCATAGAGCTGCTTGGCCAGCGGGGTGGACCATTTTCTCTCTTCTGAGAGGCGGGCGCTGGTTAATGAGAAACAGCGAGATGTCGATGTTGGTGTTGATGAGATGGCAGCTGATTTTCTGGAGAAACGGAGTGGTGTTTGGAGGAGAGAGCTTGCCAGCCGTTGTCTCTCGAGGGAGATGGCCCTGGGGAAAGAAGCTGTGGCGGCGATGAGGGGCCTCATTGCGGCGAGTGCTTGTGTGAGATGTCTTTTTTGCAAACTATTAATTACTCATAAGACTATGAATGAATCAAATGAATGGCTGTTGAATTGAGTTTTGAGTGGTGAATGAGAGTGTATGGCTTATGGCTGGCAGCTCTGAGAAGCTTGAAGCTTGGTTGGATGTCGTCGGCTTGACCAAATTAAACCGGAGACTTTTTTTTTCTGCCGAGTGCGCCGTGGGTACTTGTGGATGGCGGGCGTTGAGCGCTTTGTGCGAGGTACCTCGATTTAGCTGGCTTTTTGCCGCTATCTACCTTATGTTGGAGCTCTGAAAGCCATCGCTGGAGCTGCTACAGCAGCTTCAACTCCAGCTACGCCTGAGCTGGCTAGATTTGGCAGTGATTAGATAACATGAAAGCTTTTAGCTGTGATGGTGCTAATACAAGTTAAAAGCCATATCCATCTAGTTGACAACTAAAGCTTGTCCAGGTGATGTCTAACACGTTGCTGTCTTTCTCTTTGACTTATAGGCATTTTATTTCACTTCTTGCGGTGGCTGTACAAAGTCTTCTTTTGCTAATAGAGAATACAGCTACTGCGGTGTAAGCCTGCTGCTGGGGGCTGTGAAGAGACACTAGACGATCCGAATGACTTGAATCTTTTATCGTAGACATGAACTGTTGTCTGGCCTGCTGCATCTACAAATACATCTTAGATAAGCCTGCTTACTGCATGCACTCTCTCTTATACCTGGTCTAAGCCAGCGTAAAAAGGGAGCGGCTTGGGCGCATCAGCAGATGCACGATGCAAGGGATGCAGTCAATTCCAGCACCGGCAGACACCTAAAAACGATAGAGTCAATGGGTTGATCTGACGCGGTGGGGCTGAGACGCGCCACCATTGTTGATGCTTCTGCTTGTACTGTAACAGGTAGGTATGGATGTAAATTAGAGTGAGAGATGAATGACTTGCAGGTTCTGTGTCTCTCTGACTGTCCTCGTTCTCAAATCTGGCTGTCCAGTAGCAGCATGTCAGCTGAATGGCAATAGGGGACCTCGAGCACCAAATACGAACTTTTACCTGCTGAATGCGCAGCGATCCACCGCATCGCCACCAAGATGGATTTTTCTCGTAATGGGGGGCGGATGCACGATGCGCGCAGGTCTCCTCTGTTAATGGCACCATAGAGTTGCCTACTCAGGCCCTAACGCGGATACCTGGGCGGAGACCACAGCATATAAAGAGGGGGGCACGGTTTTGGCATGCACGCCATCATAGCGGAGGGAATACGAAGCGTCGATGGATTTGATGGGAAAAACACGAGCTCGGCTCACATGGTAAAAATAGGAACAGCCATGGGTCAACAGTGCAACCACGGTTGATTGCCATTGTAGATGGGCCGATGCACGTATAGATTTTCTTTTACTCTATATTTTATTATATTTTCTTCTACTCTATTTTCATCTTCAACTCTTCTCGACTCGCGTATGTTTGCTTTTGTTTCTTCTTTGTCTTGTGTGCTGCAAAAACCTAGTGCCTGTCCTGGCTTACTCCTAAAGTAAGCTTCCATTGTGCATTAGCTGTGTATCCCACCCCAAGCGCCGCTCCAAATGCGCGTAGTCTACATGAATGTGCTGTAAAACAAGTTGCTTCATCATGGATAATCAAGCCCTCATTAGTATGAGTCTATTCGTCTTCCTATGAGTTCTTCTACAAAATCTCAATGTGCATTGTATCGTACGCCTTCGGCCAGACCCTGTTGTTTTTATTTATTTTTACCAACAGAGCCCGCGCCAGCCCCGATCCCGCCTAGCCTCACGTCCGGCCCCTGTCCTAATCATCGCCGCTACGCCGCACTGGGCAATAGCGCGGCACACTGGCTTCTGGCCGCAGCCCGCATCGGCAGCTACGAGGTACCTGCTGCTTGTACCTCCACGATTGCAGACCTGTCGAGAAATCTCGGGCCTCTCGCCTCTCCTCCCCTTTTCTTGCCCTTCTCGCAGCTCGTCACCACCAGAGCCTCCGTCGCCTCTTCATCGTCCCTCGCTTTTTTATCTGGCCTTTCTGGTCGCCGTGCCCGCGACTGCCTGACACTCGCTTGTCTGCCTTCAGCCTTTGATTTAATTTGATTTTCCCGTCCACCGGCCACCGATCCGACCCGCTTGTTGTACAGCCCGTCAAGACTCACTTCCAGCCGCGACGAGGCGCTTAGCAATTGTCTTGTCTAACCACTGCGTTATCGAGTTTTTTTTTTCCTCCTTGTGGCGAGCAAACGGCATATTCTTCACGCTTAAATCATCTGTTACTGCATCATTCACGTCGGAGAAGGCTTCCTGTCATTGGCTCTGTTTTTCTTGAATATACCTTATACGCCAGCGTTGTCGCTGCATTCACCTGTAGCCTTGATCCTGTTTCCATTGTTGGAGTAGACAGCCATTTTCGACAGAATGCGTCCCACCGCTACGTTGCTGCAGGTGGCCCTGTGCCTTTCCTCTGCTGCGCCCTTGGTGTCGGCGTGGCCAGGCTGGCTCCCAAATATCGACGCCTTGGTTGTTCGTGCTGATGCCGATAACAAAGGTAAGCACACGCCTTGATGCATGTATTTTCAACAAGTATCGTCTAACCAAGTCAACAGAGGGCAGCAATACTGCGCAGCCCACCGGCGGCGCTGGCAGCGGACAAAACACAGCCCAGCCCACCCAGCCACCTGACAAAAACTCAAAGACCGCCGATGGCAGCAAGGACTCCAAGACTGGCGACAGCAAGGACTCGAAAACGAACACCAAAAACGACCACAAGACTACCACTTCTAAGAAGAAGGGGCCTACACACACCACATTCGATCCCGAATCCCCCCCGGGAAGCGTTGTGATGCAGACGCCTGGTGTCTTTGCTGCTGGTGCTGCCCTCTACAGAATCGGCGACTATGTCACCTGGGGCTGGAACTACACAAACCTCCTCGGCACCCCAACTGCCATTGATGTTCTCATTGGCTGCTCGGCTGTCTCTGAGACGTGGACTCTTACGGCCAACATGACGTTTAAGACCTCTGCGGCATACACGTGGAACAGCTCAGTCCAAGCAACCGATGTCAAACAGCCCCTCTCCAACAACATGTACACTCTCATCATCAAGGATTCGGATGCCGCAAACACTCAAATCCCCGATCCTGGTTATCTCGGCACCTTTTCGCAATACACTTTTGGCCTGTATACTTCCCAGCCATACGTTGATTTTGACCAGTGGAGCTGTGACGCTTGCAACGCAGCCTTGGCCAAGTTTGATCACCATGTTCTTGGATTTGCCGTCACCATGGGCTTGGTGACTGTGCTGAGCTTTACTTGGTTCGTGTCCGGGGTTGACCTCGCCTGATTTATGAGCATTGTTTCCAACGACGCATACGTCGAACCGTTGCGGCGCGTTTTGCATCGGCTGCTTGATGAGTTGCACCTGCCATGGTCGTTTTGGTTGGATATTTGCATACAGCCAAGCGTCATACAGCGAAGTTTTGGTTTCCCGGTTTTGTTTACAGCTTTGGAGATGGGCATTAAAGGCGATATTTGCGGGTCATTTCAAAGGCGTTTTGAATCTTTTTGAGCTGGTGTTTGTTTTGCGTGACACTTTTGCACTGCTTGGAATAAAGAAAGGAGGTGGAGCATTCACTGTTTTGGACGACTCTCTTATGATGGGGCCTCTGAAGAAAAAAATAATTAGCTACAAGTTTCTAATGAGATATACATTTAATGGGCCGCGAGCCTTTTATGCTCAAAATAATTTATCGTTTGACCTGCTCTAGTAAAAGAGTTGATTGAGTATGGCGTGCTTGTGGCGAGTCTATGTTCTATGTATGGCTGATCGCTTTTTCATCCAAATTGCAAGAGTATGAACATTATAAACAAGAAATGGCCGCTGTCTTCAAATAAAAAAAAAATGCAGCACCTGCCATCATACCATCCGTAAGCTGAATCCGGCACCCTTCTCCTCCTTGTTCCTCCCCTGAAAGATGCCGCTAAAGTCGACATCACCAAGGGCCACAGCCTGTCCACGCACCGGGGCATCGGGCTCGTGACGCCGCCTCCTCTCCTGGCCGGCCTTGCTAGGGAACGTGGGGAACAGGCTCTCGGGCTTCGGCTTGGGGTCCTGACGGAAATACTCATGCTCGAGCATCTCCTTTGCCGACGGCCGCTTGTCCGGATCGAGAGCGAGTAATGAGTTGAGTAGCGAGGCGCCGGCGGTGGTGAGGCTGGGGAACTTGGCGCGGATGACGGAGCCCGTGGCGGCCTGCTGCTGCTGCTTGGGGGGTAGACGGAGGGAGCGGGCGTTGGGCAGGCGGCGAAAGGAGGGCCAGGACTCGTCGGTGGGGAAGCCGCACAGCTGGAAGATTTTGGATATCTGGTCGACCTCGTTGGAGCCCTGGAGGAGGGGCTCTCGGGCAATGAGTTCGCCAAAGATGCAGCCGACGGACCACATGTCGACGGGGCTGGCGTAGGAGCGGGTGCCGAGGAGGAGCTCCGGGCTGCGGTACCATAAGGTGACGACGAGCTGGGTGAGTTTCGGGGTCGGGGACTCGCCAACGTAGCGGGCCATGCCAAAGTCTGCGATTTTGAGGAGGCCGCGGTTGCTGAGGAGGAGGTTGGAGGTTTTGAGGTCGCGGTGGAGGATGTAGTTTTCGTGCAGGTAGGAGACGCCGGAGGCGAGTTGGAGGAGGAGGCGCTTTACTTCGGAGGAGAGGAAGGGCTCGGGCATGTCGTCGAGGATGGATTTGAGGTCGTGTTCGACGAATTCGAGGACGAGGAAGATGGAGCTGGTGCTGAATTAGCTTTCTTTTCTTGTATGTATTGGTGATATGTTGTTCTTACTTGTCTGGCCTGCCTATGTCATTGCCGACGACAACTTCCTCCAGCTTGACGACGTTGCGGTGCCGGCAGCGCTTGAGGATCTGGATCTCGCGCAGGCCCGTGACGGGAAGGCCGTTTGGGTCGGCGGCCTCGAGCTTGAGGCGCTTGATGGCGACGACGCGGCCCGTGGAGAGCTCGGTCGCGCGGGCGACGAAGCCGTAGGTGCCTTCTTCGATGTCGTTGAGCTTGTCGTAGTGGTCGACGCTGCGGCTGGGGGCGAGGGAGCTGCTGGAGGGAGGTTCGAAGCGGAGGAGCTTGGGGGGAGCTGAAGAGGAGGAGGAGGAAGGCGGTTCGGGGGTGAGTTTTCGTCGTTTGGAGGGTCGAGAGGGATCGTTGAGGTTGGTGTTGTCGGTTTGTTGTGCTGCGGCGGCTTTTCTTCGAGCTGCTTCTTCTTCTTCTGCGAGTTTTTGCGCCTTTTCGGCTTTCTTGCGGCGCTTTTCTTCTTTTTCGCGCTTGAGCTTTGCGTCTAGCTCAGCGTCTTCTTCGGTGTTTGCCCATCTTGATTTGGGCTTGGTGGACATGACGTTTTTTTTTTCTTTGTGCTTGGGCTTGCGCGTCGCGGTCTGGTGATTTCTGCTGTGTTGATGGGGTGATTTCTTTCAATTGGCGCTTTTTCAGGGATGAGTGAGATGCTTTTACTGGGTGATTGATTGAGTAGCTGTGGTGGTTGGGTTGAATTGGTGGATTTTGAAGTTGAAGCAGTGAAGTTCAAGGTGGTAATACGGAGATGGATGGAGCTGAGGTTGTATAAAATACAGTGGGTCGAGCTGCTGCTGTCTGGGGTTGCAGTGCATGGGCCGTGGCGTGGGGCAGCCACATGCTGGGGAGGATGCAGCTGTAATCTTGGATTATATCAGAAGATGCCCAGCCTCTTGATGTTTTATATACAGGTATATCTCTATATCTATACGTCTATGAGCAAAGTCTTGTGCAGTATCTTCAACATCATCATCGTCATCATCATCCCCATCACTCGCTCTGCTTGCTCGCCTTTTGCTGCCTTTTTATCTCCCTCCGCTCCTCGACAATGCCCGCAATCTTGGTCCCAACCTCGCTCCCCAAGTCTTGGAACCCCTTGATCACGCCGTCGGAGTCGCCATCGCCCATCTCCTGGCTCATCTTGAACTTGCCGCCCATCTGCTCAATCTTAATCTCCAGCCCGATGATGTTCTTCTTCATGATGTTGATGTACGGCTCCGGCGCATCGGCCACCTTCCACGCCGACGGCCTGCCGCCCTCTCCGGTGTAGCCCATGGTGACCTCTTCGTTGAAGCTGGACAGCGCGTCAATCTGCTGGTCGAGGAACGCCGACGTCTCCTCGGCGCTGGAGTCGATGTAGAAGGTGGCCTTGCCGTAGACCTGCACGGCGGCGTAGTTCCACGTGGGCACGACTTTGGCCGTCGCGGGCTTTGTGGTGGTGTAGAACTTGGGCGTGACGTAGTGGTGCACGGGCGAGGTGAACATGACGAGCACGTCCTGCTGCAGCGTTCGAGAGGCATCGCCGGCGGCCTGGCGGTTCTTGATGTCCTCGATGATGGCCTTGGCCTGCGGGTTTGCGCGGGCCATATGTGCCCTCAGCACGCCGAGCTCGGTCTCGCTGGACTCATCGTCGACGTCGAGGATGAAGGGGATGTGGCTGCTCTGGATGAGGGGGAAGTTTGGCGACGCGATGACGGTGGTGAACTGGCCGAGCGGGTTCTCGCGGACGAGCTTCCGCAGCACCGGGAGGCTCTTTTCGGCGTGGTCGTTGCGGAGATACATGTTGGGGATGAGACTGGGATGAACTGAGATGAGTGGTGTCTCTCTTCCTTTGCTTCTTGTGTCTATTTATTTTCTGGTCGGCTAAAAGCAGTGCCGCTGACTCAAACACAGGTCAATCTATCATCAAGCATCTATACCGTGTGACTACATGTAGGTGCTAGTATCCAGAAGATCGTTCCAATCTCATTACTTGATCTACTGCTAGCACCAACACGTCACATCCGGTCCCGAACCGGAGGGCGCAAGGCCGGGCCGTTCACATGGAGTCAATTGCCCAATTTAGCTGGGAGTTGTTAAAGTGTGGCTGTGGAGCTCGCTCGTCCATACTCGACTCAGTTAGCCGCCGTTTGTGCATCTCCGACGGATACCATAAGAGGAATTGCTGTCCATCTGATTGGGCAGTTGTTTGGGAGTCCATATAGCGTATGAGGCGCTGTCTAACCTATATGGTATATAATATCCTTGATTGCTGGCAAAAGTTCATTCGTAGAGGGATCCGAGGCTCTGATTGTCGCACAATTGCTTCTTTTTTTTGAACCAGTTGTATGACGCCGATACTTGTGGTCAAATTCATACTGATCAAGGTAAAAACATTCACAACTCTGAAATCACGTCTCCCCAGCAGAGTAGACTCTATCGATGTTAAACGCAGCATTCATGCTTTGTGTAAGATGATAATATGAGCTTCAGGGCTGGAAACTTTGTCAATTGTTCTCTTCGTTGATCATCCGAGTTGTTACCAACCAGTAGAGCAAATACGGCAATCCTCATTGTAAGGCTATTTCAATTCAATGTACCGCATCAAGCAGCCGCAATGTTTATATAAGCATGTACATATGGGAATGTAGCCTGTGAATATACATGTACGATTTGCCAGCCTTATCAATTCATCATCCTTCTTTCGACAGCCTTGGCCACCCAGTTTCCCAACTCATGAGCCGCTACCGAATGTTCGACACCCAAAAACAGTACAACTACAACGCCTCCATCATATCCAAGACGCATAGTTTTGTCTCTTGTAGTACTAGTCACTCGGAGCCAAAGTCATATGCCCTCCTGTGCCATTGTAGTCCTCTCTCTGTGATTGTGCAACTCTGAGCTGCGAAGCTTCGGCCACTCTCTTCTCCCATATCGGGTCACACCGGCAGATATACCATCTCAGCAGGCCAGGGAGGAGATATACATCCTGCGCACAATAAGCCTGGATGTCTTTGCAAAGAGGACGTTCGTTGAACACCTCGTAACTTCCTCCATGTTCGGGGCTGAAGAGCATTTTGCCCTTTTCCTTGGTCTGCATGACCTCGGCTTTCTCATCATCCGAAAGGGAAGAGTCGATCTCGATGCACTTTGCCAGCCCCTTGACATACTTTCCGGCAAACGGTCGAGCGGCAAGCTCCCACAGCTGGAGGTCGACGACACCAGCCAGTTTGATTTGGAAGTGGCTGTATAGAGCATCTGAATCGTTGCGGACATCGAAGAACACCTTGGGAGTGGATTTGGACTCTAGGATATCTTTCAACGTGAGGGGGCCCCCTGTTGCTGGTGTCGAAAAGCATTTCTCTTTGAGCACGAGAACGTCTATGAGGTAAACTTTGTTGGTGGGGTGGATGTAGAGCTGCAATAGGGAGATGGTGCCGTGTCTGGAGAGATTGACTCCTTCAAGGTCGATGTATATTGATGGTGGTTCTCTTGGCAGGCCTTTGAGGGAGTCTATAAGCGCTGACAATACAGGGAGAGTGTCAACCAGAACACAGGCTGATGGTTTCTCCATTTTGACTTCTCTCCTTCTGCGGTAATTGTTGAATCGAGAACAATAGCGGCCGGTATACTGAAAGTATCTTGGCTTCGAGATATGTTTTGGGAAAAATTGTCTCGTGCTGTCTTGGAACTCCGAGGCACTCAAAAGTAATGGCCAAGAATGTTGAATGAGCGTTTGTAAAATAGGACTCGAGACAGTAGATCAGAGGTGCAAAGAGAAAGTTGGATTCTTCTGCTTCTTGGCTCTAGGGGAACAGCTACCTACTACTATATATATATTGGCATTTGCAATCTGAGTTTGCAATGAGTGATTAAAAACTCTTGTGTAAAGCTACTACTAGTATAAACCGCAGCAGTACTTATACTTTTGCTAGTAAGCTTTTACTATTTGAATCTTCGGTGTATTTCGGTATATCTACGATACCTTTTGCTCCAAAAAGCCACTGAACGCCTATCTAGGCATTTATATGCTTTGGGCGGTACTATGTGTGGAGCGCCTACGCGTCTCGATAGGTCTATTTTGTTATTCGGTCCAGTTTGAGCACAAAACCTTTCTTTGCCAAGAATGAAAATACTATCTATGTTGTAAATAAAGGGACCATCTTACGATCTTGCTCGCAAACTGAGGAATCACAGAGATACCTGGTAGTATGATGCTGTAGCATCAATTAGGACAAAGAATCAATTTTGAGGCTCTATTATCAGTGGGAACTATGGTGCATGATACAGATAAAAGGTTCTTTGATCACAAATTTAGTTTTATACCTTAGTTTTTTCTCATATACATACAGGCATGTACCCCAACCTATGCCCGCGTGGTGGTAGGGGCAACCTTCCCACAGTAAAAGCATACATGACGAGAGACATGAGGATTGGGGAATCTTGCTTGGCCGCACATGGCTGCGGAGAATGAGGACCAAGAGGACTATACCCATGAGAGAATGTCGATAGACAGATCCAAAGGTGCTTCGAGAAATTCCAATCTTTCTAAGCCCATACTTGTTCGAGCCAAACCAGAAACGACCCCCGGTAATAGAACCGATAATCAGGCCCATGCCTCGCGTCCCGAGGACGACAATGATATAATCGTTGTGGAGGACAGGAGGGTCAGCATCGCTAATGCAGCGCTGAAGGGTGTGCTTCTTGCCCAGTACTCGGAAGACGAGTCTGTGATTAAAACAATGCCCTTTCTGAAGTGTATCCGCTACCTCGTTTGGGTAGATTCGCAGGTCGGAAGTGACCAATGCCCAGAAGAAAGTCGTGAACCGCGGGACGTTGGAAATCATACCGAGTTCGGTTTTCTGCCTTACGCGTCTGTCTACTGGCCGGATCATTTTCAAAGAGCTGCGCCTGTCTCCTTGGAATGCTTGGACGTTTTGAAACAAGTATTGTTGCTCTTGGAGAATAATTCGCTTTTTTGGTCTTCCCTAGCACGCAAATACCAACCGAATCTCTTCGGTTTGGATACTGCGGAGTCGCCTCTAGAGATAGCGGCAAGCTTGGGGGTGACACAAGTCGTTGAGGAAATGCTGTCTCATATAGAGAAGCCTATATCCGAGGAAAAAGAAGGACTCATTCGAAAATCCATGATGCTAGCAATCGAGCATGGGCACTCGAATATCGCATTGAGGCTTTACGAGATGGAGCCATCCTGCAAAGCCTCCCAGCTATATAAAGCAGCATCCGGAGGGTTCAACGAGCTACTCTGTAGCTTTCCCGTATTTAATTCGGTGAAAGAGTCTATAAACAGTTACGACACAGTTGGCTATACCCCCCTACATTACGCTGCCCAGCATGGGCACGCAGAAACGTTGAATCTGCTGCTCGCGAATGTAGCAAGTGCCAAACTCCTATCTGACGATGGGGCCAAGAGAGCAGCATTACATCTGGCCGTGCGGATCGCAAACCTGGATATTATCATGTCGCTCATCGAAGGCGGCGCCGATGTAACAGCACGAGACTCTGCTGAATATAATGTACTGGCACTTTCTGCTGAAGGAGGATTTGACGAGCTCATACAGTTCTTTTATGACTGACTATATTAACGTTGTGATGGTTCAAGACTATGTTCATAATGCAGACACGCCGCTTCATCTTGCCGCAATGCATGGACAGACGTCGATGTGCGAGTTTCTTGTCCAACAGCAGGCGGACGTCAAAGCCGTCAACGGCAACCATAAGACGCCGCTTCTTCTGGCTACCGAAAGAGAATTCCGGGGCACTGTAGAACTCTTACTTAAAATTGACAAGATGAGTAAGGGGACCCCAAGAAGTCTCAGGAGACCAGCGGCAACGAAGAGGAAAGCGAAAGCGAAACCGAGGCCGAAATTGGAGCTTCAACGAGCGATGAGAGACCTTTGTGGAGGGCGCCATTGACAACATCCGGAGCAAGGATTTGACCGAGCTGGATGACGACAGCTAGACAGCACAGCATGCTACGATGAGGTACAAAATAGAGAACATGAAGGAGCTCAAGGACAAATCGGAAACCTTGTTCAGGACAATATCGTGGCCTCCGACGCTTAAAGAGCCCCGGAAATGGCATGAAGAGGATAAATCACCGTGCCTGAATATCTCAGAGGAGGGAAAACTTGTTACGGTTATGAGTGAGTTTCTCAAGCATATCCCATCAGAATTCTTTTTTGCTCTCATCTATCATGCATGTCCCACATGGGCTTTCATCAAACAAATCTCCGAAGGCCAATTCATGTTAGGCCAATCAAATAGCTAACGCCTATCAAATTATTTGAGCAGGCTGCGCCGTGAATCCAAGCTATCAGGCCCAGGCAAAGGCGATAATCCGTGCCGATTGTGCCATGACCGGTAATCAACTGCACTACTTCGAGATAGGGATTATGGAGGATGCTAAAGATAAATCTGTGGCCAGACCCATGTTCTCACTTCTATCATTGTTTTAATATCATATGAGGGGCTAACAAATTCATTATCGCGGCAGAGACACTGGGGTGGGATTCTGCGAGGAACATGTACCCTTGGATTCTCTGCTTGGTTTCGATAAAGGATCGTGGGGATACCACGGAGACGGGAACGCCTTTCCCTCGAATGACTGCGACAAGTATGGGCCGCAGTATGCTCAGGAAGATGTCGTCGGGTGCGGTGTCGACTTTGACAAGGAAGTCGCTTTCTTCACCTTGAATGGTAAATATCATGGTGAGTCGTTCCGAAGCAAGAGAATCTCTGACGAACATTTATAGAGGGATAGCTGAGTTGACTAATGAGTTGTTTTGTACTCTTAAAAGGCGTAGCGTTTCGAGGAATCAAGGGCAAGCAATACCCGGCAGTCAGCTTCGACTCTGTGTCCGAAGGGTGTCGTGTCCTGGCAAACTTTTGGACAGAAACCGTTCTTGTTTCATGCGTCTACGTGGAATGCCGAGGAAGAACGGAAGGCCCAGTACCGTCAGCTGAGGCGAATAGTTAGGGGTGACGAATGATGGAGTAGGGTCCGGTCACTTTAATATTATCAATTTCTTTTCATTGAGAGATTTTGCCAAGTGTCGCCTATATAGATCTACTTCTTCCATAGTAGCTAAATGGTGGAATATTACCTGTTCGTGCCCGACTTTAGTAAGGGCATCTTCCACAATAACCGCACTCCTTGTCGCAAGCTGTGAGATCCTTATCCTCGAAATCAGAAGAATAAGAGCCAACGTCATCGTCATAGTATTCTTCATAGCGATTCGTATCATCATCGTATTGAGAATCATCGTCACCGTTCTCATCGTCTACATTGAGCCTGAACTAGTCGACTGATTAGCTTGTAACTTCTAGCTCAAAAACACTTTGTACCGAAATACCTTGTCAGTCAGCGATGACATTTGCTCTTCTTCATCATTGTGTTGGAATAGCTTGAGAAGCTCTTCGTTTGGCCCGGTCGTGAACGTGCGCATCATAGCCTCTCGGCTTTTGAAAACCCAACTCGACGTCGCCCTAGCTTCCAGGACTTGGTCGACAATCTCTTGAAACTGCTTTCGACCTGACTGAAGTTGACAATTTTCGGATGAAGAGTTACGGTGCATCGCTAGGGCCACCAAATTCTCGATTTCTGCCAAGGTAACCGACCCTACGCTAGACAGACGGGAGTAGTCGAAGATGAATGTTGCAATGTTGCGTGAAGTTAGTTGAGTTTGCCAATCTTTCTCAAGGTTGAGACCAAGACCGAGTTGTTCATTGACCCAATCGAGACAAAGTAGAGACGCTAGAGGTTTGGGGCCAAGGTTTGTCTTGACCGTTGGAAGCAAGATACGGAGGGCTGACTTCACGGCTGTACTCTCAATTTTGTTGGTATTCTGCGAATCCGCATCAGAGACTGCTTAGTAGGATGGCTTGACCTTTCACGACTTACCTCCTCAGCCTGCAGTTCTGCTTTGGGAGAGGTTGAGCCCGACTCACCAGACGTTGGGCCGGGAGGGGATGTACTGGATTCGGCTCTAATATCTGAACTCTTCTCTTCTGCTTTTTGCTTCAATGATAGGTCAATATCTGTGGAAGGTCGTGCAAGATTCGCTCGCCAATGGTGTCTGTTGATGGGATTCTTCTGATACAAGTTGACTTCGAAGAACTTGTTGTGTGAGCCGCATTTGAAGTTTTTGAACCTGAGAGCAGAGAAAACTTTGTGATTAGCATAAAGAATATGAGCTGAAATGACTTGGTACGCACGAGTTTAGCTTTTCAAAGTTGGCTTCGAGAAGATTGTTCTCAGTGATTTCTATGAATCCAGAGTCGCTGTTTGCTGGAGCAAAGTATCTGATCGACTCTTGCGGCCCAAAATTGACTTGTTTCACGAGCTGTACGGCGTATTCCAAGTTGCTATTGATGTGAAAGCTGTCACTGGGGACGGAAGAAGCATGTTTGGCCCATTGCATGAAACGGTCAAATTTCGCTTCATGATCAAGTCGCTGGGGGCGATAGGGCTTTATTGCCAAGCAACAAAACAGTTCCGCCATGGCTTATGACGAAGGATCAGGATTATCATGAAAGACTCAACTGACTAGTTAGAAAAAAAAGGAAAGCCCGGGGGTTTTCACAGACGAAGAGAAGTATATGTTGGTATTGCAAACGGGTAGGCGCCTTGCATTTCCTCACGTGTGTATACACTAAGTGTAGCAGTGTAAAGACTCTGGGACAATAGATTACATGAAGATAGAAAAGGACCTTGTGAATTAAAGCACAAGAAGAGATACTAAATAGTTACTGGTAAGTGCCTTGAGAAACTCTGAGGTCCTGGTGGCTGGACCCTCAGTCGTCATGGCGACGTCAACACTGTGGAGAAGGCGTAATAAAACAATTCGGTATTCATAGATAGAGTATGGAATGTAAAACAGTTATTGTCTCATGCAGCTTGCCGCAACAACTCTGTTGCAATGTTGTCGAGAATTCCGATTCTTGATATAATTGATTTTCTTTCTCCTTTTTACATTATACGTTGTGGCAGTCACTTATTACGGCATGTTGACGTAGCAATTCACACAATTACAAGAATTACTTCGCTTTTATATGTTCTGATGGTTCATTGTTATAATGCTACAGTATTGCCTGAGTAATGAGACGGAACGTGGTCATTTCAAGCATGAACACGCAAGCCATCGAAGCGTTGCAGGTTAAGCGCATCATTACGTGTATAATCGGCAGCAGCCGGCGCAGAATAAAAACAAAGTTAGAGTTGGTTGAACTCCACTCACTTTAACTATAATCTTGTTTCATGAGAGCTTTTCCCTTCCTCTTATTTGCTTTTCTTTAGTCGTCGCCCAAAGATGAGTTGCCCATGAGCAATCTGGGCTACCGCTACTATCAGGAGTCACTGTGCATAGAGCTAGTAAGCGAGCCTGTCTGCTGTTGCATTAGTAAAGCTGGTTGATTGGTGGGTGGGAGTTGTATAGGCTGATTGACGAGTTCTCGTGATGCATCTCCAACCACGATTCATTGTCGCTCACGATAGCTGTGGTTCGTAGCACAGACCCAAGTACGAAAAATGAGAGTTGTTAGACGCGAAGAAGAAGGAGTGCTCTAAAGTCTTTTCTACTCTTGTGGTTTGGCACTATGTTTATGTGAAAGCAATGGGTTTTGGTTGCCTCGGCCTAGCTGCAGCTTTCAAGTCTCTACGATTCCTTCACTTATTCTCATTTTCCTTGCCTTTCAACAGTAGGTTCAACTCATGGTATGGCATGCGGGGTCAGCAATTTAATCTAGACGCCCTCTCATACACAATAGACAGCTGCCAAACAAAAAAGCAAACACGCCGTTTCAGCCTCGAATCCTCTTAAGCGCAGTCGAATTTGGGTTTAATCCAAAAACTGCCGTAGCGTCCAGACTTGGAGTTCAGCTGTCAAGGGTCCTCCTCCAAGCCGTCAAATCGCAGCGCGCCAACTTTTCAGCCCCAGCACCTTTATCGTCTTTGTGGTTGCGCTGCCAAGGCGCCAGCGGGTTGTTATCGTGGCGCCGAGCAGGGGCTCCCCGTGATGGGCTGAATAGACGATGCCCAGAAGACAGAGTTGTGAAGCAAAGAGCGGGAGTTGGAAAGGAGAAGGAGAACTATTTTGTTCTTCTGCGCTTGTTGTTGGGCATCTCCTCTTCACATCAACTATGCCGTGACATTTTGCTTGGCGACTTTCTTTGTCATTCGTTTTCTGCGCCTCTGCTGTAAGTTACGTGCCCGTCCATCTTCCTTGACGAATAGTTATATAACAACAAGTTGTTTAATAGGCCGCCACCGCCATGCGGCACTCATTTAGGCTGTCAATCGCGCCGGCGATTTGGTTGGCGGCGCTCGTCGAGGCTGATGTATCCTATGTGACGGATCTAGAGATCTTTTCTCTTCTGGTACGTTATTTATAAGTTGATCATATGCAACAGAGACTCTGTAATGATTGAAATGATACCTGCTAACTTAAGCTCTTTTACTTACACAGGCCCCCTGCGCCTCCGAAGCCATATCCTACAACATCGCGACATTAACTTTCGGAACGATTTGTGGCGACTCAGAAACCGCGCTGCAGTCATGTGTATGCTCAAATACAGAGAGATATACCAGCATAACATCGTCGATATCCCGAGATGTCAAATACAGCTGCGGCAGTACGGCTACCGAAGATCAACAGAGCGCATCGAGTGTTATGCAGAAATACTGCACACAGAGTCTACCGATTACATTTTCAACTCCGACGAAGAACGTTGTCGAGGCCTACATTACCGATTTGAGCCAGATGAATTATATGCCACAATGCGCACAGTCGGCCGTGTCGGCAGCTGTGATTGGAGATGTAAGCTGGCGGCGCTGCTATTCACCTATACCTTGATCACTCGGGCTACGCTTATATATGCATGTATAATTGATACAGAATTACTCCAAATGTCCTGAAGCCGCCAATCTCTATGCTCCCTGTGTTTGCAGCAAGGATGGAATACCTGCCGCAGTCACCGACAGCATTAGTAAATATGTTCGGTAAGCGCCTGAGATTCCCCTGAAATACGGGATATACTAACTGAGAGTTTCCAAGGTACTCCTGCTCTGGTGGAGGCGACATTAGCGATGCTGTGGGATTTTACAGCGAATACTGCGCCATGAACAATGGAACGACGACGTTTACCGAGCCTCCAGGCCCTCCGGGAGACAGTGAGACAAGATCATCTCAACCTCTTGTCATCAGTGTAGTGCTAATCAGTTGAGCAGTGACATATCATATCACCGCTTTGCCGCAATTCAAATCGCTGCGAACATGCGCTCAGAGTGGAGTTGCATCTGCCATCCTCGATGTAAATCCGTAAATGTTACAAACATCTGATCGAGACCATACTGACACTCGTTCATAGCAAACCGAAAATTACTGCGCAACTGGCCCCCAGGCCCTCGCCTCATGCGTGTGCCTCAAATCCGGCATGAGCGGCAGAGTTTTAAGTGAACTCACATCATCCGTCAAATGGAACTGCGACAACACCGCCACCGCAGACGTCACCTCGGCTCTCGATGTCTTTGCATACTACTGTAGTGCAGCTGCAAAAGAAGTTGTTGTATCAGTTACCGATACCGCGACGGAGACGTATCCCCATCCTACCAATCGTGATACTGCACTTCCTTCAAGCCCTACAGAGACAGGCAGCAGCGGTAGTGTTCGTGGTAGCAGTGGCGGAAGTAGTCCCAGCCAAAGTGGAAAAGATGGATCTTCTTCCGGTGGAGAAGGAAAAGACAATTCGAGCTCAATCAACAAGACGGCCGTGATTGCAGCGTGTGTGCTGGGAGGCGTTGTTCTCATTGCTGGCATCGGTCTCGTCGCATTCTTCGTACGTCGAAAACGCAACAGGCAGGCGAGAGGAGAGGCGTTGCCGCCGACATCAGAGGGCCCCAGCTATCAAGGACCTCCAGAGCTGGAAAACACTGCCAAGATGGGGCCCAACGTCGCGGTTGTTCCCGAGCTTCATAGCACCGAGAGGCAAGAGCTTCAAGGAAATGTTACACCTTATAGCCTGCCGCCTGGTTACAACACTCCACGACCAGAGCTTCAGGGCAATTCCGAATACAAGCCATCTATTTCTCCACAGCCTGGAATGGGATATCAGCCGCCCCATTCGCCTCACCCCACTGTTTCTCCTGCAACGCCAAATACGTATGGGGCAGGGTGGCAGTCTGGGCCAGTTGCAGAAACTTATGAGCTGGATTCGGCACCGTGGAAAGCTTCTTCATAATACAAGAATTTTCAAAAGGTTTGGTTGAAACTCATATCATTATAGTTTTATGACTTAGTTTCGACCACTTTAAAACATCAACTACCCAAGTGCTTTTCTTTCGCATTGCTGGAGTGTTGCCACCAATTACGATTGTGAGAATGTCTCAAAACTCGATATGCTGGAACAAGAGAGCAACATCTTCAAATATATTATCAAGCGTTTAGAGCGTGGCTACAGCGTCGTTGGACATGATAATTGTACATTGTATAGTGTGTAGTAATTCCTAATCAGATGTTTATGAACGCTTTTATTACCCAGATTTAAAATTACAAATAATCAGTACCTCTACGAGGATAAACACTAGCTATTAAACGAAAGATGTCACACCACGATATAGCTCAACTTCTGCGGCAAGTGACTCGTTATAGACTCTGAAATCGCTTATCCACGGAAGCTGCTGCATATATACCGTCACGTCTATCCAGGTCCATCTAGTTTCGTTCATTATACGAGCAACTAATTGTAAGGCAATTGCTTTATCGGTCGGGTCGAGCGTCATGGTCGCACAAATAAAGAGGAGCCAGAGCTGGTAGGGAATGAAATACGGCGAATGCTGAGTGAGATTCGCCATGCTCGGGTTCTGCAAGTGTAGTAGCAGTCTGGTAATGTATGAAGCTGGCGAACATGGGTAAGACTGAGCTTTCTGTTTGATTCCCAGGATCCAGAGAAGCATTCCCAGGCGAAGAGCTTCCAGCATGCAGAATGATGTATCTGTATGCGTTTGAGCATCAGAGTCGAGAATTCGGTATGCGATGGGGTTGAGTTGGGTGCCGATATAGACCTCTTCTCGCCATAGGTTGTCGCCCAACAACTCTAGTTTCGGTCGAATGATTTTGCACACACACCATATGTCCTGAAAGGCAGAAGCTATGGCTCTGTGATGGGTATCTGTGTCAGAGCACAACCTACCGAGATTCGGTTCCAGCGTTGTGAGAATTTGAGGCAATTCTTCGTTTGGTAGAGGAGGTATTAATAATGTTGGCATTGGAAATCGGGGCTTTTGGTCAAATATCAGAGAAGATAACGTGTCGACCCTATAAAAAGAGGAGAAGAGAAAGACTCAGTTAGCACTATGAAATTGCCCATGAAAACAGGTGTTACTAACCAAAAAAGCATCATAAGAACATGGCTGTTGTTTGCAAGGCTCTCAATCCCGCCTCTTGCAGAAATCATGACTTTCAGCCCACTTAGATGGACGCGAGCTTGTTCGAAATCCGAAACAATGAACTATTCATTTTCATCAACGTCAACGTTGGATGCTTTTCATCTCCAGTAATGGAAAAACTATCAAACCAGATGTGACAAAATCAGAGAAAAAAATGGTTGCTTACATTATAGCAGATGCAGCCCATGACTGCTTGGACCACATTGATCGCTGTGGCTGCGCTGACGTCTGGTAGCAGCAACCGCCTGTTTATGCAGGATGTCACCTCCATGAAGCGAGCCAATGCAAAAGCTTGACTCCTTTCTTTCGACTGAGAGTGGATTGCCGCGCGGACTTCAGGGCCAGTGAGGAAGTCCCGGCAGAAATCAGAAGCTTGGAAGGCAAAGGGGAACCAGAATCGCGAAATCGATGGATCTGAAAAGTCAAACCATGTTAGTTAGGCTCAAGTCAAGGAGTCTTTGAAAGTTTGATCAAGACAGATTTGACTGATGCTGAAGCTGCTGAAAATGCCTCTTGTCAAAGATTGATTGTTTTGGATTACTTACCGGTATAAGACTGCTCCCAGTTGACAGCCAATGCGAGGCCGTACGCTGCAAACGCATCCATCCCCCAGTTGTGTTCCATCATGGCCAGCGGATGCTGATCCCAGAAGGGACGAGAAAGGGGCGGCAAAATTGCCGCTCCTGCAGCCAGCTGAGTGCAACTATCACATAGTGCCTGGTTCAGCCCTACAGCCGTGCAAGTGCAGGATGCTGTAGACGGACCCGCAATCCTCTTTGGAGAATGAACTCCAAGGTCGACCTGGGGATTTCGACGCGGCTTCCGTCGAGCCTTGCCAATGTCTCGCATTACATGCTGCCGGATTTGGCGCGTAGTGGCTTGATCTCGGGGCCTGCCGCGTGCAGGTCCGGCAGAGTTGATGAAGAGAAGGTTGGAGCCAGAGCCAGAGCTGGGGCTGGCATTGCGGCTACCGGCCGCGGAGTTGGCATCTTTCAGGGGATCCATTGTCCTGAATAGTCATGGAATACTAAACAGTGGCAGATGAGGTGAGCTGGGACAGCGTTAGCAAGTAATGGCGATGCTTCGAGGGAGTATTCATACGCGCGAGACGAGGACCGTATTCCTAAACGGGACGTGGGCGAAGCATCCCAATCACAGCTCAGAAACCGGGGTGGCCGGGCCCGAATAGGCGCTGAGGCCAATGAGATGCCGCGACGCCACACTGGTTGCTTGACATAATCGATTATTCAGCCGAGCTGCCTTGAGTTTTGGCTTTGTCTCTCCTGGCTCCTCGGGATCGAACCCGACGACCGTTGAAGAACTGCCACTAGGCCCAGAATGCTCGCAACTATCCCGAAACCGGCAGCAGGTGTCCCTGTCCGTGCAGCTCTAGCGCCGATCCATTGATAGCTGCGGCTATACGTAATCGTGAGGATAGAAGGAGAGGCAATAGGATTCGAGGAGTTTCGTGACTCAGCGTCATGCTTTGCCCGGTGCATGTATCGCATTCTATGGGGAATTGGATGTTTGTCGAAATGTCATACGCGGACGAGCTCGCTCAGAGCTGGGCCTGGAGAGCGCAGCCCAGTGGAGTTACGGGAACTGGGCTATTGGAAATGACTTGGAGCCGGGGAGCCTAGTGTTTGAGCATCGTATGGATTTGTAAAGCTGTAGCGGGTTTGTCAGATTCACAACATCTTGCAGTTTCTAGGTATCTGTATTTTCATCCTTGTTTTCAGGAATCACAAATCATTGCGTCTGATGGCGAGTGTATGCCGTCGAAGGTATGTACTGAGCCTCATTTGTGGAAAATTATCGGATAGAGACACTTGCCATTTTGGGAATTGGGCTTGTTAAACGATAGTCTTACACAAAAACACATAGACTATTATCCTTAGGTACTCGATATAAGGTTGTCTGCACTAAACATGTACCAATTATGGGCTACCAATGTATTGTAAGCTGAATGACGTTATCCCCTGGCTTTGTAAGGTTAGATTGATAGGCTTAGAAATAGCCTAAAGCATAGCACAGTTTGGCGTGCGCCTGAGACAATATGGCGATGGAATCTACAACATGGATCCAACTAGGGCGCTACCTTGGATGATATTAGTAAACGACAAAAGAGAGGGGACTTTGACTTTGACAACTCCAGCTATAAAAGGCGTTGCAGACCTTCGACTTGAAATCTACTCTGCTCCTCCATTCTATTATACAATCTCTTTAAACAAACAACTCTCTCTTCAATCAAACAACTCTAACACTCCAAAACCACTTTGCAACAGAAACAAACCATCACAATGTCTGACTTCAAGGGAAAGCTTGCCATTGTTACCGGTGCCTCCAAGTTGAACGGCATTGGCTACGCCACCGCTGCTCTTCTTGCCAAGGGCGGCGCTGATGTATGAATACCCTCTCTCAACTTGAACCCTTTTGCTGTTTGACCAAAGCATAAACTAACATCATTTAAGATCGTCGTTACTTACAACTCCAACCAAGTCGCTGTCCAGGAAGTCGTCAACAAGCTCAAGGAGCAGGGTGTCAAGGCCATCGCTGTTCAAGGCAACGCCGGCTCTCTGACATTTGGCGATGACATCGTCAAGGCCACTGTCGCCGAGTTCCCCGGCCGCAAGATTGACATCATCGTCAACAACGCCGGCCACGCTACTTTCCCCGGAACTGCTGCCGATTCTCCCATCGAAGACTTTGACGCCATTTTCCACCCCAACGTCCTGGGCCCTCACCTGCTCATCAAGGCTGCCCTGCCTCATCTCGCATCGCCCGGTGGACGCATCGTCAACATCGGCACTGTTGTCGCTCGTACCGGAACCAACGCTGCTGCTTTCTACGCTGCCAGCAAGGGAGCTCTCAACACTCTTAGTCTGGCGTGGGCTGAGGAGCTTGGCGAGAAGGGCATCACAGTCAACGTTGTTGCTCCCGGCCCTACTGCCACCGACTACGCTCCTCCAGAGGACTTTGACCTGACCCGAAAGTTCCGTGCTCAGCAGTACATCAAGCGAAACGGAACTCCAGAGGAAGTTGCCAGTGCTATTGTTTATGCGGCTAGCGCAGGGGCCAGCTTCCTGTCTGGCCAGATTCTCGGCCTGGATGGTGGTTTGAGCTACGTCTAAAATCCAGAGGTAGCGGGATTAGGGTGCCTCTTTTGCTAGGAAATGTAACTAGGTTATCATTTAGACGCGTATATAAAAGCAACAATAAAAGCTCAATGTATATACTAAAGAGCCGCAATGTACTCGTCTCTCTTCTCTTTGTGCATATACGGGATTTTCATCGTTGTCTACTCAAACGAATGAGTGAGATGTAATCTCACTGTGCAAAACTAATAAAGTCATGAAGCATCTTGTGATATATAAGCCCAAAGCATAAGATGGACATGTTAATATGAACTAGTGCAGTTGTACGAGAGGCCCATAATGCCATCAAAGGGAAATGTACGTGATAAAAAGAAGACACATGCGTATAAGAGAGCTATATTGATCGCATTTTCTCTACTCCCAATTGGGGCAAATGAGAGATGGTACCTATGCATCTTCATGAATTTTCTTGTGATGGACTTATTCTTTTCCAGTCAGACTACATGTTGCCATGTGAGACTTAACGAGAATCGAAAAGGCGCCGTCTATGACCACACTAGAAAAACAGCCCATCACCTTCAGTGGCTCATCTTCGTACTCGTCAACTTCATATTACATACTACCCTACCTACTTACTGTCGGGCATTGCCATTCTCATCTTGGTCATCTGTGTTATGAAGATGGCTATAAAGATGCATATATGGTCAAACCTGGTGCAGGTAGCTCAGCATGTCTGCGCGTAAAAGCACTTGAAAGCCCGGGCCGACTCTATCAAGTGTAGAGACTTGACAATAAGACAGCATCAGACAGATATCTCGCCTAGCTTTTGCAAAACTTTCTCAATGTACATAGCCCCTACGGCAAATCCATCTTCATCCTTGAACTCTCCATCATCTCGAAAATCTTTATTGCCCTCGTCTAGGCACGTTAAGCAAGTCTCCACTAGTTTGCTATACTTGTTGCCCATACTCCGTCTCAAGGTGCCTCTTGCAAGTTGCAATAACCTGTCTTTGACTCGTTCAGGAGATTTTAGGAGCTCAGGCCCGCTCGTACTATCATCTTCAGCTGCCAATGTAGAGCCTAAACCAGACGGTCGAGAGTGCGTTGTTCCTAACGAAGACTTGACTTTCTCGTCGACTCTGTCGTACTCAACGAAACTCCCCCACAATCCAATCTCAAGTAAACAGACGCCGACGCTGTAAATGTCGTGTCGCATATTGTAGTCTGTCTTTAGTGTCTTGCCCTGCCGTTGTGGGTGGCGATATAAGTTCTTCTCCCAGTCGTCATCGCCGAGACGATTCGTTTTGCCTTCAGCATCGCGGAGAACGTCGAAGCCGACCAAAATAGCCGTCTCATCGTTTCTTTCGGTATTTTCAGTTCCATAATTTCCTCTGCTGAGGATAAGTATTGTTTCGGGTCGAATGTTCTTATGCACAAACTCATACAGATGCACATAACTAACTGCATTGACAAGCTGTCTCGCTAGGTCAAAACGTGCTGATAGAGAATCGTGTTCGCCGCTTGGTCCGCTAAGCAGTCGATGGCGAAGACTCTGTGCATGCGAATGTGTCGGAGGCATGCGCAAGACGAAAGACAGACCTGTTGGGGGTATAGCTGTGCCAGGCTTCGTATCTGAACCATCCTCGTTCAGGATGCCCTTGCATTCCAGCAGCCCAAACGTGAAAGGGTCTGTGTGCTTCAGTCGCCTTGCGAAATTCCGAATGTCGCGCAGTGCAGAATTGATGTTTGCCCTGGAAATGCAAGTGATGGGGTCAAGCACCACCAATTCGCCGTTGTCAGCTCGACGAGCTAGGCGGACCGGGCTGTAAGCTAGGTTTTGGACGCTTTCAGTGCTGAGTCCCTCGGGAAGTAGAAAGACAGTCTTTCTTGAGCCATCGTCTACAATAGGTTTAAGTGCGCGACGCAGCTGCTGCGTAACAGGGATAACTGCATGTGCTTTTGCCTCGTGCGTTGAGACAGGTGGTTGTTGTTGCGACATGAAGTAGAGCTGCTGGTCCACCTCCGGTCCTGCGATCTTCATCATCAAAAACCAGCTGGGGTCAAAAATACCCTGCCAGACTTCAAGATCGGTAATTGTGTCGGCAAGTCTGTCCTTCGTAAATGCGTACCTGAGTCGCTTGACCTCGACGATGGTGGTCTCCTCGCCTGCGCCATTTGGCAGAGCATCAGACTTTTTAACTAAGCCTGAGAGTCTGGTGTTTGCGGCGTGTAGCTTTTGCAGTAGAATCTCCAGCGCCCGTTGCTGGATGGTTTTATGCCATTCACTCAGCTGAGGCTCCAACCTGCGTATGAACTCGAGTTGCAGCTGAATCTTGAGCCAGCAAGCCTCGACGCGCACAACGCTCTCATGAAGTTGAATTTCGGCATTTGCAAATGCTTTGCAGAGCGCGACGAGCTCCGCTCCTCGGTGGTTTACAGTGTCTATAGTGCCAATTAGACCGAGGACGCCAAACGAGTCGACCATTGTAAACGATGTTCAAAGCGATGAGTTCAACTCGTAAGCCACTCAGCTGTATACATGTATTTTCTGTTAACAAGTTCTCAGAAACGTACACCAAATACCTATCTACCTATTTATAAAAATTGTAAATGATCGGCAGGTAGGGCAGTGAGAGGCTGAATTGTTAATAGCCGCCACGCTCTTGTTACAGCCCCGCCCCTGCGTCCTGAAAGCCTTACCTTGGCGCCGAAGGATTCAAGCCGTCGCAACTGGCCGTTTATTAATAGCACATGGACTCCTCGGTGCTATTGTTCTTCCTCGGCTCATTTTCGAAGCTTCATCAACATTATCAACTGATGAAGTCTCAAATCTATACTGCCGTTTTACTCCTCGCTGCCTGCGCCTTTTAGTTGCCGCTGCCACTCTCAGACGCCGCCGACGGATCCTCCCGTCGGACCGGCCCCGCAATGTCACGATGGCCGGATCTCGTTCGTGACACCCGCCTCAGCACGACAATCGAAGATGATGTCACGATTCACCACCACGAAGACTCAGACGATGAGAACAACGCTCGGTCGACATGGCGAGAGGAGCGCTGGAAGGCGACGGTCCGTCTGGGCCACGGCGGTTGTGGTAGCGTCTGGCTGCAGGAATGTGTCGAGGGGGGACGAGGCATTGATAAACGTGCCGTCAAAATCATTCCTCGGATGAGTCTCAAAGATAAGAAGGACAACTATGTATCTGAATTGGAGGCTATTGCCAAGTTTTCGCAAAAACGTGTATGTGAGTGCATTCGGTCTCTGGTGGGAAAGGACATGACTGATTCTCGTGCATGTAGTACTCAAAGTGTTTTGTCAAATTCCTCGGGTGGTATGACGATGACGCCTCAAACCTCTATATCGCCATGGAATACCTTCCTCTTGGCGACTTACAGAAGTATATGGATAAGCATAGGCTCATAGATGAGACGGATGTACGCGAGATATCGTTCCAGGTGCTTGAAGGGCTGTCTTACATGCATCGAGAGGGGTTCGCCCATCGGGACATCAAGCCTGATGTAAGTTCTTTATCGCCCAGTTTAAGAATGCTATCACTAATTACAACGTGTAACTACTCAGAATGTGCTTATCCGGTCACAGCCGCCGATGAATAACTGGTGGGTTAAGATTAGCGATTTCGGCATCAGTAAACGCGTCGAAGGGTCGATCAAGGTAGTGTCAAGTATCAAGGGCACAATTCCGTATATGGCCCCGGAACTGCTCTTTCATGAGCCAAGCAGTTCCAACCAGATTAACCATCAAGCAGCTGACATGTGGGCACTTGGCGAGATGGCCTGCCGCCTACTAACAAAGACGGCTGTTTTCCCTACCCACAACGCACTCGTCAGCTATCTAGTGAATACAGACTTGTTTCCCACAGACAATCTTACCAAGCGAGATGCAAGCTCAAATGCAGTCTCCTTCATTCGCTCGCTCATGGAACCTCACCCAGACAAACGCCTAACATCGGACACGGCCATGGAGCATCCCTGGGTTGCACCTCTACAGGGCCACAGGCCACAAGTCTCTAAACCGTCAATACCTATACCATTGTACGTATTCCATATATAGATTCAATAGTATGTGGGCTAATTCTTTCAAGCGATCCATTTGTTCCAACTCGGCAGCCTGCTCTAGCTCCCATTCCAAATTCTTGGGCTACAGTATCGACCACAAGTTCTAGTTATCAACCATATGCAGGAGTTCTGGAGATACAGAATGGTTCATCTCTGCAAATGTCATCTTCTGTACTCGGTAGTAAAAATACCCAGGCGACACATGATACCAACGCAGATGACATTACAGGGGACAGCGTTTATAAGCCTGTGCTTAACGTACCTCAAGTTTCTGTCGGCCCTTTGAGAGTTTCTCAGGCTCCAAAGTCATCGTCTTCTCAGCAGTCGCAGAGTCTCTCACAGGCACCTCCCCTAAAAATGCCCTGGCCCCGTTCTGCACTTCCTCAAGGTCCTCCGCCTGTCCGACTTGGCCACAACCTTTCCCAGTCTGGGCAAGGAACCCCCCCGACAAAACTACGCTCATAGGGTTTAGTCGAGCGCTCAAAGAGTATGGAAACCGTTTGCTGCACGAAGTGTTCAACTCCCTTCAACCTCCGCAACCCGGAATTTCAGTGCCGTAACTGCAAAAGGCTCTTCGACTACAAATGTTGTAGTAAACGGGCAATCATCAGGGGCGTGAGCACCCTACCAGTCAGAGTTGATGATGAATGTTTAGCCAAGTTATCTACAGAAGAATTACAAGGTTAGAATCCAGAGAGCAGTCAGCCCTAGCGACAGCTTAAGCTCGCGGAGGCGAATCGGAATAAAACGGCTCACTAAGACTCAGCGTATGAGAATTTCGATCTTCGTCCCTATTCAGGTAAGCAGAAAAGCGATGCTACCGAGGAATACGAGGCAATTCGGGATGGGCGTTTTCCTAATGAGGCTTGACAGGAAAAGAAACATCGCCAAGAGGCTCCAGAAATTGGGAAGACCAAACCCTTACCCGAAAATCTGATTGAGGCAGGACTTCGTATAGACAGAGAAGAACTCGAGGAGCGTGAGTTCGACCGGTTGCTCTCCGCCTTGGACATATATTGGCCAACAAAACCCATAAGCGACGACTTTGAGGATCCAAAAGTTTATGCAAAGGAATTCGGCAAGTGCGTACGCGAAGTTGAGCAAACCCTTGAGCTTATGCGAAAGCGTGCAAAACACGATCAAGAGCAGCGTGCGAAGAAGGCCGATACTAGGTCTGCAGGACAGAAATTGAAGGATCTTTTCATATTTTCTACTGAAGAGAAGAAGGGGACCGATTAGATGAGGCGAGACAGATGGCAAATGAACATTATTCTTGACTTTCAAGTATATTCTCGTCCATCGTGACCATTTTCTCAAAGCACTGAAAGATCTGCCGAAAGCCATGGAGCAGAAGTCTTCATAGCCACTAGAACCATTGAAATCGGTGACAGCGATAGCAGTGTTACTGTTACTGCAGGTGATGGACGGAAATTCTCCTTTGACTTTGTGCAAGGGGCTGATGGGCTGAAATCTGTTGTACGGAACCATATCCACCCTGGTATACCTCCAATTGCGCTCTCCAAGTCAGCAGCATATCATATTATTTTGTCCCATGATAGGACATTTGCGACTGTCTCAGAGGCACGTACCTACCTCCATGATTCTATGGACATATTGGCCAACCCGAATGGCTATATTTTGACATAACCCATCGCTTTAGGGACAGAAGTGAGTCTTGTCACATCATTTTGCAAAGATGAGTATGTCACTCAGAAGGAAGTGTCAGCATCGATGAGTTTCGGGGTTATTATAAGGATTTCCACCCCATTACTCGCAAGATCATTAGCCGGAATGACCAGGAACTGGACTGGTGGCGGCACGTGCTCATGGAGGAGTGGGCAGGAAGCTGCAACTATCAGCCAGCTTCGAGCGCGAAGCCCATGAGATTCCAGGTCGGACAGGTCTTCAGGGAGGCTCCAAGCGTGCTTATAAAGGGCCTCCTCTTGTTCTCCGGCGGCGGCGAGGACACGGTCGCGCCATTTGTCGTGTATGCCAGGTGATGCCCGGGAGAAGCGTCCGGTTTGTGAAGCTGTATTCCGACTTTGGGTGGACATGTAAGGGCCGGATTGTGGGAGTTGAAGGCGGTGGGTGGTGTTTGGAAGGCCAGTAGGGGAAGTAATTCGGCGGACCGCCTGATGGGGAATTTATGTTGAAGTCGTGGACCAGAAACCTGCAAAGGCTATACTAAGAATCGCCACAGTTACGATGGGCTTTCACAACAGGATTAACTTCATAACATATCTTGATATTCGGCAAACCCAACTTGGCTCTCTCTCTGTCTCATCTCCGGGCTTCTTCCCCTCCATCGTCTCAACATCCAACTCTCTTTGCATTTGTTAATTTTTCACAGTTATTCCACCAAGGATGACACAAATTTGATGAATATTCCGCATCTTATGAATCTTAATATACAAAAGATGACTGGGATTATTTTACAAGGTACCTAGTCGACGTGTGTAGCTCAAATGGAGTACCCAAGTAATAAGCGTCTTCTTCCAATGCATCTGAACCGCTGCGCAGCTAAGGTAGAGTTGGCCGATGTCGATGCATTCTTTTTCAAATGGAAACACAAAGAGGTCTTTTGAGTTTTGGATTTACAGAACTCGACAGTCGAGAGATATTCTTATTCATTGTATAAGGCAGCCTCGCTTCATTATATGTGGGTATTGTGACAGAATATAGCTTCACGTAGTGCGAGTACTAGTACATACGACCATAGGTAGGGGAAAACTCGGGGTCCCGTCTGCTCCCCCATAGATAAGCCCCTAACCGGCAGATTAGTAGTTGAGTGGGTGACCATCAGCGAACACCGGCTGTTGTATGTTTTTGCTTTTTTGCTCTTCAAGTTGTAGAGAGTCGAGATGATTGTGATATAAACGCCGTTGGTAGGCAAAACCATCACATACGACCATATCCATTGGAATATACGGGATCCCGTCCGCTCTCCCAGAGTCAAGCCAATGAGAGGCAGATTAGTAGTTGAGTGGGTGACCATCAGTGAACACCGGCTGTTGTATGTTTTTTGTTTCTTTTGTCTCTATTCCTGGTGTTACACGTTTTATTAGATGTATGTGAAAAGTGCTGTCTATCTCCCTCTTGGAATCAAGCTAGAGTCCAAAAGCCTTGAAGAAGTTTTTTGCTTTTTCGGGTATGTTGATATATCAGGGTGATGGTGTAACATATAGTGGAATGAACCTTTATTACACTCATATTTGTGCTTGTCGGTTGCTAATACGGCCATTTGTCTGAGGGACAACTGTGCCTATGCCTGAGTTTTCACAGTAACTAGTGATGATGTATTGGAGAAAATGGCTAAATATGGGCTTTATAGCAGCCAATGGAAAGTCTATTTAAGGTATCCAATCACTAATGAAGAAGGATGAGCCCGGCGCCACCGCTGAAGCCAAAATCAGCAGCTTGCTCATCTACATATCGGCAAGGCGTCAAAGATCAATTGAAAGCAATTGACATTGTTTGTGTATATGACCATGATCATTGTCAATGCCTGTACGTCAGCATCACAAGGTACCTAATTCGCAACTCGAGTTACCCGAGGTTTCTCTTCGAACTAGTTTATAAAAAGGGCTATAAGATTTGCACTTCGATGCTGGACCTGGACTGGCCGCGCAATTAATCTGTGGCGCATGACAATTAGGATGCTGGAAGCGTGGATCGACAACCCGAAAGATCCGAAATGGAGGACAGCGGAATGTGGCGCAGTATCATTATACTTTACTACTGACATACTGTCTCGGTGGTGCCATCTAATTTGCACTGAGATGTTTTGCAGTGAATTGAAGTTGGAAGATGTTATAGAAGCTCATGTTTTGCGGTCTATGCAAAGACAATAGTAGTCAATACTTTCCATCTGTAAGAGTTTAAACTGTTTCTATCCGGTGAGATTAGCTGCGGCTGAAACTTCACTTACTCATAGACGTTTATTTTCACAATATACAGTAAGCTGATGTCGATGACGAGATTCTTACACTGTTGGGGTAGACCTCAATGAGCTCTAGACGCGGAGCTGAAATTGTGGCTGCTAGGCTAATATACCTTAAATAGAATGCTGTCTGTTATAATGAACCACAGCGCCATCTTATTCTTTTTGAAGAGGCAAGGTTTAATTAATCGCTGCTGCAGAGTCAATTGCAGTTGACATTTTGGCTAAACTCGGGATCAGCGTTGATGATGAGTTGGGTGTAAGCCAAAGCTACGTCAACTATCGGTCAGCTAATCAACAGTTGCAACCTGGATTCTCGATAAACGATATCTTTCTTAACTTTCGTATAAAAAAGATCTCATATTTGAACTCTTTTGATCCCTTGAAATAGCACTCTTCGAAAATGATTCGCTTCTATCACGCTCTGTTCAGCCTCTCTGCATATTTCTTAATTCTTGGTGCGCAAATACCTGAATAGCACTGGGACCAGGCTAATTCACTACAACACAGCTTCATATCTTTCGCCCGGCGTTTCAGCATATTTAATTCCGGAAGAAAGAGCTGCGCCGGTTGCTCCCGATGGCTATACTCCAGCCCGCGTTGATTGCCCGGCTAACACGCCAAGAGTCCGCAGAGCAACGGGTTTGTCGATTAATGAAACAGATTGGCTGCCTCAGCGCACAAACAATACTGTCTCGGCAATGAAAGATCTTCTCAGTCGTATCAATATTACCGGCATTGACACTGGCAGATACATCGACAACCTCACCAGTAATGGCGGCACGGGCCTTCCACGAGTTGCCATTGCTATTTCTGGAGGAGGCTATCGAGCGCTCATGAATGGCGCCGGTGCTCTCGCGGCATTTGACAACAGATCAACAGATGCGACACAGACCGGCCACCTCGGAGGTCTTTTGCAGTCAGCGACGTACCTTAGTGGCTTATCTGGCGGAAGCTGGCTCGTGGGCAGCCTTTACGTGCAGAACTTTACCTCGGTTGAGTCTATCGTGCTCTCTACCAGTGGATTTCTCAGTACTCTCTGGCGATTTGACCATTCCATCTTTGACGGTATGTTGTATAGTAGAATACATCGGATGTTGTCATCAAGGAGCTTGCTTTATAGCTTATGAACAATTTTAGGGCCCTCGGACCTCAATATCGTAAGGTATTATACTCAGCTCTTTGACGCTGTCAACGATAAAAAGAAGGCTGGCTTCAATACGTCAATTACCGACTATTGGGGCAGAGCCTTATCCTATCAGCTTGTTGATCCTTCCGATGGAGGGCCTGGTATGACTCTTCAACTAGAACCCATGAAACACGCTGACTATTCCAAAGCGGTTACGTTTTCATCCATCGCAAACGACACAGAGTTTCGAACAGCTCAAGCCCCTATGCCTTTAATTGTGGCTGTCGAAAGAACCTCAGGACAGGTGCAAATCGCTGCCAACTCAACGGTTTTTGAGTTTAACCCCTGGGAGATGGGATCGTACGACCCAGGCCTCGAGGCATTTGCGCCGCTTCAGTTCGTAGGCTCCAACTTTACTAACGGCACCATCCCCAGAAATGGAGAGTGTTTTGCTGGAGTTGATAACGCAGGCTTTGTCATGGGTACATCGTCTTCTTTGTTCAACCAGGCACTCTTGCAAATTGGACAGGTTCAAGGTGTACCAGACTTCTTGCTCAACGCCATCAATGATACACTAACAGACATTGGGGATGATAACAGAGATATCGCCGCCTGGCCAAATCCATTCTTTGGATACAATGCCAGTGTAAATGTGAACGCGAACGAGACACAGCTGACTCTTGTGGACGGTGGTGAAGACTTACAAAACATACCTCTACATCCCCTAATCCTACCTCAGCGAAGGGTTGACGTGATCTTTGCGGTTGACGGCTCTGCTGATACGGCAACGTTGTGGCCAAACGGCACGGCCATGGTGGCTACATTTAATAGATCGGAAGCCACAACCTCCTCAGCTGACGACAACCGCTTCCCAGATGTTCCGGATCAAAATACCTTTGTCAATCTGGGCTTAAATAACCGGCCTACCTTTTTCGGCTGCAGCAACCGCAGTTCGGGTCCTCTCATCGTTTACCTGCCCAATGCTCCGCTCTCGTTCCACTCCAACGTCTCAACGTTCGATTTGAAGTACACCATCGAGGAACGCAATCAGATCATCCAGAATGGATACAATATGGCGACCAGAGGCAATGGCTCGGTGGATGCAAACTGGCCGGCATGCGTCGGCTGCGCCATTTTGTCGCGAAGCTTCAATAGAACCAGGACAGCTGTTCCTGCAATATGCAGAGACTGCTTCACGCGATATTGCTGGAATGGTACAACAAACAACACTTTGCCTAATACGTATGAACCCGCGCAAATCCTGCAGGGTGCAACAGAGCAGTCGACTTCTTCGGCTGGTCGGGTGAGCGGGACGCTGTTGTTGGCTGTTATTGCGCTGCTACTGGCGATCTGAGATCCAAGTAACGTTGAAAATTGGGGGGATGCTGATGTGGGTATGAAATGTTGTCAGAATGGATACTTGCAGCACTCTTGCAGGAAGATGGGCTATTGGAATGCGAAATGCAATAATGGCACCCGTACCGTGATGCTTAATGTACAAGTAGTAATGGAAGCGGCGAGCCCGTCAATGATTTAGTGAGAAATACTGCAAGCAGAAACTTCAATGCGTGTTAAGCGACTTATGGGCTTACAATTGCTCCGTATGGGGCAAGATTTTGCTGGTGAGTGCGATCGGTTCGAGCAGAGTCCTCCAATAGAAGTCAGCGGGAGGCACTTGGATACACAAATGAGGCAAGTGGCCAAGACTCAAGTGCACTAAGAGGAACCAAGCCACGAAGACAATAATTATGAGACTGCTGAAGACAACGAACACGAATATGCGCAACTAAACTTTTGTTTTATACTGATATATACGGCAGCACGCAGCACAGTTAAGGCTGTTTTAACATTTTGCTTAGAGTTGCAAACAAGTTTACAAAACAAGCTTCAGTCGAGACAAACGCAAAAGCCCAATCCCTGCAGCATCGTCAGCTCACAACTCCACGAACGGCTAGTAAAACCATCTTGCCCTTGTCAGCGTGCACGGCCCATGCCGGGGAATTTTCTTTGTATCGACGGAAAAATAATTTCGCTTCGTATAACACCCTATGATTATGCTCCTCAAAGGCCCAAATAGGAAGCTTCAAGATCTTCCATGTCGGGCTTTAGAAGTAAGCTAATATCGTTAGGCGGCTGCTAGTTTTGGAAGCGTTGGCGAGTCCTCCAGCTGCCTTATCAGTCTTGCAGAACGAGGCGCTATATGCGGTCAAAGGGGGGGGATCGTATGGAGAAGCTGTTATGAATCGGAAGAGCCGCTGGCCGTCACCGAAATATTGGCAGAGCATACAGCAGGGGCAAGGATGAGTAAGTATTTACACGAGGTTTACGTACATGATGATGATGTATGAGCGCCGGGATAATTATTTACAACTGTTAGTGAGATTTTAGTTGATATTGAATGCTGAAAGCATCTGTAAATGGGCAATGATGGCGGATACGAGATATATATAAAGGTTGAGTAGTCCTCATCAACACCATAATGTATTGATCGTAGCAACAATTCTCTGAAACGCCCTACAATAAAACATTCTCATACACAACCTCAAAATGAAGTTCTCACTCTCCACCATCAGCCTTGCTCTGGCCGTCACTGCCTCTGCAGTGCCCATCGAAGAAGAGCAACACACCGAACGATCCACCATCACCGGCTCCGGCCCAGGCTCAATCTTCCAGTTCGGATCGGCCTCCAACTGCCGAACTATCTTCTGGAACTCAGGCGCCTGCGGCCTCAGCACATTCTTTCCCAACAAGGTCTCTGCCAGCATGCCCCTGATTGCGCTTCCTTCCCGCATCTTTGAGGCACATGGTTCCTCGGATCAGGAGAACCCGCTGTGTGCCAAGGTTATTACTATGACACACAAAGGCGTTACTCGACAGGCTGTCATTTCGGATGAGAACACCAGTGACGAGCAGTCTATTGATATGTGCTTGGACTTGTGGCAGGCGTTTGGTGGTCACGATGGCGATGGCACTCTTATTGAGAACATTTCTTGGTCTATTGCTGCGTAAAGATATGAACGAATGAATGAGTGGAACGGTGGCTGATGATTATGTACATATTCTCAAAATCGTCTGATAGCCTTTTACAGGCTGCATGTATATAAAGATACAGAGCAACTAAATAGATGTACATGCATACATGATTTATTGTCCAAGTACAGATTGAAAGCTAAGTGAACCCTGAGACGACTTATCGCCTCGTTCTACTATAATTCCACAGACCGTGTCAAGCTCCTACTTCCACGCGAGCATCTCGCTCTGAAGAATAACAAGCCAGGCATCTTCAGCCTCAGCCCACTTCTCCACGGCATCCAGCGTCTGTTGAATCTCATCTTCACTAATTCCTGCATCCACCCAGCTCTGGTAGAAAGGGTCTCCCTTTTGCAGTTGGCCTTTAGCACGCCAAAGCATTCGTTTTCGAGCCTCCGCTTCCGAGTGCACAGAAGCTCCAGCGCCAACTTGGACTTTGCCAGCGTCGGTGTCGAAGCCGGCTTTGCGCAAAAGATTGGGCATCATTGCCGACGTCGAATCTGTTTCAGACGCACCCTTTCGCGATGCCCGAAATTGGTTTGCTCCCCAGAGATGATCGAGATTAAGACTTTGTGGATAAAAATGGTGGTTCATGCCATCTCGCGTGGCCAAGATGCCGCCCGGCTTGAGGACACGCCGCATCTCAGTCAACGCTTTGAGGGGAGTGTTTGGCGCTGGCATATGTCCGATGACCTGAGAGGCAAAGACGACATCAAACGTGTTATCGGGATAGGCAAGCCCATCTACGACATTGCCCTCTTCGAAGACGACAGAGCCGGGTCCCTGAGTGGGAATGTTTGCTTCGGCCGCCAGTGTCTTTGCCTTCTGCAGCACATCTTTGGAGATATCAATGCCGACTATCGTGCCTTCGCTGGCATATTTAGCAAAGCTCGTAGTGATAGTGCCGGGCCCGCAGCCAACATCAAGAATATGGTGTGTCGGTTTAATGTAAGGCAGCAGGAAGGCGGCATCTGACTCAGCCTTGCGCCTGAGATGTGTTGCGATGGTGTAATCGGAGTGGCCCCGAGCGTAGTAACTTGGTAGATTGGTTTGCGCCATGTTTACGGTGTGCTTGGTGAGACATAAGATGCTTCAATATCCAGAGCAGTGAAGTGATGTTTCCTTCTATTTATTTGTAGCCGTCTGTGATGATAAACTCGGTGAGTCGGGTCTGTATTACTTGATTCTGTATTACTTGATGGGGCCATGATCTCAAGCAAAAACCGACTCTAACGTCTATTACCTGCTTAACCCCGAATTCCGTGATACTTGCACCATCAAGTCTTGTTGTGATTGCTCGGAGATCGGGTCCGTGTTTCCCAGTTTGGGTTAGTGGCCCGAAAGACCGCCGCTGCAACGGAACCGTTTCGGCCTCAGTTCCGGCGATTGGAAGCTGGATAACAGCCGTTGTGTCTCTGTTAATCCAGAGTGGAAGATAAATCTCTTCTATAAACTGTTTTGTCAGGGAGATCGTCGTAAATGTAACGGTGGGATGTCTATGGAGCAGGGCCACAAGCTTAATACGTGGCTTCGAAAAGCAACTGTATTATAATACCAGCCCGTATAGATCCCCGAATACAGTCCATTGTGTTGAGTGTAGAAGAGGAGTGATGGATTTGACGGCCAAAACTGCAATAAGATATCCCTCCGACGGAGTGGTATTTGAAGTCTTCATAGTTGGAGCAGATCATTCCAGTAAGTCCAGTCTAGAGATTCGTCGTGCATCAGATCGCCCATAAGCCCAGTTTGCAGATTTTCCGTATCCGATGCTGGCTCTTGCGAATCATCGACAGCATTACTTACTGTCTGCAGTCTTTCGATAAATTTGGGCATGATATCCTGTCTATGCTCCAGTGTCCGCCGGCGTGCCACCCATGCCTGTAGTATCAAATCCGCCAGCGCGGCGTAGAATCCATGCTCTCCCGGTGAGATTGCAAACTGTTCGTCGAACAATTCCTGTAGTAACGTCCACGCAGTGTCGACGAGGCAGCCACTCACACGTTGTCGCAGCTCACTGACCATGTATACCAGGGCATCAGCCGGGGTCGTGCATACCATGTGATCCACCAGCTTTATCGAAAAGCTTGTGTGGCGCACGTCATGATTCAACTCTAACAGCTTGACGCTGCTTTCGAAAACAAGGTCTTGGTCGGCTTGAGACATGTTTCTACCTCCTCCAGGTTGATGGCGAGGATGGAACATTGAGAAGCGCTGGTTGTGAACGGTAAGTCCGGCCAAGGCGATTGAGAGCTGGTGCAGTGGTATACTCGGGTCAAGGTAGGCAAGATACCTTTCCTGTAGCATTTGAGTTACGTTGCTAACCATTTCTCTTTTCACTGCCATGTTTTCAACACTCGTTGAGGCGGCTATCTGGGCTGCTCTTTCTCTTGGGTTGACATCACCAGAAAATCTAGAGGATTTCCGAACATAGTTCCAGAGGTCGCATTTCATCAAACAATAAACCATCTCTGTGGCGGCAGTATGCTGAACTGCAGGCGGCTTCTCCATCAGCGGATGCAAATCTGCATCGTTGACATTCATCGGGAGACGCACGTCGCCCAGGTCGTCAACAGTCGATAACAGCCCCATGCCCCGACGGGCGCGTGAGTTGAAGCCGCGAATACACCACCATAGACGTACTCGCATCTCCTGCTCAAAGAACGGCATGTTTGAGTCTTTTCCAGCATGATGCAATCCCAATTTGTGGGCAATACGCATAGCTAGCGCGGCTGCTGTGATTGAGAGCTCTGACTGTGGATCAATCATCTAGAAGCAAATGAGGATCAAAGATCAGAGTTTATTCTCGGCCTGGGCAATACGACGCGGATCAGACTTACAAGAACAAGAGTCAAAGCCTGCAAAACCTCGATGTCCCTCGTTGAGAGCAAATCAGTGCTAGATAAAGCTTGTAGCGCTCCTTTGCGGTATCGTTTCACAAGTACTTGTTTATCTTCTCCGAATAGATCGATACAGCTAGCAGGTTTCATCGAAGCTACAGCTAGAGCGTATACTGCAAACATGGTAGCCTCGAGCGGTTTTGCAGTCGACTTTGGAGCCCATACCGCCTCGAGAATCTTCTCTTGAAGAGTAGGCGCGTGAATAATTTTGATCAAAGGGTTGACGTTGTCCGCGAATATCTGCCAAAGCTTAAAAACGTGTTTCGGATCAGGGTGCAGTTCCAACTGCCCTCCAGTTGTAGAAATATGAGTAGGGATAAATAGAGACGGCTCGCCCAAGTCATTATCATCGTGGATGGACCTATTTTTTGCCTCCTCGTCTGGCGGTTTGAGTTGCAATACTGGCGGAGTTTTCAACTTGAAGAGCAGTTAGTAAGGACACAATGCTCAACTAGAAACAACATACGCACAGTTTCAGGCAACTCTGACCAAAGACGCGCCGTCACAGCCTGTTCATCGAGCAAACTGTCGGTGATATGGTTCAGGTTCGCCACGAATGGCGCCCGTGGAGATACCTCAGCCGTGGCTGCACTCTCAATGGAGTCGGATTGAGTCTGAGGGCTTTGGACAAGCCGCTCTTCCCACTGTGAGCTGATCCATGAGTTATCCAACGCTTCAAATGGAATTCTATTACTTTGAAGGATGGTTTCGAGTTCCTGAATCTTGGACAGGAGATCTCGCTGAGACACGCGCTTTCGGTATCTCTGAGACGGCACGGGGTCACGATAAATGCACGCGACTTGTGACTTGGAGCAGGTCGAGCACGGGCTCAGCTTGTCGCATTTGACTTTGCGCCTGGCACAGGTTACGCATGAATATCGGCTTTGAGGCGTCATCTTGGCTTCATGACGATGCGCCGCAGATGCTTCAAAGGACAACGGGCAGCAGCGTCACCGGCAGATCTCGGGACGTCATGCTCGAAATGGATATAGTTATCTTTCAAGGAGCTTGGTGACCGGAGAGATCTCTGCCATGGAAGATCAGAAATCGCTTTGAGACGTCATTCAGCATGAGGCCAATGTCAATCGAAGTATAGCCCGAATAATTAGGTGGTGAATATTGTGAGGACCTGGAAGATCGCGTGCTGAGGATCCTACAGGTAGGTACTGGCGCTAAAATGGCTGCCTGGGACGTGTCAGACACTGTGCCATCTGGCGCATGGAGCCTTGCTTGTGAAGTACATGCATCATATTTGCCGGACAATTAATAAGGTCACTTGGTAAAATATACTTATATCCATACTTTAGCTTAGGATGTTGAATTTGATAACACGCACTGTGCAATCAATACGTGCTTCCTGGAAGCTGTGTCTTCAGGCCAGCATCTAGAGATGAGTATAAACGAACGACTAGAGCAAATATAAAGAGGTATTGACGAGCATTGCAGTGGAATTAAATACGATCTAGTTGCCGGTCCACGTCCATTGGTGGAGCTGATTGAAACAGTAGCTTGCGATGTTTCTCAAAGAAACGAACTCATTGAACAAAAAGAATACAGGTCTTGAATATGACGGCCGGTATTGATTATTAGGCTCGGGCAAAGAAAAAAAGCTCAAGCGAAAAGTACATAGATGAACCAAGCAGCTGGCTTCAAAGTGGTCGATCTATGAAAAGCCCACTGTATGCACATATATATTGAGTACACGATGCTGTGATTAGCCGTGGTTCCTTGGTAATAGAGCCTGGATGCACTAAACAGCATGTCTTGCATGCTTTTTGGAGACATCTTGTTTTTTTTAAATGTGCTCGCTTCTTTTCGCTATGGCTGAGTACCTAGTCGTATCGATGAATCCTCGTTGGTACTCAGGTACTCCACAGAGAGGAGTGATATATCAATCCCAAGTATCAGCATGCCATCAAATGACTACCTACAGGTATCTACGATGGAGAGTAGAACACAGAAAACACATAAAATACCATAGACTAACAACAGCTTCTGTATAAGTTCTGCCTCATCGTCATATAGCCCGTCATAGGCCACAAATGTGGTCTCTCATTAGTACCAATATGGGATCATGTTTCGCTGAGACCACCTTCTGCCTCATTATAAAAATGCCTACGAGGCTTGTACAGATACTCTCTCGCAAAGTAGCTACATACTACGAGTAGGCAGATACAGTTCACCTCCTACATGGATCCTATCCACTTAAAGGCCACGCACTTCCAAAACCTTAAGTCTGCACACATAAATTTGCGGTTTTTACCTACGTCTTTTTTTCTTTTTTCCTTTTCTTTTTTGAATAAATACAATAAGCTTGTATTTGCATGCTGCTTCCTGCCAGCTTAAAGTATCCAAGCCAGTCGTTTAGATGAAAAGATAACTGGCAAGATAAACCAGCAAATCCTTCGTACCTAATTGTCTACCATTTAGATTCTTATAACAATCAAATCTCCATTATGGGTAACACAGTCGGCGCACCGGTTCCAGGACTTGATCCAGAGAGAAGAGAGGAGGGTGATAGGCCAAGAAACCAGGCGCCAGAGATCCACGACATACCACTGCGCAACCTACGACCAGTGAACAGAGGGGCCGTGCGAGTTCCTCGTTGCCTACATTACACGAGACAAGTCTGCAGCCGAGGAAATCGCTATCCCTTTCTACACGAAGGCGATGATCCTCAGCATCAAGCACCGCGGCCTCGTCCAAATTTACAGCAGCCTGACTTGGGCTGTCCTATAGAAGAGAATAATGTGCAAATACAAAGAGTGTGTCGGAATTTTTCGCAAGGTCGCTGTTATAGGGGAGCCCAATGTCGATTTTTGCATGACATGACTGCGGCTTCATTCGCCGATAATCAGGTGCGGCGGTCTATTATCGATTCCCTCAGTTACATTAATTTGCTAATGCTTAAGCTAGGATGATCAGTTCAATGGCAGCGATACGTATGAGCTTGGTGGCGCTTGGGTGAAATTTGACAGCGGTGCAACAGTATCTAAAGTGTCTCTTCCCTCCGACTACAAATATTCGACCATCAACATGGAAAATATGCCAGCAAATATTTCCAGATTATCTGTCATTAAATTGCTAGCCGCCGCGGTAACACCCACTCCGGTGGTCGAGTTACGTCTCTTCTCGCACTGGGAGCAAAAGACTTGCAGCGCATTAATCAGATCCAACGATGCTTCATTTATCGAGACAACTTGCAGCAAGCTAAACTCACTCGCTCCTTTTCCAAAGTTCAAGGCTTCCATCATGCCTATCAAATTTCCAGTCAGCCAAAGCCTGTGTCAAGTTGATTGTCGGAAAGTTCACTGTGCCTGGAATCGACCAACCCGAGAAGCAAATCTAATCTTTGGAGACAAGACAACTGCCCTCATCGCGCATAAGATCCTAAACGCAAGAGGATGCAATGTCCTTGCATCCAAAATTAGTATATCTCATACGGATAGTCAGAAAGACCAAAGGAAATGGATAATAAAGCTTGAGGGGTTGAGCGAGGCGACGAAAGAACAAGACATCATCAAGGCTATTCCAAAGTTTGATAGGCCTCATACTGTCCATCTCGGAGAACTGAGCTATGTCTCTGATCCAGGTCGCGACTCGGATACTGTCAAATCCATGCTGCTAGCACTTGGCCCTCTGGAACAGTGGAGTGTATCTTCTGATACCAATGGCAAGCGCTTCAACGCATATGCCACTTTTCTCCACGAATCATCCGCAAGAGACGCCGTAACCGTCCTAAAAGACCAATCGATGTTGTTTAACGAGACGGCAAAGGTCTCGGTGGCACTTGTTGCATCTGCCAGCTTCACAATACAAGTTAAGATTTACGATATCTTAAGTCCACGAATCGATAAACACAAAACAGTCTGGACGCGGCAGCATATTAGCGTTTCCATAATTCCGTCCAAGTACCAATTTCGCATGTTGACATTGGAAAGCGAAGACCACCAATTACTGGTGCAAGCTAAAACAGCGCTGGAGAAAGTAGTTAGCGGACAGATTGTTAGAGTGGATGGAAAAGATCTTCGATTCGGAAACTTTCAACGATACGGCACAGGACTTCAACAGATCAAGTTGATAGAGGACTCGTTCAAAGTAGTCATCATCCCTGATATACGCAGATCTCAGTTCCGAATTTTCGGTCAGGAAGAATGTCCACGGTCAACGTTGGAAGAGATTACGACAATGTTGCAGGACTGCACGCCTAAGGGCCATGCTATTGAGCTCAATGACGCTGATTTCCTCTGGGCATCAAAGAGCGGCTTTAGGCTTCTACAATCGCGGCTGGGTGAAGAAAAAGTGTCTTTCCGTATCTTTACGCCAAGAAACAAACGCATTTTCATCAGAGGATCAAAGAAAGACTATAATATTGCCATTGCAATCATCGCCAGCAAGCAGACCATGTCTGCCAACAAGGGCTCCAGCTCTGAGATTGAATGTCCGTCCTGCTTGTGCGAAGCCCTAGACCCGATCCGCATGTCTTGCGGGCACATCTATTGCAGCGACTGTTTGATCCAAATGTGTGAGGCGGAAAAGACGGCGACGAGGGAGTTTCGTATATGTTGCGTGAAAGCCATTAATGCCAGTGGAACAGAATGCCAAAGGTCATTTTCACTTTCGGAACTCCAAGAGCATCTTCCGGCTGAGGCGTTTGAGGCCGTCCTTGAGAAGTCTTTCGAGTCCTATGTCAGTCGCCATCTTGGTGATTTTGCATACTGCCAAACGCCCGACTGCGACCAAGTCTATCGAATTTCGCCTCCTGATGCTGGGCGCCCCAGAATATTTACATGCAAGAAATGTCTGGTGTCCGTTTGCACATATTGCCACAACTCTCATCCTAGAAAGCCGTGTGACAAGGCCAAAACAGTCGCCAAAACCATTCTTAGCGGTAAGACGAAAAAAGCTCTTGGTATTAAATCTTGCCCTAAATGCTCAATGTTGATGCAAAAAAGGGCAGGGTGTAACCATATGACTTGCAAATGCGGCGCACATGTTTGCTGGGTGTGTCTCATGTTTTTTGACCATGGTAGTGCGTGCTACATCCATATGAACGATGTGCATGGAGGAATTCATATGAACGATGTGCATGGTGGAATCTGGGATCCTTAACTCTACGGAATCTTTGAGCATTCTAAGCTGTTGTGACTAGAGAAGGAAGATAAAGGGGATAATAATGGAGCTTGTTGTTGTGAGAACTGATATCATTTTTCGCGGCGTATCATCTTTTAAGCAGATCCCCACACGTCAATTGAAGAAGCATGCAGGAACATACTGTAAATATAGAATTGAATAGCATCTCTTTAAAATTTTGTTCCCAGATTCCTGGTCTGTTGTCTCTCACACTTCGGGCTCCTGAAACCGGAGCTGGGAGACCCCGTTCGCTGAAGATGGAGAGCCCCGCGATCAATTGTTCACTGCCAGTTGGGAGCCACACTAGAGTATAATTAAGGGCGGTGGCAATGTTTTATATCGCGAGAATGCTATGGGGCAAAGAAAAAGAAAAGCACCAGCACCTGATTGTAAGATTCTTCAATTTGCTGTCTCACTAAAGGGGAGTTCGGCACTTGCGCAGCCTTCTTGGTCTGAGTATTGAGGACAAGTGCCGAAATACTAAGAGAATTACACAATCACCACTCCTATCCACGAGATAATCGCATGAAAGAGGGAAGTAGATCTTCTCGGTTATTTATTTCATGCAGACTACTCACTGATAGCGGCTGCTAGTGATCGCCATCGCTAAAGGATTGGGAAGTAAATAAGATATGCGGAGTAGACCTACAAGGAAGCGATATACTGTAACAATATGTGATAGATAGAGTGCGATTCCAAGTACAGTCCCCTTCAGGGCTATTTCCTGATCAAGCTTGGCTCAGTTGTTACACCAGAGCTGTCACATCAAGATTTGGTCATCGAGCCGTCTACTTGAGAGCTGTGACACGTTCTAATCGTTGAGACAGACAGACGTATCATCTGCATGCTTATTCCCGTCGATGCGGAGAAGAAGATGGACGTTCGAGAATGTGAGATGGATAATCACCCTTGTTACCATTTTTGCAATTGAGATTTTCGTTGCTACGGACAGGGGGCTTTAGCACCATGCAAGAAGTTCGCTTAGACTTCTCACGGAGGAGTAGCTTCTTGATCCATACCAACTCCCGACGTACTCTCGCTTATGTATCCTCTTTACAAGGAATTCTCAGAGAGAATAACTGCTATGTAGTAATTGGGTTTCGGTAATTGCTTTGCAGATAGTATTTGATCAAGTAGCTCCTTCAGTCATGTTTACGGAGTAGCAGATATTAAACAGCTTTGGACTGCATGCGCTTCGGCTACTGATTGAGGAGTACTGTACGTGGTTGATATACTGCCGCAAGAGTTTATCATCTCTGAGTGAAAGCACTTGATCCCACTTTCTTAGAAGAGATGTTCTCAATTTCACTACTGGGACCTGTCTTCAAGGGGGAGTTCTATCTAAGCACTCTGACAGCAAGTGTCGAGCAGAGCATGAACACATGCTTGTATATATGCGCCGCTACGGTCACCTAGAACCACCGAATGCCGCGCTTGAAAGGGAATCTCGGGGGATTTCAGGACCAAAATCCGGCATTCAGAATCAAAATCCGGCAGAAAAGACTTTTCGACAGGTCAACAGTTGTCGCTGGAGCCTAGGACAATACGGCGAGTCAATGGCAAAGCCCACTTACAGTCTCGTTGCGGCCGCCGACTTGCCCTGACTCGTGTAATTCGCTTACCTAGTGGCAAGCTTCTGGCTACCCCTCTCTGCGAGGTTGTCGCAAGTTAATCTGCCCGATCCTTAACAAAAGTCCATGAACGGATCTTTTATCCCGTCATGGAAAAGATCTTTCGCCGCGTGTTGAGAAGTCAAGGAAACGTTAACAGATGTTGTGTGGCGTAGGCGGCGTCAAACTTGTTCACTCTGGCGTGTGTCATGTATCGAGGAAGCCCCTTGATAGAGTGGAGCGACAGCTGTCTACGTTTCTGCTAGGGTTGGCCTAAGCAATGGGTGATGGGTCTGGCTCGGAGGACGAACTGGATGCGGCAACTTCCAGCTACCGGCTCTAAGGAACGGCCCAGCGGGCGGTCGACAACGGGAACCCACCATGGCTTGACCGTACTTGAGGAGATGGATGTCGTCCAGTAGTATTGGACAATTCATACCGGATACTCGATTTTGGAGAACGTTGCTATGCTCGCTCTTGGCTTCTTAGCTTAGCTGATGTTAACCTGCGCCAAATGGCAAGATCATTACTCTATCTTGAAGCAAGTAGCTTTTAAATATCTCGCGATACGATTCAGCACATCCAAGATAGCGGTTACGCTGCTCTAGGCTCCCGTTGGTTGACTTTGAAACTGCGGTGAATAACCCAGGTGCCCTCCAAATGCCGTTCGTAAAACCCTAATTAGCGTCACAGTCCAGATTTTGGAAACTATAGCCGACAAAAGTCGACGAGAACAAGAAATATGAAGTACATAGTAGCCTGATGGTGATACCAGTATCCTTAGCCTCTTCGCTACAACCCTACGTAAAGAAGCGAAGGTTGGAAACATGTCAAACGTAGGGCTGGAATACAGTGGCTACACAAGCGTCCTGCATTGCCGAGGCAGGTCGCCACAATCAACAGCTCTACGATCCATCAACAACGTGCTACAGACACCATTCTCCAGCTATTTCGTTTAGCGCCTCTCAGCTGCCAGGCCGAGGGGCGAGCATCCCTGCAATCCATGTGTTGATGCAAGCCCACCAGACGACTCAACCATCAAACATAGCTCTCAATGAGCTTCGTTCTGCCGACAAATAGAACTCTTACGAATTGTGTCTTCTAATTTCCGGCCGGTCTTCCCGATCTGATGGGTCTGTGGCAGATACGCACCTGTGGAGTTGGCCCCTAGTCCTACCACGTCTCAATTCGCACCTGTCATATTAGTCCTTGCATATTGTCTAGGTAAAGTATTCGTATTTATTCATGCAGACGCAATCCAAAGGATTTACCATGTGTCAGTGTGGGCGTCAGGGGCTCGACTACCGAAGCCACTTGCTACATAACACTAGCTGAGAAGATACAAGGAGCTTCACGATCGTCCCCAAATCAATCATTTAGGATGTCGCGTAACAGTTCCGTCCAAGAGAGAAAACACACAAACTCCGCAAGATGGGAGTCGACTAGTTCTAGCATCGGGCGCACTAGTCGCCCATACCCTCAGGGAACCCGCAAGTACTTGAAGCCAGCCCGCTGTTTAGCGAAAGCCTCTGTACATATACAAAGCCACCGGCCCTATGGGTCTCGCTTCTTCGAGTTTCTTTTGTTGTTTGATCTTTGATTTGGGCCTTTGACCGTACTGCTGTCTTGTTGGGAAGAGGAAGATGTCTTCCACGTCGGATATCCAAGTAGCCTCTGTGGCTGCCGGGTTCACCCTCGGCTTTGGGTTTCTGACGGTCTGGAAGGCAATCCAGCATACTATGAGAAACAGACGGCCATGGAAGAGTCCGTACATCTATATGATTTGGGGAGAGATTATTGCCAACCTCTGTCTTGGCCTTATCGGATGGTTCTTTCTTGATGGCCAACTGGGTCCAGAGTAAGTGCAGAACACATCCCATCATGATGGACAAGACGATCAAGGAGAGAGAAAGAGAAAAGGCGGAAGGTAATCGTGCATGGCGATACATATCACATATAAGAAGACGACCTGGTTTGGGTTGTACCAAAGGAGGGAGCTTGGCTAACAACGTGCTGCAGGGTGCCCGTCCTATTCTTTTTCATCTTTTTCTGGGTGTTCGAGATCCAGCTACTGATGCAAATCATCATCAATCGAATTGCAATTATCGCCGAAGACGAAAGCACGGTAGCAAAGTTGAAATGGGGCACAGCAGGCGTTATTACTTGCATCAACATAGCCGTCTTTTGTATCTGGATCCCGTCGCATACCAACCCTCCAGTTAGCGAATTGTAAGACTTAGATGGACCTCAATACTTTTGTTTTGATGTGATTATTACTTACACCATTTATCGCCTTAGATTTGTCCGCATTAACGACATTTGGGATCGCATCTCGAAGATTTTAATTTTAATTGTCGATGCTGGTCTCAACTACTATTTCCTACGCACTGTTAAAGAGCGCCTCGTTAAACAACACGGGCTCCGAAAATACGCTCCCCTGGTCACTTTCAATGCGAGGCTAATGGTAGTATCTATCCTCATGGATGTACGTTTGCGGCCTTGGCCATACCTACATATGGATTCGACAGCTAACAATAGTATGGTAGGCTATGCTTATCGGACTCATGTCATTGCCGAATCAAGATGTTTACATTCAATTCCATCCTGTTACGTACATGGTCAAATTGAACATTGAAATGACAATGGCAGACCTCATCATGAAACTTGCAAAAACCGAGAACTCAGATATGAGCATGCCATCCACCTCCCGCCACCGAACCGAGACTCGGGAGGAGGAGGAAGAAGAAGACACGAATGGGCAGCAAAACTACAAGATGCAGCCTGTACTAAGCACCAAGCCTGCAGGCGAGGAAGATTTTTCTTCCATCGACGACGACATGGGACAATTCGACGAATCTAAAGCTGCTAGCACGCGCGGAATTCTGGACGGAGGGATTCAAGTGGAAACTACCATCTCGTCGAGAATCTCTCGAAACTCCAGAGTTGGTGGAGGGCAGAATGATGGCTCAGATGACGAGCTTGCACTATCGTATCCTGTCCGGTGACTGGGCCAGGATGTTGGAGAGTATTGATTTGGCGGCCGTAATGAACTAGCTGCGCCGCATCGGCACAGCATTGAAGATACCCAAGGGGATAGTAAGCCCGAGTCTAGGTTTACTGATGATAGAAAGAAGAGGGGTCACTCAGTTGACTTGAACTATTTGGGAGTTACGTAGTTTTAACATACACGATGCTATGAATACGATAATTTTTTATGCTTCCTTTTTCGCCAGAGCTTTGCAATTTGCCTTGTATTCCTCAATCAAATCTCCTTTAAGATGCGCTGCGTCGCTCTCCTCCCACGGGTGGTCCCTTTCCACCTTGCGGACAAGACCGGCAAACTTTTGGTTTCGCGGCCTGATGCTGTATGAAAATAGATGAGGGTGGTCAACTAGACCAGGTGAGTGTTTAAACTCCACATCAATCGGCTTGCCATTCTCGTCTACTGCCCTTTCGATTGTAAATGCCGCAAGAAGTCGTGCAATGGTGAGATAAAGACTTTCGGTTGCAAGGTATCTTCCAGGGCATACTCTGCGGCCGTACCCGAATGCGTCACCCAGAGGATCGGGTTCGTTTCGAGGTTCCAAATAGCGCGCAGGATCAAATTCTTCGGGTTCGTGATACACTTTGGGATCGTGCAAAAACCACCAGATGGACGGCAGAATATACGAGTCCTTGGGAATGCGGTAACCACGGAAGAAAAGCTCCTCTTCTGTCTTATGCGCTGTTCCAACTGGAACCACCGGGAAATAGCGAAGTGCTTCTTTGGCGATGGCATCGGTGTAGGGCAAATTGTCTCGGTCTTCGTAGCCAGGCAAGCGGCCAGAGCCAACCACGCGGTCAATTTCTTCTTGAGCCTTTCGTTGAACATCTGGAAACTTGATCATGGCAATGATAAACGTCATCAGAGTCGATACCGTAGTGTCTGCGCCACCGCCGTACATGCTTGTGGCTGTGAGCTGTATAATCTTCATATCTTCCGGGCTGACCCCAGAACCATCCTCGTTACCATAAGTTCTGATAAGCCCAGAGACGTATGATTGCTCTTGGTGGATACCCATTTCCATTTGTTTCCTGACAAAGTGGTAAGGAGTGCTGACGACGGCCTCGTTGATGGCTTTCCATTTGCGAGCAGTCTGCTTGAAGCCTGTGCCAGGGAACCAATCTGGAAGATGCCTGAGTGCAGGGATGATGTCAACAGACCATGACATGGGTACAAAGGCTGCAGACAGATTCGACATGACGTCCTCAATTAGCTTTACCAGAGGATCTGGGGTAAGCGGCTCAATAGTATAGCCATAAGTAATTTTCAGGATAATTGCTGATGCTTCGCTGTAGGGGAATTAGCCATAGATGTTCATTATAAAATGCCGAAACATATTTTAACATACGCTTTTATATGCTCTATCAGGTTTTCAGGATCGTTTAGTATACGCAATAGAAGACGCTTAGACTCTACGTCCTGGATGTCGCTAAACCGCGCGGCAAGAGTTTTAGTCCCCAGCTGCTGGTGAATATATTTGCGGTGTTGACGGAATTCATCATCATATGGCATAGCAGGAAGAAATGCGGCAAAGCCACACATCTCACTTGCAAAGAACAGCTGAGCTCGTGCGGATGTCTTCAGCGAAGTCTTCTCCAGAAGCTCCTGGACGGCGTCTGCATCGTGAAGAATGACCATTGTCTGGCCCAGTACACTGACTGAGCTGACCGGACCATATTTATCCTTGAAAGGAAGCCAGTGCTGAAACTCCGGTACACCCGGGGGTGGAAGATCGTTGATGTTTCCAAGAACAGGAAGAGGCTTCGGGCCTGGTGGCAGCGGAAGGAGAGTGTCCTTCTTACGGAAGAAGAGGCGATAGATAATAAAACCCAGGGCAACAACGATGCCCTGGAGAATTAGTATGTTAGACATTAGGACTTAAAACAGAATACACCAGGCAGGAAAAGCCTTGCGCATTTGCCACCCAAATGGTAAGTCAAGAAAAGTCTGACACAGGGGCATGATCAAAGCTATATAATTCGATCACAATAGTGCTTCCCGCCCTTCAACTCCTTGTCCACACTGTGAGCTCCAATCACAATCGAAACATTACGTGTACCTTGATTCTCTTGTCATCACTGTGGAAATCAAAAATAGATCGCCCCTCGTAATTCACATAGTGTGTGCGGCTACCTCCATATACCCATGTACCTCATCTATACACTACTTGAGCGCGTACGCTAACAGGAACGGTTGGTTTGTTTGCGTGTTTTTTTGCGAGTGGGTGAATGCCATTGTCTATTAGGCATAAATTCAGAACAAAATATTCCTATCTGGGTTAAAACTTTGATTATCCATGATTCCACATAGACCACGGAGACAACCCTCCCTAAGTTAGCCGTCCGCGATTTAGCTCCAATGAGCTCTTGTCTTAGGGCTGTCCAGGTGGGTTCGCGGCGCCCGCAACACCATATTAACCAGTGTGAAACTCTGGCGAAGAGCTTCACAACGCAACAGTGTGACGGAGTGAGATTGATAGACGTGGGACTATACTTGCCAAGTTTTGACAACCAAGATGATATACATTGGATTGACAACACAAATTGATTGCAACTTTTATCGACCGTCATATCGAGCTACATACCATTGCAGTCTAGTCACATGCAGGCCAGTTAAACACGGCGACATAGCCGAGCACAAAGTTGCCTTGTTGTGGCATGGACACTTCTCCAAGAATTAGTCCATCTTGGCAGCAGTTTCGAATGCAATATGATGCGACGGAGCCAAGCTAATGAAATAGTAATCGCGGCGGGCGGCTATTACCCTGTCTCGAAAAATGGGCTAAATGGAGTTTCGCGTAAACTTTCCACGCCGGCGGGATGTTTGCGTACAAGTAGTTGTTTTTTTCCCCCGAAGAACGGGGTATTCGAAACTGATGCTTGCCCCAGCGTAACTGATCCTGCTCGTAGGGCTGTCGCTGACTTTAATTCTCAGCCGTTGAGCTGAGAATCCTCTCCGCCCCACAGGTTCGCGAAGCTCGCTTAGGACAGGATGGATGAAATGGGAAAATGCTGGTAAGCCGAATAGGGATGGTGCTACATTAGGAAGATATCCCACTGTTGCTTCGAAACCAGATCAGATCAATGCCATAAGGAGCAACCCCGCGCAAATGGAATGGAGTATAGCAGATGGATGCAGCCATTAAGTTCCTCTGGGAAATATTATCCAATCAAGTTTACATAAACATACATAGAGACCGGTTAAATGATCAACAGACTTGTTTGAATTACTTTGGATTACTTATCTAGTCTATTGTCTCTACCCACTTGCCAATAGATATCTGGCAACTTCTCAAGTGCGCGCGCAAACTAACGCAACTAACATGTCGCTTTGTTTCAATGCTGACAGGCATAGAATGCCTATCTCTCTGTCAACTTCAGCTTCTTGGCGTTGCTGACCTTGGCTTAGTAATTGTTGCTTTAAAATTTTATTTCAAGTAAAAATAGACTCATTGTCTTTGAAACCCTGTCTCCAGAAAACCTGGGCAACCAAGACGAGGTTTGAGTGGACTTCTTTCTTCTTGATAGTGCCAGAAGCAATATTTGAGACTTCATGAAACCAACATTAAACAAGCGTCTGAAATGAGACGACCGCCTCAGCAGACAGCAGAAGCATGAAATAACCACGATAAATGGAGCTCTCTTATCGCGATTCGCTTCACATTATAGCCCACCTGACTTGAAACCCTTGATAATAGCTATTAATTCTTCCAAACTTAACCCTTTCCCGCCATCAAAAAGCTCAGTGAAGTATAGTGCTTCGAAGATAGCATATATCCATCGCGTATGTACTTGAATTGGGAAACTACCGCATTCTTATTAAACTTTACATATAATGTCACAGCGAGGAAAAAGGTAGAGCGTTATATGTAGCGGTAGATTTTATCTTTTATTTTTTGTTGCCTTGCTCTGAACAAGATACAGTTACCAGACTGTTTACTACATTGGGAACTAGAGACCCGTTGTTTGGTAGAAGAAGAAGTAGTTAATTAGTGCGACTGTGTCTTGTAGGTACAGTTGTTAAGTGCCTAACTAAAATCTCACCTCCATAAGTTGAAACATAGTTAGTAGCCTGACTACCACCGACTCATTTAGTGATTCAAAAATCGGAACTACTAGATAGGATAGTAGCGATAATACTGTTTAATGACTTATAAGGGGTGGATGAGAGACGAATTGATGGGATAGAGCAGTAGATGAGATGTCGATGCACGCGTCTGCGTGAGAATTCCTCGTTCTTTCGTCCGATGGAAGAGCTTAGTTCAATTACTAGAAGGATTCTTTTCAGTTGCGCTAGGATCTGGTCTTTGTCGAGTATTCTCAGTTCTAAAACCTAGAGAGTAGTATGTGTGCATTGTTTTTTCCATCAAGATAACTAGAAGTGGTATCAAAATCCCAATTAAGTCTTAACCAATTTTTTAATACTGTTAAAGGATGCGTTCAAACGTCCCTCGATTGCAACGCACGCTACTCTTATAATCTAGCTGAGATAAATGACAATGGCATGCGGTCGACAAATTACGTTACCGCCTATCGTATACAATTTTATAGCAGCAGACCAGCAGCGTTCTTTGTCCGCCCTGAATGGGTGCCTAGATATAGGTCTAAGCACATCAAAGAACGAATGCATGAAAGACAATTAGAAACTTCGCTGGCAAATGGCGCACGCCATAATACATTTACCTACCCTGTATTGCCGCATTTGGTGGTGTGAGAAACATTCTCATCGCATGCTTCATTCATGAGCAATTTGGTAATTGTTGCAGCAAAAATGCCATAAGAATTTCGGCACAATGTGCTGTATTAGGCAGGAGATTAAGTGTTACACTCATATCATGAGATTCCAGATTATAGGATGCGTGTTGTATCATTCGCTCTGCTTGTCCACTGATGCTGTCTGTCGGCATCGATTCGTGATATTCGCCATTGGTTCCCCCGCCGATGCAATACGTAGCAATACCGGCCCTGCAATTACGCCTTATCACGCAAACATATTTCGGACATGAATTCTCTATATGGCCAAGAATGAGATAACAAATAGAAGAACGCTGGAGTGCTTGAGACAAGGTTGTTCTAAGGATTAGATAGGTCCATCCATCAAAATACGATGCAAACACTAACACTCCTATGGCCTATGCAAAAGATATTCAGGCACATATGTTCACATGACTTAACCTTTATCGACGAGTTGTAGGAAAACCATTTCGGAAGGTAGTATTGAATGATATCTTACAAGATGCATTACTATACACAACTGAAGGTTCCAGACATCTATAAAAGTAGGCGTATTTCCACGTTCGAAGGGGATTGAACAACAGCACTCAGTAGCATACTTCAGCATCAAGCGCCAAGCTTTCATCCAGAACATCGACAAATCCTTAGCAATCACTAAACGTTGTCAACTTTTGCAATATGAAGTTCTCCGCCATCACTCTCAGCTATGCGCTGTTCGCTAGCTATGTCAGTGCCGCTCCCCGAGGCCACAGCACTCTGGAAGAGCGTATTGCTCGCAGAGCTGCAGCACGCTCATCCAGACCCAATCAACGCATCGAAGCATTCGACAGGAGCAACGATACCAATGTCTCTTACTCTACGAACTGGTCTGGAGCGGTCATCACGTCGCCACCATCTGGACAGACTTTCAATGCTGTCTCTGCCAGTTTCGTGGTTCCCACACCCAAGGCCCCCTCTGGAGGATCCTCTCGTGGAACTTACAGCGCCTCTGCTTGGGTAGGAATTGACGGAGACACGTACCAAAACTCCATTCTGCAGACCGGTGTTGACTTCACCATTGAGAATGGTGTAGTGTCATATGATGCCTGGTACGAGTGGTTCCCCGACTACGCCTACGACTTCTCCATCAAGATCAATGAGGGTGATACCATCAAGGCTAGTGTCAGTTCAACCACTAGCACTTCTGGTGTTGCTATTATTGAGAATGTCACCACCGGCAAGACCGTGACCAAGTCTCTTACCTCTTCCGCTGCTCTTGGAGGACAAAACGCCGAATGGATCGTGGAGGACTACGAGGAAGGCTCATCTCTGGTGGCCCTTGCCAACTGGGGTAGCGTTGTATTCACTGGTGCAACAGCCTCGACCAAGAGCTCCACACTTGATGCCTCTACTGCTTCCATCATTGATATTCAGCAGAGTGGCAAGACACTCACCAGTGTTACTATCAGCGGCTCAACTGTCACTGACAAGTATGTTTAAATTGGTAGTGCAGAAGCTGTCTTCGGCTCCACTAGACCTTTCATCAATTGTTCGAAGTTTGACAGGCCTGCTGCGTATAATGGAGGAGCTGTCACAATTATGGTAAGATGGTGTTTAGGAGCATAGGGGGCTATTGGGAGAAAATACCACAGATTCTATAGTCAAATTCTAATCTGTATTTTTGTGGAGAGTGTTAAGCATAATCGTCCATCAATCGCTGCTGTCTTGTAGTGATCCTTGCATTTCACCTAGGGTAAAAAGGGCTTGAATCTCACTTGTGTTCCTTTATCCACAAAATAGCTTCGGCACTCAACTATATCACTACTCGGGATCGGACAACCCAAATTGAGTGGGCTAGTGGGTTCTCTTTGCATATATCCCTGCCCTGCTCGTCAACATTTGTTGCGCCAAGTGAGTTGTAATCACAAAATAGGCAACTTGCGAGTAGTTTCTCAAAGTATACGCGGCTCTCCAATCACATGTACCATAACAGCGCCAGTTCCCTCCACTTGACTTGTAATAGCTGCATTCATGTCTTCATTTGATGTAGGCGTCTTCATATGGGCTCTTCCTTGGGCATAATTCTAATCATATATCGCGTCACCACTAGAGCTGCACTGATGTAATCACTAATGGATCCCGCATAGACCGCATGCATGAATGAAGCAGTTGATGCTCTGCTGGTACGAGCCAAATCAGTACAATACGCCGGCGAAGAATATATAAGAAAAACGCCTCAGAATGTGAATTGCTGTATGACCAAGGATGATCTATAACCAGTTTATCTAGACGCGTTAGTAACTGCTCTGCGCCTCTAGATTTGCCCTTGTATTTCAGAAGCACTGAAATGTGTCAAACAATACCCCACCCAAAGTCGATTCTGCTCGGATCAAGCGGCACAGGTGGCCAGGGCATTTTGTGTGGTTCGTCATCTAAGGCCAGTTTTAGAGAATCGCTCGAAATGCAGTGAAACACCGACTTTCTTGCTAATAAGGAGCCGTAAATTGAGTCGTTGTAGGAAGCGCTCCAGTCGATACCGCATGATTCGAAGGGAGCAACATCCTTGATACACCTCCTGAACAGACAATTAAGAGATTATGTAGCAGATAAAAATGCTGTATAGTGTAAGCTTCGAATACAAGTAGACTACGAAGCGACCTATTGCGCCATTGTCAATATAATGCACCGATGTAACATTAACTTTAGTATCCACCTTGGGCCTGGAAAGCAAAAAATAGATGGGGAACTATAGCAAGATGAACACCACATATCTCAATCTCAGGATAGCAGCCATGATTCTTCTGTCCACGATATTTTCCCACGTTCCTGGCACTTTAATAGTAGTATCGACTAGTGACAAGGCTTAACTATCGCTCGCACGGATATTAATCCGACACTTGTTACAAAATGCCCACAAATGTTATCTGGAGACAGTAGTATTTCTACCGCTTTCGAGCTAAACGTTCTGGCTGATGAGCACACATGGCTGAAATGGTCAGAGTATGTCGATAAGTACCCATTTTCTTCAGCGTAAGATGTAAGATCCAACTGCGTGTTTTGGCGCCTGGCCACCCTATGCGCTCCGTGTGGAAAATGAAATTCTGAGAAAAATTTAAAGCCGAGCATTTGAGGAGTTTGGTCGTGTGAGAAAGCTAAACATTAAATCATTTCTTAGAAAAATAGGAATAGAAAACGTCTTGACCAAGATTTGTGAGTAGGGTATTGGTTTTAAGTGGAATAGTTCTGATCCGCAGCCCCGATCACGTCTGGAGACACCACTTCATCCGCATTGAAACTCGGCCAAAAAGCCTATGTGATGTTAACTGGGAGTTCACCGCACATATGTGAAGAGAGGGCCTACCGATGAGTCCAAATCCAACCAGTCTGTGAGCTGCCAATCGTGAAAGGTAGGCATATCTGCCAGTGAGTTGTTCTGAGAGATGCTGAAAAATCCACCTCCATCATTCGTGTGAAGAGTAGGAATGCCTGGATTAAGGTCTATCGATTGTTCATGTAGGGCACCGTTTTGAGGTCTCATCTGCTGTGGAGTCGACTTGTTTACCGCAGCAGCTCGGAATCCTTCTAGAATCACAGCATATCGCCGACTAGGCGAATTTGACGATGTTGCTTGAGCAAGATGGCCGTGGCAGTGTTCTGCAAGTTGCATCAGTCTCGCACTATAGCCAGGATCGTCTGCAGCGCCCAAGCGATGTTGCTGTATAACCCATACGTATGTTACCACCAGGGCACAAAACGTCACATAGTGAGTCCACCAAAAAGCGTGGAAAATAGGGCCGTCTCGGGCTATGGTATCTACCGATTCTAGAACATCTTTCGCGGCTTTAATACAGTCGCTGACCTGTGAAGCATAAACAGAAGTAGGGGAGCGCATCAGAAACAGGCGGTTGACATGCATAATAGCGTGCGAGTGAGCGAGCCCCAGCGCCAAAGCTGGTCTTCGGTAGCTGGGGATCAAAATAGACGGATGAACTGCGCCGAGGTGAGCAGGTAGGCTTTGATGCCAATCTTGAACCCGTTGCGTCAAGTCTCTCGCGGCGGCTATTCTTTCGACTTCAGAAGTGAGCTTGGTCGTATACATGTCTTGTGAGATGGCTCCAATGATTTGGGCAATGCTAATGAACAAATGTGTTAGCTCAATGCCAATTTATAGGTCGAAGAGATGAGATCAAACATCAAGATATGCTTACCGGGCGTGAAAAACCAAGGCGTCAGTGTGACACCCTCGGCGATCGTCAAGGTCGCCAACTGGCCCGTCTGTTGACATGTCCTCATCATTAATCCGATCAGGTAAGTCTTGATCAATATATTCATCATGGAAATGGCGTGGCCTTCCAAATACCACTCCAAGATAATTGTCAAGAACATATGCGGTCCAAAAAGTCCTAAGAGAGCACTGCTTTTCGATATAATCAGCTGCTGGCTTATGCCTCCTTCTCCAATCCGCACGTCGCTGCAAACCCAGTGCAGAAATAAGCTGTAGTGCATTCCCAAAGATGTACCAGCTCTGATTGAACCGCGAAGTGGTTAGAAGATATAGAACTTGGACGATGCGAACTTGGGCGGACTCCAGCCTCGGAAATCCTGTCTCTTGCTCGGCGAGCCTCATGGAGAAGCGGAAAAGATTATCAGCTAAGCGAAGCGCTTGACAATCTTTAGTGGGATGTCCCTTAGACTTCTCACGATGAAACTTGGCAATTGATAGCATTGCGTATATGGTGGCCGCCTTTGCTCGTCCAATTGTGTGCCATATAGCAATCCCTTCCCCCATATTGCTCTCCATGATACTCAACCAATTTTCGGTGGACGGTCGATGCAAGATGCGGTATGTAGCGATACAGACATCAAAGTAAAGTGCCAACAAAGCTCTGGCCACCAATGGGTCGGGAAGAGTATACTGTTGTTGGCTGTCCTCGCTTTCTATGGCCAATGGCTTGTCTCCAGCCATATATACCAGCTGACTTTCTGCTGATGACCGGGATTCATCGCTGCCATGGCTGCTACCGTGAGTCGCCAGGCGCTTTGACGCTCTATGAAGAAATGCCAGACTGGACGTTGGATCAAAAACCTGGCCTTGGATTTCTGCCATTCCCAACTCAGGGGACGCACGAGAGGGACCAGCAAGTCCATCTGATTGTCGCGAAGTCTGGGCCAATTGCCCATTACCAAATGGGGTTAAACCAGAACTCGGCATGAACGATATGCTTTCAGATACGGTGAATCTGCTGGCTGAAGAACGTCTGCTATCGCCTGCCGACTGCAATTGGCTAACATCAGACGACGGCGGAGGCGTAGGAGGCATGCCGCGCGTATACCTTGCTTCATACAAGCATACCCGGCCTCTTGATATGCATTTTGCACATGGTTGGTCACCGCTGCATTTCGCCTTTCTTGACTTGCAAAAGTCACAAGCGCGACTAACTTTACGCGCCTTTCGAAATGCAGGGTCTGCGGGATCTCTTGGAGTATCTTCAACGTACTCAGAGCTCCTCTTCTGACTTGTAACTTCTGGCGCCATCTGGTGCTTACCTAGTCGATACGCGGTGGGTACGGGCTGGATACGCTTCTTGCTAGTATCACCGCAACGAAGCAAGGAAGGATCCAAGAAGGCGGAAAAGAAGCCGAAGGATGAAGTATTAATATTGGGGTATGGCAGCGGTGTACTAAAATAGTAGGTAGCAGCGCCCTTTCCCCGGTGTGAGAAAGGCCGGGGGAAATGAAAGTGCCGCGTTGCGGGGATTTAATGACAAGATTCCGAGTTCTAATCCACCCTAGCCAACATAATAGGCTGACAACGTTTGTTTTGATGAAAGAGTATAGTAGGCCTATTCTATAGCGTATTTCAGCTACTCTATGAGTGCAAATTGCCGAGGTTGTAGTAAATGGTTATTCCGTACATATGCAGAGTTTCATTCAGCTTATACTAATGCTTGGAGCAACTGGTACATTAGCCTTCTTATAACGATCTCATATAATAGCTAGGCCTTTATCATGATGAAGGAAACAATTTACTTTATTTGTCCTCATTTTCATGAATGGTAACAATACGCAAACTTCCGCTAAACAACCGAGGCCAATCGCAGATGGGTAACCTTTTAGTTGCGACAGCTCTTGACATTATTAATACCGACATTACCGCCCATCAAAGCGTATACCTGAACAGCAAACTCTTGTCTCCCAATCTAAGAAGTTCATCTTTCGAGAACTGCCCTCTAATCTGCTCTTCGGGAATTTTGGATCTTTGCTTATTAGCCCACACATAACTCAGTTCGAGGAATAGGGCAGCGAGAACGCCAGAGCCACCAAAGGCCAAAGAAAGACCGAACCCTGTGTGGTAGAAAGGCGCTTCTTTGTCAAGATACATGAAACTGCCGATAATGCCACCAATATTGCCCATGCAGATGCAAAAGGCAACTCCGATCGCGCGGCGGTTGGTTGGAGCCAGGTTGTTGGCGGCCCAACTAGTTCCGGAAGGCTGGACGGGATAGATACCCATGCAAGTAAGCACAAGAGCGAAATAACCAGGGCCAGTATGGCTGCCTCCTAGATCGCCGTTGAAGCCCATTACAACAGAGTATCCTATGGTGATGAGTAGTAAAGGGATGACGACGAAGGGCATCCGCCAAAGAAAACGATCAGATAAGAATGCGAAGAAGATCGAAGAAATGCCTCCAGCGACATAAGCAGGCACCGTCATAAGTTGAGCGATTGTGTTGTTGGAAAAGCCCATTGCCTTGATGATGGACGGGAGAGTGAATTTGGTGCCGTAGGAGCATGCCGAGATGCAAAGGAGAATGTACGCTTGAAGATAAAGCCTCCAGTTGGTGAGAACCATTTTGAACTCATACCAGTCGAAACGACTCTCAGCTGATTGTTCCGAGAAACGTCCACCTTGCTTCACAAATGTTTGAAGCTCAAGAAACCTGATCTCGTCTTGCGACAACCAACTCCCCGAGAGAGACGGAGAGTCGACGAGAAAAAAGAAGCAAAGCACTCCAAGTAGAGTTGTAGCAATACCCTCTAGGAGGAAGATCCACCGCCAGCCCTCATAGCCACCAATGCCATCCATTTGAGCAATTGCAGCAGCCAAGAGACCTGAAAATGCTCCAGATAAAGCGCTGGTGCAGTAAAAATAGGCGATTCTGGTGGCAAGCTCTTTTGGCATGTACCAAAACGTACACAGATAAATTGCACCGGGGTAGAATCCTGCTTCAAACACACCAAGCAGGAGTCGCACAGCTAGTAGCCCGCCAAAGTTGCGGACGACTCCGTGCATGGTCATAATAATTCCCCAAATTGTCACAAGCGAGCCGAGATAGTAAGAGGGCCGTTTGAACTTCTTCAATAAGACGTTACTGGGGACTTCGAGCAGGATGTATGGTATGAAGAAGAGGGCTAACACAACGTTGTACTGGTTGCCGACTAAATGAAGATCTTCGGAAAGTCCTTCAATCTTTGCGTTTCCGATGTTTGCACGGTCGAGCTGTGAGACGAGATAGAGAATCGCCAGCATTGGTACAAGTCGTAGATCAATCTATAGTAAAGGAATACTTAGCATCAATTCTCACAATATGGACCGGTTTGCTTCATCTTCTCACCTTCCTGATAATTTTCTTCCTCTGACCTTGTGTTATGCTATTATAGAAGGCTGCATCATCTTCGCTCAGGCCCAGCACAGGTATGCTGTCAATGATTCTAACTTGCGTTGTCTTCTCTATGTCGTTGGTAGGTATTTCGTCTTTATCATCAATCATGACAATTTCTGCTTTGTCGGTTTTGGCAACGTTTAGCGCCATATTAGCTTTTGGAACAAGATTGAGGAAGCTGGATATAAGGTGCTTAGATCAGTATCACTTAAGATCTCTGTGACTAACTGTGAAGGAATGGGAAGGGCACTGCTTGAATCTCATGCTATGGAGCCATCGAGATCGTGTCAGAATTTTATTGCAAAGTAGCTATAAGCTGTGATTAAATATGGCCTGCGTTATCAACTGATTCGATTACATTACATCTAAATCTCGGGGTCGTTGAGCATTAGCCCCGCACTCGCAAATCTGGGGTAAAGTTTCCACTTGGATTCTGCTAACGAGATGCCGGTTGGTGTTGAGGATTTTTATCCGAAGTTCCACGATCGTCGTCGTGCTAGCGGATAAAGATCCGTAGGGAACCAATATCGAGAAGGAATATCAAGGAAGCGACACGAAAAGAATGATTGGCCATGTTCTGACCGCGGTGAAGCTTAGATAATCATCCAGTACCACTGCGGTTATTGTCAATCTTAGTACGAAGTACGAATCAATGAAATAGGTCCCATACCCCCAACTTCCGACTGTGCAAAAAAGAACTGTCTAAATATCTTTTTCATAGAACACCAGGTCTTTTCATCATTATGCCGGCTGCTATCTATCTTTCAGCTTCTCATCAAGGATCTTTGGATCCCTCAAGAAAGCCTATAGTGAGACCATCGTCAACTTCAGTTACCAATACATCCAAGCCTGAGTCCGTACCCCGCACAATAGATGCACTGTTACGCCTGCGCGCAATATCCTATCCTCAAGATCATATTGTTTCGTATCCAAAGTCAGGAATAAACTTTGTCGATTACAATTTACAGCAACTTGATGTATTCGCTTGGAGGGCGGCAAATCACTATGGCCAGCATATTCCCGCAAGAAAGTCATCGAATGAAAAGCCGCATGTTGTGGCGCTATTGGGCGTATCAAACTTTGAGTATCTCATTACGCTTCTTGCCCTAGTAAAGCTTGGGCATACGGTTCTCCTTCTCTCAACAAGGATCACAGTTCCAGCCATTGAGTCTCTTATCAATGCTACCTCGGCCTCTACGATTATTGTAGACAGGAGACATTTGAGTACTGCAAGAGAGGTTCAAAATCTGCTGCCGCTATTGCAACTATTTGAAGTAATAGACCGTCCAGTGTTTGAGTTTTCAATTGAAGCTCATGGAGACACTCAACTAGACTCTCAATTGGATCCGGAAATTGAGGCGCAAAACATTGCTCTTATCGTCCATTCAAGCGGTATGCGGACTCAAGGTTTACAATTTTTTGGATAAAAAGCTTACCACAACATAGGATCAACTGGTCATCCGAAGCCAATCTTTCAAACTCACAAGTCGTGTCTTGCAAATTATGCCAGCAGCATGAATATGAAGTCGTTCATTACAATGCCGTTGTTTCACAACTATGGAGTCTGCAGCTTCTTTCGCGCGATACATTGCCGCAAATCTATCCATTTCTACAACGCTGAACTTCCGCTGACGCATGATAACTTGTTGAAGACATTCCAAGCGAATAATTTTGAGATCTTCTACGGCGTTCCATACACACTGAAGCTGCTTTCAGAATCTCAGACGGGCATTGACCTCCTTCAAGAATTAAAGCTTGTAATGTACGGTGGATCCGCCTGTCCGGATGATTTGGGCAATATTCTTGTTGAGAATGGAGTGAATCTTATAGGACACTATGGGGCGTAAGTGGACTCATGCTCTGCATTTCTGCGAAGCAATTTTAACAAAATGTAGGACCGAAGTCGGGCAGCTAATGACTTCATTTCGCCCCAAAGGGGACAAAGCATGGAATTACGTACGAGAGCACGATGCACTTTCACCATATTTGAGATGGGAGCCACGCGGCTCAAACTTGTACGAGTGTGTTATCTTGGAGGGCTGGCCTTCTAAAGTGCAGTCCAGTCGGCCAGATGGCGCTTACGCAACCAAGGACCTTTTCGAACCTCATCCAAGCATCCCTAGAGCATGGAAGTACATTGCCCGACTTGATGACACAATTGTTCTTGTCAATGGTGAAAAGTTCAATCCTGTGGAAATGGAAGGCAGAATACGATCGGATAAGAACGTCACAGAAGCCGTCGTGTTCGGCGCTGGTCGTGCGCATCTTGGTATCTTGCTTGTCCCAGCTGCTGGATTAGCCACTCACACCAATGAAGAAATAATTGATATAATCTGGCCAGTCGTCGAATTTGCGAATAAGTCTGCAGATGCCTTTGCTCGAATTTCGCGGGATATGATCCGGCTATTACCGCATGATTGTGCCTATCCTCGCACGGACAAGGGGAGCATAATACGACAAGCCTTTTACCAGAAGTTCAAAGCGGAAATTGAGGAAACTTATGATCTTGCCGAGTCAAGCTCAGAAGAACTTGTGCAATTTGATCTCCCAGAGCTACAACAGTTCACAAGAGATCTTGTCCAAAGGACCCTTGAAGCACCTACACCAGTTCAAGATGATGAAGACTTTTTCTCTCTGGGTTTAGACTCACTGCAAGCTATCCAAATGAGAAGCGAGATATTGAAGAAGGTAGACATTGGCGAAAACAAACTTGGACAGCAAGTTGTATTTGAGCAGCCGTCAATCAGCAAATTGAGCAGCTTTTTGCTCTCTCTGCGGATTGGTAATGTTGCGAATGAGAAGATGTCCATCGAACAACAAATGGAAAACCTCGTCATGAGATATTCGACCGAGACTTTGTCTATATCGACTAGTTCGTCAATCGTAAGCCTTCGCTACATTCCCTTTGATAATGATATCTCTGACCTGCTTTCTAGGTTGTTACAGGCGCTACCGGCTCACTTGGAGCTCATATTGTCGCAAAACTGGCTTCTAGACCTCATGTTGATCAAGTCTATTGTCTAGTTCGTGCCAATGATCTGACTCATGGCTATAAGCGAGTTGTTAGCTCAATGATACAGAGAAGAGTTTACCACTCGCTGTCTCTAGCCTCAAGGCGGAAAATCATTGTGTTGCCATCCGATTTGGCGGAGCCAGATCTTGGATTATCCAAATCAGCTTATGAAGCCATTACTGAAAATCTTAATGCAGTGATTCACTGCGCTTGGTCTGTTAATTTTAACATGCATCTTTCGAGCTTCGAGAAAGGGAACATCGCGGGCGTATCACATCTTATTTCTCTCTGTCAATCTGCGCAGCCACCAGCTACAATGAACTTTTGTTCATCTGTTAGTACTTGCTCTCGGTCAACGGTTATTCCTGTTCCCGAGCGTGTTCCAGACTTTTCATGGGCACAAAACATGGGATACGCTCAGTCTAAATCGGTAGCCGAGCATATTTGCGCCAATGCCGCATCTCAGGGTGTGACTACTCGTGTGCTTCGTATTGGACAAATCGTTGGCGATACAGAGCATGGCGTGTGGAACCCGCAAGAAGCAGTTCCTATGATAATGCAGACTGCGGTAACAATCGGCGCTTTACCGAGACTCCAGGAAACCCCGTCGTGGCTACCAGTTGATATTGTGGCAGATGTCGTCACAGATATATCGCTTTCTAGTGCGGGAAGCATATTTACAAATGTCACTAACCCGCAACTCTTCAACTGGAATGATGACCTTCTTCCTGCTCTACGCAAATGCGGGCTTGCCTTCGACGAAGTTGAGCCTAGAGAGTGGATTAAGAGGTTGCGGACATCAAACTCAGACCCAGTGGCCAATCCGCCTATCAAACTAGTGGATTTCTTTGCTTCTAAATACGACAGAGATTCGTTTGGCCCGTCAAAAACATTCTCCACTGAAGTGGCACGTTCTTTCTCTCCAGCTTTGGCTAAAGTTCCCAGTCTTGTGGAGGAGCATGTAGCCAAATTTGTTCGCTATCTCAATGGAAAAGCATGGAAGAGTTCATCGTCTCCTATGGAAGCTGAGAAGACGGTAATTGTGATGATGGGTCCCTCTGGAACAAGAAAGTCGACGATGGGAAGTGGAATAGCGCAAACGCTTGATATACCTTTCATTGAAGGCGACAGCCTATACTCTCGCCAAGACATCGCGACAATAAGGTCACGTATCACGCTCTCCGATGAAGACAGCTTATCTTGGATCGATAGAATTAACCGGCGAACCGCGGATACACTCACTGACCTTGGATATAACCGTTTAATCGTCGGCTGCTCTGCTTTGAAAGAAACATACCGCAACCGAATTCGTCGCCATATGGCTTCGCATAAAGTAAAAGTCATATTTGTTGACTTACAGGCTGACAGAGATATTCTTGCAAGACGTTCACAAGAGTGTCAAGACAGCCTCACGGGAGCCAATTTAGTCGACAGCCAACTAGACTTATACGAAGAACCCAGTAGCAGAGAATATGATGTCGTACCTGTAGATGCGGAGAGGGCTGATCAAGTGGTATTGGATGAGATTCGATGGATCATTGAAGAAGCAGCTGAATGGTTTTAGAGACCCTTAAGCTACCTATAGTTGTGGTAACAACATCACATTGCTACATATAATATTCACAACCAAATTCTCCATTCCGTCTTTTTTTTCTCACCGTAAAGAGAAATGATTTAAACTCTAGCTATTACTTTTCACTTTTCGTTAGACGGATCGTACGCCAAGCCGCAACTTAAGAAAAAAAAGCAAGCGTAATTAAGAACATTGGCATTAAACAGAAGTTGTACTGATAGTAACTCAGACGAGACTTTGATTATGAGCTATTAGACTAATGTGTTGTTTGAAGATGCATGTACTTTATTTATAGAGGCTGCATAAGTACTGATGGCCCTACGGGCACGATCAGAGGTCCTTGGCTCTCTAGCACAATCTTCCACCTAGAATCCGCATAACCTAGGGCATACCGCGAAATATTGGGTTCTGTTGTACGGTAAAATGCCGCTCGCAAAGGCCCCTCTTCATTCTGATCCCAGTATAGCCTCCGAAGCCAGGCGTGCAACCGGGGATAGTCGTGTCGAATCGATTTGAGGTTGCATTGAAAGACGCTATGGTACGCAACATCAAAACGCGCCATAGTGGTATATAGACGTACGTCGGCCTCGGTGATTGAGTCGCCGAAAAGAAAAGGCTTGCCGTGGCCAAGATGCTCTTCAAGGCGATCGAGGGAGGCGAATAGAGGGTATATGTTTTCCTCGTACGCTTTCTGCGACTTGGAAAAGCCAACCTTGTATACCCCATTGTTCACGGTGTTATATACCCAGTCATTCATGGCATCGATCTCAGCTCTGAGATGCGGTGGATATAAACCTTTTCCTGACCGATTCTCTTCACGGAGGTGCTCTGGCAGCAAGTCATCAAACTCCGAATAGAGCATGCGGATAATTTCTGACGATTCATTATTGACCAAAACGTCGGCTTTTTTATCCCACAATACAGGAACAGTGTAGCGGCCTGTATAACTGGGGTCGGCTTTGAGGTATAGTTCCTTGAGCTTTTTAAACCCGTGCAGAGGATCTTCATCAAGAGAGCCCCCTTCGCCGCTGAAATACCATCCCTCAGGGCCCATAGTGAAATGGAGCTGGTAAACGTCGATTATAGAATCGAGCCCTTTGAGAAGCCGGACTATCATAGTTCTATGCGCCAAAAATATGGCAATATTAGCTATTTTACCCTCTAACAATTATCCGCTCAATCTAGCGAAAGCAGGCTGACAGAATGTGATACCACTTACCCATGGGCAACCCGGGGAGAGATAGAGGGCATAGCGGCCCTTCTCAGCGGGGAATCGTGAGTTTGGGTCCTTGGAAATGAAATTTCGAAAGATGCTATCCGGGCGAGTAAAACTGCCATCTTTGTGATAGATCTGAATGAAATAAGCGATCGCTCTAAGCAATCAGATAACTCTTACTAAAGACTGACCGTTTTTACTGACGACATGTTAAATAAGCTATGTCAGACGAGGCGCTACAAACAGAACAGAGAAGCCAAGTATAAAGGCTGGATGTCCTAACTGGTGCGGATTTATGATTCAAGTTTCTTGGCCCTTCCGGCAATGCAAAAATGCTCAAGACACGCAGATATATTATCGCATAGATATTTTACACAGAAAGCAGTTAGCACCTCTTCCCATTTTACTTGTCGCTCGTGACGTGATAGATAAGCTTACAAATTTGAAAGCCACGGCGCGGGGATTGGATTTCCAAGCCTTTATCAATCAATATTGGAGCTAGGTAATGAACGATCTAAGCCATTAGGTAAGGCACCGCGACAGCAAGCAGTATTCTTTATAAAATTTCTTGTTGCACAAACGTGTTCTAGACGGTGATGAAATCAAGGTAAAGGGCGAAGTGATTTTGGAAACATTGATATGGTCGCTGAGATAAAGACTACAACGGGAAATTCTTTCGCAAGCGCGACAAAAAAGGTTGGACTCGTGGAGGCGCCTTTAAATTACCCCTTGTAGTAATTGATGCTATGAGCAAGGATCTCGCCCTGGAAGGCTGGCAGACACGTCCCTTACGATAACTAGGCACAGACCGAGGCAACAGACGGAGACTGAAAGATATTTATAGAAATATTATCAAGCATAGATTGAGTTCCATTGCACCTTATGTGCCGACTTGAATAATTGAAATCGGTAGCGGTAACACCCTGCTACCCCCCTTGAGATTACTATTAGAGCGTAATCGTGCCACAATCGCTGCATCTACAAACCAATGATGGCACTCCATTAGTGATACTAAGGAGAAGAGCATGAATCCTTTCGGCTAGCAATTGAGCGGTCAGCGCGCCTGTCATGGCTCACCAATTCTTTGTACACTTATCAATTCCCTCTCAGTAATTCAGCGACTGGCTTTTACAGGTAGACGCTAGGGCTGGAGTAGGGTGAGTCGCCATTCCAGATAAAGCATCTGCATTCTTTGTCCTATTGATGCAGTGGGAGGCTGAAGACAAGTTTTACCTCTATCAAGCAACCAACACATAAATGCCCAAAGCTAAGCGAGAAGCTTCATTTACATGACTCATATTGTTATGCCGTAGAGTTGTCGAGTTGTGTTGAGATATCCTGGCCCACAACTAAATTTGCACCAAAATCTCACACTAATAAGGTTGGTGGCATCTAACAAGCAATAAGCTTGCATTTAGAAAACATCGCTCAATAACTAATCAGCCAGACTGAACAGGTAGTTGTTCCACCTTTTATTTGATGTGACATCTAATACAATAATAGGTGAATATTGTTTAGTAGTATATAAGTATCCCGTCGTGCCAACATTGTTGCTCATGAATTGTCTGTATTATCCCAATTATATGACATCATCATCCTTCAACTCCAAAATGGCAACATCCTCAGGCACTGTTACAACTCTTGACGGAGTTTCTATCCGATATCTCTCTGCTGGGGATGAGACCAATCCTGTTCTACTCTTCATTCCTGGATGGGCGCAAACGGCAATCCAATGGCGAAAGCAGATTTCACATTTCAGTGCCAAGTACCACGTCATTGCTGTTGACCATCGCGGCTTTGGCGATTCCGACAAGCCTGAAAGGGGATATCGAATAACTCGTTTGGCAGCGGATTTGGACGAAGTCATCCTTCAACTTGATCTCAAAAACGTTACTCTCTGTGGCCATTCTATGGGTTGCTCCATTATCTGGGCGCATTGGGACACTTTCATTGGTTCCCGGTCACGTATTTCTCGTCTTATACTTGTCGACCAATCGCCTTGCATGATCATAGATCCAGCATGGGAGGAAGGCGTGGCCAGTTCTTTCGGATCAATTTTTGCGCCTTCGACTGCTCTTGAAATGGGAAACAGTTTACGCGGAGCAGGAGGAAGTGAATATGCGGCAGGATTTCTGCGGTCTCTATTCTCTCCATCACTGAGCGAAGAAGATTTTGTATGGCTGAAGCTTCAATGGAGCAAAATGAATCTCTCCCATGCAGCCAATTTATTGATCAACCACGCTGCGGAAGATTGGAGGGACGTTATACCAACAATCACTGTTCCGACGCTCGTTGTCGGCGCCGAAGGAAGTGTATTTGGCATACATGGTGCTCAATGGATTGCTTCCCAAATCCCAAACGGCAAAGTCGAGATTTTCAAAGAAAGCGAAAGCGGCAGCCACTTTATGTTCTGGGAGAATGATGCTAAATTCAATGGAGTCATCGAGAAGTTTTTGAGTAGTTAGTAGCGATTGTTTTGGTGCTTTTCGTCAACAAGGAGGATTATCTTGCGCTATGAACATACACGTAACGCTGCCCATTAATAAAACTGAATTAGAACTACTGCGTCGAAAAATGGCTGGTTTCGCACTTTGAAACTACATTTAACCCTTAAGCTGCCAGTTTCTGTTTTCAATTGTGACACAGCGATTTCCAAAGCACTAATAATTGTAATGTGTGTATTATTGATGCACACTACTGGAGGGTGCTCCGGATGGGCTGAGAAATTGCTTGCTGTAGCGTGATATATGATACCTAAATGACAGAAAATAAGGAACGAAAAATGAGGATAAAGAATAACTATGAATGCCGCATGGTTTAATTGAACCCGATAAAGAAACAAAGTCCTCGCCGCCTCTCTTAAAGATCTTCATCATCAGACTCGCTTGGCAGAGGCAGCATTGGGTCTGCATAAAAGCCCGGTGATAGGGACGGATCTGAGGCTGCTTCCGGAATCTTTCTGAGATTCACTGGAACATGCCGGTGGAAGATATTTCCAGCATTTATCTTGGCTGTCGCACTCACGACCCCTCCTCTCCTCACCAGGGCGTGCTCCGACATAAAGTTGATGGTTAGGATGTAATAATCCAGCCTGCCATCCGAATTCTCGTCACGAGTCCATCGTTTATTATGCCACGTACTCGTGCCGGTCCATCGAGATACTTCGTGACATTTGCCTGACACGTCCGCGTACAGAACATTGCCGTCGAGTTTCTTGAAGAACCAGTTTTTGGCTATATGCTCGCCAATGGCATCAATTTGATCTTTTTTGCGTTCCAACGATTCGAGCTCAAGTCGAAACTCTTGCATTGAGGGGGACATTCCCGTTTGAACTCTGTTAATCCAATCCGCTTCGAAGCGCAACGGCTCATCGTTTTCCCAGAACCACCAGTCGGTGTGGCGAATTGTGAGCGTCAGCCGCCGAGGATGCAAGCCGGAGGTGTGTAGTAGCTGGGCTAACCCGCCTTCCTCGATACGATACATCTGCGCAAAAACATGGAGGCTCTCGATTTCGACTTTTTCCTGGTTCAACTGCCGGGCGATTTCAGGGAGCAGCTGTTTGAGTTTCGTGATGGTGCTCCAGCTATTATAGTTGGGAGGTGCGCGATCCGGAGCAGAAATCCAGTGCGTTTGCTCTGTGAGAAGGAATGGGAGAAACCAGGTCTCTCGGTATATAGCGCGGCATGTTCTTAGCAGCTCAGTGCTGGTCTTGTGAGGCGCGAAGTACGAAGGTCGCGAGTAGCAGGTGTCGAGGAGGTAGGGAGAATCAGTATCTTCATAGTCTGACAGCACAAAGGTAAAGATCTTGCTGCGAATCTCTGGAGGTAAGAGAGAAAGCAGCGGCGATTCGTCCTGTGGCTCAATTTCTTTTGCAAGCAGTTGCTGATACAGTGGCTCTGGTGGAGGTGGCGCTGAGTTTCTAAGCCCAGGTCTTCTGCTGAAGCGAGGCTGGCTTTGTGGAGGGCCTCTTAAGGGCGAAAAGAAGAAGTTCATTATGGAAGACAAAGACGGATGATTTTTGCAGGAACAAGATGAAGATTAGCAGGCAAAGGAAGTTGCTTGTGCATTTATAGAACCCGCAATCAGAGATAAACTGTCTGTGATGTTTAGTTAGTTGTCGATATTCTCCCGGCTAAACAGGGAAACGATAGGCAGCAATAGGCAGCAACGGGTGGATCACAGTGCTGGGGTAGCAGAGCGGCCCGCAACTGGGGGACTGTGATTCGTTCATGCGCCATCATCCATCAGAGCGCTGAATGTGAAATTGAGCCAACCAGCCTTGAGTATTCGCGGAGCAGTGCCAAGATGTATGTAAAGCAGGATATGGGGCAAGTCAACATACGACCAGGATACCTAGAGAGCGTCCATACGCACGGCGGTATTTTTCACGCCCGATGCTTCCTTTTACTTGTACTTCTGTGAAAAGACTGGGATTGCGGCGTTGATGCACCTACAGGGAACTTATTATAGTGCCTCAGTTGTCAATGAAGAGCACTTACACTGACTTCTGGTTAGGCAGGCAGAAGCTACCTATTTACGTTGCGACAAATTAGACCACTTAACCAACAACCGATTACACTAGCGCAGATACTCAAATGTTATTCAATAAGAGCTTTTTCGTGCTCGTCCGTCTTTTTTTTTTT